CGAACAATCAAAATACCTCGGTTTCATCGCTGCCCGTTCACACACTTGCGTTTGACTAGGACTACGCAGCATGCAATGCGCACTGTCGCAAGCCGTCGCAAGAGGCTCGTCTGACGCGGTCGTATACAGTCAAGCGCAAGTGTGAACGCCGGTTGTCGTGACTTTCCCCTGACGGCATGCATAACGCAGTGTTATTCGATTAGAACCACTACTCGCACGGCCCTCATATTTCGGTATAAACTTTGAGGAGCAAATATTTATTACATTCCATATTACGGCCAATGCCAGTGTGGAAAGCAGCAGACGCCGCGCTTACGTTATTAAAGCGTCGATTGCACAACGCTGTGTTCACAACATCGTCGAAAGTGCGCAGCGTCGACAGCGGGGCGTCAGCATTTGTTTTTTGCTAATACACGCAGTAAGAAGCAGCAAAGTATGCAGTACGTGCAGCGTTGCCACGAACGATCTTTCCACTACGGCGAATTATATTAAAAGAGGCGTCCGAGGTTGAACCGGCTAGCCGCTGACGAGTTACACGTTAGAGAGGAGAAAACATGCATTGCAATGCGAACTCTTTGCATCGCAATGCCAAAAGGCACGATTGTTTTTACCATGACTTTTCTTTTTAAACTTCACTGGAGATGCAACTGTGATCGAAACGTTTTTGTCTTTGTTGGCGACAGGCAATGATCAGCGATGCTACGCGCTTGGATAGAGAGCTCGGTCATGCTCAAAAAATCCATCCATGTAGCCAGATGACTTACGGACGAACAGCAAACGATTCGACTCCATGTCGAAAAGAACGACCAAAGGGCAGGCGAGTTTGCTGCGCATTAATCATGACGTGTAAACCCTGCGAGAAGGAACTTGAAGACAAATTAGAAGGCCACAGAAGAAAGGTGACGGACAGACAAGTGGCGCTCTGTCTGTCTGTGCCTTTTGTTCTTTTGTGCTTTGTAATTCATTTTTAAGTTCCTCCCCAGTCTCGGAGTTTGCACACCATGATCTACATTCGTATGGAATATAAGCGTGAACTTACAAACGTCGGCCGGTTGGTACTGTCAGCGCCTTGGAGCGGTGCCTTTAGGAATGAAGACGGGAGTTGACTCCTGCCCTGGCTTTTGCGATAGCGCGTTTCTTTCTTCTACGCATGCGTGTATGCTCGCGTGCTCACCCTCGTATCAAAGACGATTGTACAACTGGATTACGGTACACTAAAGAGTAATAGCAAACACACTCCAGATTTTCTTTTTTTTCGAGAAAATAACGCACACGAGAGTGAAGTGCCCACCCCAAAACTGTATCTCTTTTTACACTTCCATCAGCAACGAACCGTAAAAAAAGGGGGAAAAAAAGCAACACTGAAACGCAAATCAGCAAAAAACGAAAAAAAGCCCATCCGAAACGGAGCCCATAGTCGTCAAACTCGCAGAAGATTGCCAATGGTATATACACGAGTTCAACGCCCCCTCTTCACAAGTCCGTTAGAAACACGCCTCCTCCCCCTCATAGAGAGAAGCGGGATGATGAAGAGGAGGAGGGATGCGCCGCACCGCCACACGGACGATGGCGAACCTCATTGAAATGCAGCTCAGCCTTCGAGAGTACCGTTCGTTCAAGGAAGCCAGCAGCGAGGGAGAAAAAGCAAAGAAATACACGAAAAAAAAAAGTGTAATCGACAAACACAAAATTAAAGAGGAAAAAAAAAACGGTCTCCGTTCCGCTCTAGCATGTTCACGAAGACGGCGCGTCCTCCTCCCCCGAGAGCGGGAGAGAACGCCACATGGGACTCGGCGAGTACGTACAGTGTACATTCCGTCGGCCGCGAGCCCATGCCGAAAAGACGACGTCGACGTTCGAGACGATTCCCGACTCATTTATCTGCCGCAATGCCCGCGCTTCGGCGAAGAGCGAACCGCGAGTTCGTCTCTGCTGCTGCGGCCGGCCGCTTCTTCTGTGGGACGGCTCGTGCCCGCGCTGCTGTTGTTCTTCGGTAGGGCGTCGTGGCCTTGTAAGCGAGTCGCCAGTCTGCTCTCGCGCTGAGGCTATTTCCAGAATTGGGCTAGTGTCGTGTCATGCCGCCCGTCGGAATGCTGCCTGCGTGCCTTACGGGCGCTTGTCTCCCTCTTTGCTGTTTACCTTTCCCCAGTGCCCGTTGTCTGCTTCGATGTCCCGCCTTATATTGAAAGTGAACGGATTGTTTTATTATTATTATTATTATTATTATTGGAGGGGGGGGGGGGGGGGGCACGTGCAGAGAGAACGAAGGCCGGTGAACTTTCAACGTTATCGAACCTGGGCTTTCGTCTGAACCTGGGTTCATTTATGCTTTCTGCAATGTCAAACGGAAGTCTCTCCGCCACGATAAGCTTGCTTCAGCATCGTACCACGTCACGAGCCACGCCAACCTGCATTTGTACTTTTTCCTGTTTGTTCGTTCACACGCTCGCTTTCTACTGTAGGCAATGTTGTAAGGACCCATCGCAGCAATTATAAAAGAAAGTTCTTGGGCATATATATACGTTTATCACTGACGACTACCGTTTAGTCGGATCAATTACTTCAACTCTTCAGCGAACTGAGCTCGAGTGTCATTAATTATAACGAGAATAGGCGGGCGAAGCATGGCAACCTTGCTGGCTAGTTAATGACCATAATGGTCAATGCCCCCCCCCCCCCCCCCCCCTTTCCCACCAAATATGTCCTGGGCGTTCCTCAGCTGAAATCATGAGTCCGATTGCGATGCGCGAGAAGTAGAAACACTTTAGTTGTAGCGATAGAACCAGTAGAAGCTCATTGTGATCGCGCGCTCAGCAGCACCACCACCAAACGTGCACTACGACAGCATATCTGATGAAACTACAATGGTAGTCAGACCGCAGCAAACCCTGGGGTGACGCATGACGTCAATCGGCTTCATATAAGGCGTCCACACCAAAAACCGACCAAGTCTCAAGGCGGTGCAGTTAAGTGTGAAGACGAGTGCACGCAAGTAAACAGCAGGGGGTAGCGTCGAAAAAAAAGAATAGAAAAGCAGACCCGGAGGTGTCCCTCACCGTGGTCCTCCTCGCCCGGGCGGGACAGCAGCGACGCAGTCCCTCGGCGCGTCCTGACCCAGTGGCAGGAGCGGGAAGGTCGCGATAAGCCAGGCCACGCCACATCCGCGTATCGTGGCCCGCGGTGTTTTAATTGGGAAGCAACGCCGATGGCTCCGCTCGATCTGGGTTATTCGGTTAGCCGCGCCACCATTATCGTCGTCCACGCCGGGCCGGTTGCCGCCGCGTCGCTCGAACCCGGTCCTGATATATCGGGACGACCGGCTCCAGAGACGCCAGCATTGCGCCCTAGGGGACCACGTCGCGGGGACCTCCTCCCGCTAGGAAACCGGCCGGCGCGGTGACAGATACCGCAAGCGGAACTTGTTGGCGGGAGACGGTCCCCAGATGTCGGCTGTGGTCACGTTGAAGCCGGAGTCACGTTTCTGGTTAAGTTGGGCCGCTTGGTTGGTCGTTGTTCAGCTCTCGTGGCACTTTGGGGTGAAGACGTCTCAGAGCTTGAAAGGGACCAGCGGAAGACCTTAGGGTGGAAGCCGACGTGTCGATACGAGATTAGCTTTTTCGGGTCGTGAAGAAGGTATATATAGTCTCTTGGCGAAATGTGAAGCCACGGTTACACCGCCAATACATCGTACAAAAGAAATAACTGCAGACACAAGTGAGTTTTAGAGTTGCGTACACGAACAAACGCGAGCATCGTGCGTCAACGTTGCGTGCTCCCCACTGCGCGTGCGCGGAGCCCAAAACTGCGTTTTGGACTGGCGCATGGCAACGACGCGCATGCTCAGTGTGGAGCGCGCAACGCGAACGTACAGCGCTTGCTTGATTGTCTTACTTGCACGACGGTCCTCTCTATTGGTCGTACAAAAACTGCCTGCAGACATGTTTGAAGCGCACATATTAGGCTAGGTGGCGCAAGCTATCGTCCGTTACAAAGGGTTAACCATTAACATCCATCCAGCCATATGTAGTTATGTACGGAGCAAACGTGCTTGGAACGTGATTCAGGCGTGTCAACGCAAATATTTCTGTCCTCATGCGTGCAGCGATGACATGTTTCTTGTACGATGTACTGCGGTTTCACCCGACTCATCAACTGGGGCGGGGGGGGGGGGGGGGGGGGGGGATTGCTGGCCGAACGTGTTGTACTTGACAACTTTGGCAACGAAGCCAAAGCTGTATGGTTACCCATGCGCTCGCGCAGATTGAGCGCCGACCACAGATGTGCTCGCGCAATCTTCTTCGGAAATGGACAGAAAAAAAAGTTCCCAAGTATAGCACACCACAGCTCGGAGCAGATGGAATGAAAGCTCGCGCTGCAAAATCCCTGGGGCTCCGTCCCCACCCCTGCCCGTTTCGATCTGCGTTAGCATTGTACACGGGTATGTGGTCGTGTATCACCACCGTGGTCCGCGCTGGCTTTACATCTCTCACCTAGTGCGGAGACACCGGGCCACCACAGGTGTAATCCAACAACGAACATTGGACCGCTCCCGCAGTCTAATGCCTATTTGGCGTCGTTAGTCGGCAGACCGTCCGATTAATCGTCTTAACGCTCGCACACTCGAGCTAAAGTGCCTCTCAACTGATCCGAACAAGGAGCGACAAGTGGGACAAAGCCAAAGTGCCCGAGCCCATTACAAAAGGCAGACGGCCGGCGCTGCTTCTGACAACGCTTCCATTCTCCCGCGCAACCTTCGCTGTCGAGGAGCGTCGACGGTCGAGGGCGTACCCTTCGGTAGCATCGTGGCGAAGCTCTCACGAGTACGCGGCTAGGCCTAACGACGTGGCCGAGGGTCTGTTCGACCTTTTACTGAGACGACGCGTGTCCTTGCGGACGGTGAAATAAAGTGTGTGTGTGTCTGTGTGTGTGAGAACATTGAAACGGCAATGGCTGTTTACAGCCTTCGCTACAATTTCGCCTCTCTGCTTGTCTGATTGCAGAGTCCAGTCAAGGACGCAGAACCTCGCCTACAGAATGATGGTCAACCAAACAGACTTGATGGCTCCGCATGAGGTGAGACCGGTGCTTTGGGTGCCTCGGCATTAAAGAGATAACCCGAGCAGACACGTTATGACGATCAGCCAACCCGACCGCCTCAAAGGGCTACTTTGCTCCCATCTCCCTTTCCGCAAAAAGGGGGGGCATTCAAAGAGATGCTTTTTTCGCGGGATTGCTCGTACAAACAAAACATTGCGCACAGCTACACTCTCGTGCCAGAGGCTTCAATATAGCGAGTATTAACTATCGACCATAGCTGTGTGCGCGACTGCTGAGCGCGTGCTGATGGCGAGCTTCCACAGTCCCTTTGCAACGTGCATTCCGCACCATCAAGATTGCCGATCTTAGGAGCCTATTAACGTGAGCTAGTTCTAAGCATGCGCTCTTTGTTGCGGTGTAATTTCAAGGACAACAGCGATCATTTCCATTCAATCTCTCCTTTGCACAATTTGATGACGTAACGTGGGGATCGCAGTACACCCCAATGAAGATATTTGAATGCGGTTCATAGATTGGACCCGAGCATTGCGTGGGCACTCGGTTTGGGCTCGTGATAACTACTAGCTCGAGAAGCATTCTGGAAGTGGCCCGTGTCCAATCGCTGCAACGACAATAGCCGAGCCATAGCAATGTCCGGAACTCAGCGTGTGTCCTGTGCTTTGCCAACCCCAGCGCGTGGCTATGATCAACATTGGCGACATATAATAGGCCCCAGATCACGTGACCGCTTGTTCTGGCTGCGAGTTGAGGGGGTGAACGCTGCTCGTTTTTCTTTAATTTATTTTTTTCTGGGACTTCTATTGCATGGGGTGAAAAACGAACGCGTTTTATAGGTCATTAACGTCAGGCATCCGTTCTAAGCGGTATTTGCGCAAAGCACAAAAATTGTTGCATCGCCCCTTTAAGTTAGGTTACGTATAAGTCACCGAAACATTCGTGTCTCGAATGTCGCCTAGCTGTCATGCTTTCTCCTTGAACTGCATGGTAGCCTCGCTTAATATGAAGCACAGAGGTCCCGGTGACTTCAAAGTAATATTTCGTACCGTAACTTAACGTAAGAAAACGGGGCAGGGTGAATGAACCTTAACTTTGGCAAGCTTGGAATTGCATGTGCTTGCCTTCACCGGCAGAAACATTACGGCGGCCAAACTTTAAAAATTAAAAAAAAAAAAAACTGTTTAGCAAAATCCAGTTTATTACCTCTAGGATGAGACCATAGAAACCGTACAGGGAAATTGATATTCTGATATGGGAGTCAGGCCATAGCCTCTTCTACACTAGAGGAGGCTATGGTTAGACATACCACAAAGAGAGAATCCGTTTCAGTGTAGCGAAATGAGAGTAGGGTAAGTTGTTGGGCTAGTTGGTTCATCTTAGTCAAACATATTTTGCTATATTTTATATGTTTGACGAAATGAGAGCCTCGCAGCATGTAGTCACGCTACCCGGGCACTGACAAAATGACGACGATTCTCTTTGCTTTCGCGCAGTCTCCCTACAGCACAGAAGAACAGTTCATGTACGAACCGACGGAAGAGGACAAGAACGCCTACTGCAACCTGCAGCCCATAGGCCTGGACACCTCAGACCACGTGACGCCCTGCCTACAACACACAATGGACCTCATGCCCCCCTCGAGGCCCATACCATTTGAAGGCAAGACCCTATCTTACGACACAAAGCGGGGAAAAAAAGCTAGATAAATAAAAGGAGCGGTCAGGAATGTGTAAACCTGCGTATGTTTATTTATTATTTGGTTACCATACAGCGTCTTAGAGTACGTTATTGCGAAAGAGGAACGCGAATACATGTCGACAAGGCTACAGACTTGTATGTGGCTTAAAGGGATACTACAACGAAATTTCAACGCTCATTTTTTGGTCTATATGTGTTCAAAAGAGCAGTATCACATGGAACCTACATATATCTTGTTAAAAAAGTCTCGAAAAGGAATTTTAAAACGAATTAAACGATTAGCAAAGAGCACCTGGTGGATGTCGCTAACGCCTCGTTTGTAATGCTCGTCTAGGAACCTTGACAGCTAGTGACGGAGGTTGTCTCGTCTCCGGCCACGACGAGAGAAGGGGGGAAGGAGGAACTCCCCTCTTCCCGAGAATCCCTTTTGTGTGCCGCAGAAGTCGCTATTGTCCCCCTAGAAGTTATAGAAGATTAACCCGTCACTCAAAATTCGTACAAAAGCAGCCGCTTCGGTGGCTGGAACGACTAGGCCATCCTCTCTTTGTCAGCCTCGCCGTAGCTTTGCTCGTCTTCAGACGACCTACGTCACGATTGCGTTGGATGTCACGTGGTCTCCGCTGGGCCTTCTCCGAGCGCTTGCCAGAGTGGGCCGTTTATAACGAAAAATACAGCCACCAGGATCAAAATACAAACGTGCGATTGTCACTTACGGATATTGTGGATCATATTCAACCTATTTTTGAACACGACGGGAATATTTCAAATTTCGTTGAAGTATCCCTTTAAAGGGATACTGAAACGAAATTTGCATTTCCCAAAACAAGGCCGCAGAAGCGTTGAACAAAACGCTATACGGACTCCAAAACCTCATTCATTCATCGATATCTCAAACGGATGGCCGTATTTCTGAAAAGGAAGGGCGCGATCAAGCGAGGACTCTAACCTCACGATCCTCCTGGAACGGTTAAGAATGAGGAGAAGCGGCCTCGCTTCGGTTCACCAGCTCGACGGGACGAAGCGAGGAGAGGGAATGAGAATCGTGACGTCACATGTCTCGTCGGCCTCGTCAGCCGTGTTCAATCGTGCACTTCCAAAAATACGACCATCCGTTAGAGATACCGCTGTATGGGTAGTGTTTTGGGGTTCTGCAGCGTCCCTCCTATCACTCCCGCCCTATTTTATGTGCTTGCGATTTTGGTTCAGTATCCCTTTAAGCATTACGTCATGTCAGTTTGTTTTTTAAGCGACATTTGTGAAAAATTTTTCGTTTAGAGTGAAATTAATTCGAGGACTGATAGCCCTTGCTCAATGCGGTAAACGAAGAATTGGTCGACGTTACTGCTTACTGGTCACATTTATTTAACATGCGCATTTTCCGAACTTTCCCCATTTGCCGCACAGTCCGCACCCGGTGCTCAGTTCGCGCTTTACACAATATTCCCATACGCAGCGCAGCTTGACACGCACCTGCTTTATTAGCCCACAAGAGAGCTCGTATCATACAGAAATTATCGTTAACATTGTCCGCCATTCACAAATCTAGCACGTCTCGTCATAATGAGGCATCTTGAAGAAAACAAGTCATTGTATAGTCCGCACCGCGTAAATTTTCAACTTTTAAACATGTCTTTTAAACATATTACAACTTCTCCAACTTTCTTGCTTCCCACCCTCATGGAATGTAAAATAAATAGAATGTAGAGTTTGTGGACATACGGTAGGTCCGCACGGTGTGGACAGTTCGCACCGCTCAAAATTTCAGCTTTTAAACACTTCTAGTTGGGAAAACACCGTAATGCTTCCTGGGGAGGAAGTGCTGGAACGTGACGAACCTCCCGTGCCCCGCGCGCACTACAGGCGACCCTTTCCCGAGCGACGTGCTGGACCTGGAGGGCGACCGGTGGCAGCGGATTCCGATCCAGCACTGGCAGTCCTGCGACGTCCTCACCTGGCTCCTGTCCTGGCTCGGCCACAACCAGATCGAGCTGGCCGAAGAGGAGATCGACGTGTTCAGCAACATGGCTGGCGACCACCTGTGCCGACTGAGCCCCGAGGAGTTCCGCAACATCGCCCCGTCCTACGGCCACATGCTCTACGAGGAGGTCCAGCGACACCTCGGCAGCGGCTCCGCAGCGCGCAGTGAGTGCATAATATGTGCACCCATCGCCATTCGCGATTCCACTGCGGGCTTTGATAGTTTAAAGCAGCTTCCCATCGGCATGATGAAAAACAGCGCTCAGAAGGGACAGGACAAAACAAAAGTCCCTTTGAGCACTGTTTTTCATCATGTTCAGCGACCACCAACTAGCCAAAATATCACTTTCCTACCCACATCTTGCGTCAAAGTTGTTAAGACAGTCCGGCTTCATCCTAGGCGCTGCTATTTGCTTCCCGAAACCTGCACCGTCGCGACGTGAGCGCTCTAAAGGATGTCGGTACATGTAGCTATACTCCGCGACAACTTTTCTTGGCAATGCAGTGGAAGGTACGTCCCGCGTTCCCTCTCCCATTTTGAGTGTACGCAGGCTCTCCTCCTCTCCCCTGAAATGGGGGAGGAGGAGAGCCTGCGCACACTCAAAATGGGAGAGGGTGACGCGGGACGTACCTTCCACTGCATTGCCAAGAAAAGCCGAGAGCGAACACAAGCGTCGCTGCGGTCGCCGCGCCCTGATTGGGTGAGGTGTACCGTGACGTCAGGGGGAGTACTCCGCTCCGCGATCTCGCATCGGCTCGCTTCCCAGCACCGGTTTCCTGGTTTGGCGTTGTGTGCCGCAAGCTCTTCGAGGAGCTGGACTTTGTTTACCCGGTGTAAAAGGCGTTGAGTTAGGCCGATATTGACGTGCTTCCGTACATTTTATAAGCCTGCTTGTCCCTTTTACCTTTAAAATTGGGTTACAAATCTCGAAAGCTATCGGCGGAGGCAATACCGCCGATGAACCTCCTCGTCCGTCCAGACACACGGCAATCTTGCGAGGGGTCGGTGAAGCGGTGGCGCAAGTGTTTCAGACGCTAGAATTCTGTTCCTTGCATGTTCATGATTTAGGACGATATTACATCCCGATTTCAAGGTATTTAAAGTGGCATTTATATCATGGGCCTTTGGGTGGTCGGCAAATTAGCTCGCGACCCCGACTCTGCGCTGCCACTCTGTATGCTCTGGTTCGCAGATGTTTTAAAGGCCCTGCGTCTGATGATCTTTGAAGTGCTCGTGGAACAGCGTTGTTTTACATAAATGTAGCTTCTTCGTGAATTAATTATATAGTTTATACACGTATGCAGGCATATTTCTTAGAAGATGCACAATTACTGGAAATTAGTTTGTATTGTAGCAGCAAAAACGGCTGAATTGCCCCCAGTTGCCTGTATGATATGTATTGAACTGCCAAAAATATGCACAGCAATAGTGACATAATTTGGAATGATTATACTTTTTTTTTTACATTCTTTATTCCAGCCTTTGGTATTCGTAAAATACAGCGTTGAGTCTGAATTGTCATTTCCAATTAAAAGAGACACTGCTGCAGGTCTCCAAAAGCTTCCTCAGCCTCCGAACTCCCTACAGCTGGACTCTCAGACAGCAGAGGAAAACAGGAGTAAAAGCAAGCATTCGAACGGCTGTCCAGTGGTAGGTGCAGCACTAGTAGCAGAAAATGTGGAACCTGTGAAGGGCGACAGTCTGCGTGAGAAAAGCTTTTGATATTTTAGCTTCAGGACAATTCGATTTAAGCATCTCAATTTCAGGGCTTAAGGGACTAATAACAAGCTACACACCTTCGCTTACGTTTGTTATACATTACTCAAGGGTTGATATAAACAAGTTTACAGATACCACCCATGTAGTCCATTGAAATACTATCCGAATCCAACCAAGGTCAAATGCGAGCAAAGTATATTATAAATGTTCCTTGTTTATTTACTTTGCCCCCGCAATTGGGCTGTCGTACTTGTGATTCTCTCTCCATGGCCCAGACTGTATTTAGTATGTTGCCCGAACAACATGCAGCTTTTCTGTTTCGGACATCTTGTTTAAAAAGATACAAAAAAAATAGTATACATAGCCTGCTAATTTATTCAGACCATCATCAGCATGTATTGTGCGAAATGTAAATCTATAGTGATGCTCCTGCAATTGTGGCTATATTTCTTCATTTTCATATATCTGCTGCGATTCATGCGTTGCCTGCCCTGTCAACCATGCTTCAAATGTTGGTTGAAGTTTCGCCTGTAGCTACAGGTCATACCTCATTAAAGGCACATATAAAAATTTACACTTCCTACGAAAAACACGCCAAAAAAATATTAAATAGAAACGAGCGCGCCGACAGCTAGCGTCGTCACAGCCTCCACAGGGCGAGCGGGGCGAGCCGGGGAAATATTCTCTCCTCGCCGTGACGTCACCCAGGTTCGCCGTAAGGGGGCGCCACGCGAACTTCTCGGGGGGGATATAGAGTGAAGTACCAGGAAATTGATACAGTGTGCACTGCTTGTGGAGAGGAGGACGAGACGGCTGAGCACTTGATACTCTACTGTAAAGGGCTTCACCCTATGCCTACCGAAGACAACATAGATTTAATAAAGTCATTGGGTTTTAGAGACAGCGAAGGGAGAGTGGATTTCAAGACTGTAGAGATTACCAAGCAAAGATTAAGTGAATGGTGGCAGAAATCGAGAGAAAACTAGGTATTTTCTTATCCACTGATGGCAAGGGGGTTTCATAGCCTCACTTTCTTTGCACTGCGGAGTGAATATAGATTTCACATTTAAATATTCTAAGCTTAAATGGTAAAACAAAATGGCTAGGTGGCGTAAGCTACCGCCCGATCCAAAGGGCTCAGCCGTATTCATCCATCCATCCATCCGGGGCTAATATGTCCACCTTCCTGGGAAGTTGCCGTTGTACTATAGCTTTCTCCGCGAAGCACGCAGAAAAAAAGTGTCAGACTTCGTCTTTTTATGAGTCTCAAATAATTCGATGACAGTTCTACCCTTTCCATCTTCGCACCGAGAACCGAGAAAGTAGGCATCATGTTGAGCCACAAAAAGATAAAGTAGAAAACCGGCGCACCTGTACGAATTACGTAAGCTTCCCCACATCGACTCGCCGAAAGCCAAGGAGGTTAGAAGTACTAGGAGGGGGCACGTTGCAATATTGGTGAAGCCTAGTCATAAAAAGTTTAAACGATTTTGTGCCCAGCGTGACCGCAGATCTGTCTGGTGATTGGTGCGCGTGACATGTCACGTGTGAGATGGATGGTTGATTGTAGAAAGACTCCTCGCAGGATTGTGCGCGCTCCGTCCGGTAGGTTTTATCAGATCGAAGACTAGACTGTGGTGTATTGTAGTACCCCATAGCAAGGCCAAGGCTAGCTCCGGTCACGTGATGTGGTCACGTTGGCATGGTAAGTGACGAGAGTAAGGAGGAAAATGAGAAAGAGGCGAGGCGTCAAGGCAGCATGGCTTGTGGAGGCTACGCCCCACAGGACCTCGTATGTCACGGGTACCGCCGCGATGCCAAGAACACGAGCGTAACAAACCCCTAAACCGCAACCACCACCGCAGACCTCCGACTTTCTTTCCGAAGATTCGAAATACCACTATTTCGGCACCAAAGAGGCGGGTCCCATTGCGTTGCAAGGGGCGGAAGTGTGCAGGCAAGGTGGTTAGGAAACATCATAACTTAAACCCTGAGATGAAAAGAAAGAAAATAACGAACAAGACAACACAAAAATCCGCATTGTCCGTTATTTTATTTCTCCTCGTCTCAGGGTTACATTATGGGGCTTGCATACGATGTTTCCGACGCGAATTCAAAAGCGCCAAGTCATCGCGTTGCTCGCTATGCAGCTGACAGCGATGCACACGATGATGGTAGCATAAAAAGGCAGCGGTTGAGTCCAAGGGAAAGCCGGGACAACCAGTCTTGGGGCAGGGGATGACTCTGCGCTATTCGATTCGAACCACTGTTAGCAAACCCCTAACATATTTTTTTTTTTTCGAGAAAGCAGTGTCAGAGATGTACTGTAGTTTGGTTGACGCCGGGTCACCGCGAAACATTTTCCACGTTTTATCGAAGCTCGGTTTAAAGAAAGCGAAGCCCAAATTTAGAGAAACTCCGTTTATCGAGAAGGAACGCTGTTTAAAAAAGGCTTCCCTGTTTCGCGAGTGTTAAATTACTCCCCTCCGCCCTCCCGCCCGGCGTTTATGCTAGGGGCACTGACACCCCAAAGGTCGTATTTATTTTTATTGTCTAAAACGATGCAGGTTGCAGTCACAGACACGCAAAAAAAACCGCATCGCGAAAAAAAAATTTCCCGCGCGCGCGCGCGCGCGCCTTTTTATTTTTGGCGTTTGATTTTCCCGCCTCTCGCCTCCTCGCTTCTTTTGATCGGTGACGTCAAAAATCAGGAAATTTAGAAGCTTTGTAGGCGACATCTCTATAACATTTAATTACGGCAATCCTAAAACATGTTTTTTAACGCAATTGCGAACGCACTACGGCCCTTCTTTTTGAAATACCAAAAATCGGGAGTTCGTTGTGGTGCCGTCTCCTGGATTTGTATCCTCCAACGGAAAACAGGCGACACCGCTCAAAACCGGTCCGCCGAAACGCCGCCGCTCACTCCTTTCCTCCTTGCTTTGGGTCGCCATGGCAACAGCAGGGAGTGGTGAAAGGAAGGGGACTCTCAGGTCTCCTCAATTTTTGACGTCAAGGCACCGGCGCCGATCGCGCGGGAACTTCGAATTCGGCATTTGGAAATTGTTTTTTTACTTCACAAATACTGAATTCCCAAATCTCAAATTTTGAGGGTAATGTCCCGGCATCGTTTTCAATCGTTTCGGATAATAAAAAAAAATATGATTTTGATGTGTCAGTGCCCCTTTTATGCTGCGGCAGTCTACGGCGGCTCATTACAAAAGTGTTGGCTCAACCGAACTAGAGTTAGGAGCCAGAGTTGCGTGTCTGTTTTCCACGTGCCGCCGCGCCGCCATTCGCCGAGATCCGATCACGTGAGGAGCAGACTCAAATGCCGTGCAGGAAAGTAGAGTAGACGTTGCGCACGCACCGGCGTACGTTTACAGAGGCTGTACTACGTTCCCCTGCTTTTGAGCGCGCCGCGCGCCTCGAACCCGCGGCGCCGCTATGCGCAAAATTCAGTCACGCGAGGAGCAGGCTCAACATGTCGTGCAGGAAAGACGGCGCTACGGAAATGAACGCGCAACTCTGACTCCCGAGTTACCGACTAGCCCAACCGAGAGGTGGGCTAGCCCGATGAATGTTGTTAGCAAGCTCTGTAGCACGCGGACGTTTCAAGATCACACGAAAATAAAGCGTTTTGATTGGACAGTCTGAATTAAAATTATTATCCCTTAGCGACAACGGCATCGCAGCATGAGTGTGACGCAATAATCAGGGAATGAATTGTGCACCATTACTTTACTTATAAATAGAAGAACATTTTTGCTTCATGCTATCATTCCGAAACTAAGGGAGAAGAGCGTGCCAGAAGTCCCCTAACTAAAGAGACATCAGAAAGTGAAGTGCGTTTGCTGTGAGCACATGAACCAGAGATTATTGCATCATCAGCACTGTTACCAGATCCCATCCGCCATCCGCCACACCATCATGTGACCGGATGCGCTATCCGGTCACACTGTTGCCACCGGCATCCCTTCTCGAGGCTTAACTTTCTTCATTCTTGTGCACTTTAGGTTCGGTACCGTGGAACATTACTATTTAATATTTCTTTGTTGTCTTAACTACTGCCATGATTTATTTTAATACGGTCTAAAAACTTGAGCTCTATATTTTACTTTTGGCACTGAGTGTTTTCAAGGGTGAAAATGCAAAAAGGTTAAGCACAAAAAGACAAGTGGAGTATTACAGCAGATACCTAGAAAAGCATAATTAGAGACCCAGTCATCCTTGATTGTGTTGCCTGGAATTTATGAAATGGAGTAAATATGCCATGCCATGATGGTTTCTGATGATTATTCCTGAACATGAGTATGACATCCAAACGGTTTCGGTGAAACGTCTATTTTCCTAAGCCCATACAACCTTTCTTCTCAACAGACGTCACTGGCCTCTCAGAACCGTTCTACGACCCAGAGAAGTATGGGTCCTTCCAGCACTTCTTCGACCCTCTGGAGATCCCAAACAGCAGCCCCGGCTCAGAAAACGGTAAGCGTCCTCTCCCAACCCAATCAAAGCATGCTGCACCAGAACAATCTCAGTGGCAGGCGTGCTAGCCTCGCCAATTTAGTCGCCCGAGAGCCGTTTTTGCAGCCTTGCACCATCCCTTTCTGTAACCCTGTCCAGTGACATCTTCGAGATCTCCTGGTCTTGCAGAGTCTGACAGTGGGAGCACAAGCAGCAGCTTGAGCACCGTCAACGAGAGGACAGAGAACCTCTTTGCCTACATGCCTCACGACACACGGATACTTGCGAAACAAAGTGAGTCTAGGAAAAAAATCTGTCTTCCTCTCCCCTAGGGAGCAAACCAATATCCACCGACTGCTGCAGCTGAAGCTGAGCTAAGATAGAGGACACTGCAAGACAGGACAGATGTCAAAAAATAAACCACAGGTCCGACAGGCCGAGAAAAGCTGTTAAACCTATCGACGCGCAACCTCGCTGTTGCAGTTAAACTGGGGCCAGTGCTCCTGCCTGGCACGGCGCTGCGGTTAGACAGGCTTGCTGGGTGCAGACTGGCGATAGGATGGTAGACTGATGCAGGCCTTTGTCTACCCCTTTTCCCCTCCCCCGTTCTGTGTGTGCAGTGCCCCCTCCGATGCCCCTGATGGGCAAAAAGAAGGGCCGGAGAGGCAGACCTCCGATCAAAGAGGCCAAAGTGCGCAGCCGAGCAGGTAAGCACCAGCAAGCCTGTCTGGGCCTACGTCGCGGCTTCGCTCTCCGCCGGGTCTGCCTCTGGGGCCCTTGGCAAGCGGTTTAAACCGAATCCGGGAGCAGCGAGAGTTAAACAAGGTCACCCAATGCAGATTGTGTGTTGTACAAGGCTTCGACTTCACCATTCCTGAAAAACGGTTAAAGGCCGACCTGCGGAATATTCAGCGGGGCCGAATTTATTTTCCCTCTCCCTTTGTGTCCTTACAATAAAAGAGGAGGAGGTCTTAAAGACAAGAGAATTCCCAACAGGTGAAAAAGCAACGCTCAAGGGAACTTGGTGGAGAGTACTTGCATCTGGCTTACTTGCCAGTGGCTATTGGAATAAGGGGAAAGTTCTCCTTTCCCTCCTTCCTAGATGCAGATAAGCCTTTAACCAGTTTAATGCAACAGGAACATGAGGTGTTTCTCAACGAACCTTCAGGAAGAAGTCGTGGTTACTTGCTTATTCAAGGGCTATTAGGTGCTCTGTGGCAACGCACATTTAAAATCTTGTTTCCTAATAATGAGCATGGAGACGTTCATGGAAACAGTTGCATTGATGCTGTACCTTGAAACAATTCTCTTCACAAATATGCAGAGCCAAAACAAAAAGTAATTGGGCCACGTCCCCAAACATCTGTGTTCTATGGACCACAGCGAAAAGCTCCAAGAATGTGGCAGGATCGGGTTCTAACCAAGCGTGCCGCTGTTTCCCTGCAACTCCAGGCAAAGGCATGGGCAAGCTGTGGGAGTTCATCCGAGACCTTCTGCTGAACCCGACCACGAACCCGAGCCTCATCCGATGGGAGCGGAGGGAAGATGGCATCTTCAAGTTCGTCCAGTCAGACAAGGTCGCAAAAATGTGGGGTGACCGCAAGCAGAATCCACGCATGACCTACGAGAAACTCAGTAGGGCCATGAGGTAAGCATCCAGAGGTTCTAGTTAGAGATATACGGGATTCGTCGTGGCATTGAGACCGAGAGTTTGAGCTGCTTCTTGCTTTCCCTTAACAAATGCATGATCTCGAGGTGGTGGTGCTCTTGATACTTTCCCAAAATGAACACGAGCTACATTTGTTCCTCGAGTATGCTCCTGAATGCGAGTCATACTGGTTGGTAATGAGGTTTTACCTGAAAGCCAGGACAGTAGTTGGATGAACTACAGCAGCTGGAAAACCTAATAAACTAAATTAATATAATGAAAAAAAAAAAAAAAAAGAAAAGGTAGTGGGTTATTTACCAGTGCCAATATTTATTTTAATTTATAAAGAGGTTTGAGAATAAGCTTTCTCAAAACACTTACTAGATACAAGACTTACTACCAGTCACTAAGCTTTTTACTTATAAGGATACTTTCCAGCTCAGTCCCACTATTCTGAAGTCAAAGTCAAGCTGAGCCAACTTGGAGGAAACTAAGATCAGGCTTAGGCTGTGCTTATGAAAGGCTATCTTGTGCAAACCAAAGTGAAATTTGATCACAACAGGGCCCAAGCGCACTAGTTTGCCTCGGGCAAACCGACAAGTGCCAGCCACGTTAGCACTAAGGGTTAAACATCCAAATGCTCCCGTTCATGCCCACAGCAAGTTAGTTTCTATCTTTCGACTGAACTTCTTAGCTGCAACACCACCTGACACGTCCCTGGAATGCACCTCAGAATTTCTGAGTAACCATTGGTGTTGGTTTTCTCACTAACCCTAACCTCTGTCTCTCTCTCTCTCTACACTCACCCTCTCTCTCCCCTGGCCTTGGTGCACGAACGGAAGAACCTATTATGGCAAGCAGATCCTTGAACCTGTGCCCAAGACAGAGGGCCTCCCCAAAAAACTGGTCTACAAGTTTGGACCCCGTGCCGGTGGCTGGTTCCGCTCAGCTTCCAGGGACTACCACCCTTCTTCATACCCCCGTTTGCACCGTGCCGGTACCAAGTGTTTCTACTGACACCGACCCTCCCGTCCTCGTTCCCCAACTCTCTGGTGATGGTGCTCTGTACACTCTATGCGCGGTGACGGTGCGCTAACAACGCGTCAAACTGAAAAGAAGCCAGCCGACATGCACTCCCCTAAACAGTCAAGTTGGAGACCTTACAGTAGCAATGTTTCCATTTCCTTGTGTATCCTCGTTACCCGAGATTTCGGCTCTAGGGTACGGACACTTTTTTTTACAAAAGCCACTGCCAAAAATTTTTAATGGGCGCACGATTGTGTGCACTTCCAGACCAGAGCGAGGCCAAAATGGGTCCTCATATGTGCCAAAAACGATTGCCAATCATAGTCAGTTTGAGCATCAAAAGCGGCGCTTGAAGTTCGCTGCGAGACGTTGGAGCTGCACAGACTAACGATCGTGCCATCCTGTGTGGCCCCCTTCCCCCCTTCAGATACTACTACAAAAGCCAGGTCCTCCTACCAGTGTTTGGACGTCGGCTCGTGTACAAATTTGGTCCCAACGCCACCGGCTGGAGACCCTAAGCAAGACACCGCAAGAACAAAAATATCCATTTCGGCACGGCCGGGCCCCTCCCCCGAAGAGAGAAATCACACTTTCTGCCAAGACGCGCTTAACGTGCGTTTTCTTGTTTGTTTCTATCTTTCTTCCCCAAAACAAACAAAAGTACAACAGCTCTTTTCCCTCTTTTTTGTATTTCTCTCTTCCTCCCTTTGTTCAGTTGTTTTAGGAGAGGGAACAAGTTTAGTCACGGACAGAGCCACGTAAATTTTGGAAGGAATACCTTTAAGCGCCCAAGCTCGACCTCGAGGTCTGGCCGCGCGGACCTCGACACGTTCACTCGCTTACCGGCGAGGCGCAGTGCCGTTCCTCCGTCTTCTCCAATTTTCCCGCTCACAAACCCGAACGGAACATTCCACGAGACTGCATGGCGTTGACCCCAGCACCAGTTTATTCACCAAACGTAACCCAATTTCTGATAAAATTTACGTCGCTCTAGTCACCAGGCGTTGTTACTTCAATCTCTCGGACCTTACAATTTCTTGTGCCGTCCAACGCAAGCGAGGAAAAACGAATTTGAGCAAGCATTGGACTCTCGCCAATCAAGATGTCGTAAATGTGAAGACAGGAAAATAACGAGGGCCAGCGAGTTTCTGTGACGTGCAATCATCAAGTAGCATACTCATGTCACCTCGAGTCACTCTCCAAAAGTGCATTATACACATCACACCGGTGACTTTTTTTTTTTTTGTTTGATTTTTTTTCTTCACCATACTCCTTTGCTTTGTGCCGGTGATCCATTCCGTGTGAGGTGCACTTCATCCGGTGTCCTTTGGAACGCTCACCCCTGGGCAGTGAGACGGAGTGACCAGCCTCTTGTACGAGGCTCTGTACAAACCTTGTGTATAAATGCCAGAGCAGTATTTTCAGGTATTTTTATGCAAATGCGCCAGAGAATGTGTGCGGGCGTGCGCCCCTTTTTTTGTCATTCCAACTTTCTTCCTGCGAGCGCGGCTTGCTGCAGCGCTCCAAGGAACCTCTGCTAGAGATTCACGTTACTTGTTGCTCCATTACTTACGCGCAATACTCTGACCCATCCAGGCAACCGAAGCCCAGCAAGTGTACTTAAATCGTATATAGAATGCAACCCATTTGAAGTTACCGATTGAGGACCCAGTCAAAAAAGCCCGCTGCAGTTGCCTGCGCGGGATTTCAAAGAGTTGCTCAATGTTTTTTTTTACGCGATACAAACTTGTTAAGCCTTGCCTCCTGGCGTCCCAAGCGGGTTGGCATGGTTTTCTCGAAGCAGCAGTCTCCCCCGATGTAAATTTCGGACGTGCAATGCCAAAGGTGCCGTCGGCACTCGCGGCACATTGGTTGTAAAAGTGTATTTCACCCCTCCTACAGACTGGGGGTCCTTTTTGACGGTTGTGGGGAGGGGGGGCCTTGTGTATCATATGTCCTTTTCCTTCAAAGAACAACTTATTGTGTTGCGAAAAAGTGAGGCTTGTTGATATTTCCAACCATATTTTATGAGGAGAAATATATTTCGAGAGGTTATAAACACAGAGCTATTATATATAAATACTTATAAGCAAACTCTCTGTATGCAAAGTGCCTTTTTTTCCTCCTGATTTTATTTACTCTGTACAAGAAAGAAAGCTGCAAATAAAGACATTACTTGTAGATAGCTACGGGATCTCCTTGTGGACTCGTCACTCTTTGTTTTAGACGAGCCCGAATATGGGGAAACCTACAGGCGTGGTCTACAGTCGGTGATGGGCTGAGAATGCAGTGAAAACTTTGCCTCCAGCAAGCTCTTATTGTCTTCCACTGGGCTTTGCCTGCGCGAGTCAAAAAGTGTTATCAAAGGCAGAAAGCTCGTGCCGAGAAGGAACTTCTACTGAATTCTTAACCCGTCACCGACTAATAGTGTTCTATAATGTGTTCCTCTAGGTCTCCCAAGATACATTTAGACCACAGCCAAGATCCAGGACCACATGACAGAAACAAACTGTCAAATTTGTCAACGACTTTGACCAGTCAACAAGGACCGTACAAGCTCTCTATGATAAATTCAGTTTTTTCAAGATAAATCTCCGACATGCGATTACCTCAAAAGGCTAAAACAATGTTACGAGCATACTTCAGCTTTGCCTCACTATACCATTCTTTTCTATGGACGCGTCCTCATTTTCTATGGTTTTTCCACTTCAAAGAGGATACAACTCTGCATGGCCTGTTACTCCGCTTGTCTGTCCTGGTTCTGTGTTAGCATAATGTTCAAAACAACACAAGTGATTGGTCTACTGTCGACTAAAAGATCTTTATTACAACCTCCCAAGCTAGCAGGCTCGTTCCAGTCTTTGCAGCCAGGGAGAACAATATTTACAACGGCGCACAGCTGAGGCACGCTACTAGAGAACCCCATGCGCCGGCGGTTCCTGCTGGTAAACTCGGTTGCAGCCACCCACATAGCCTCACCACTCCGGGAGGCCGAAACGCCGCACTACCAGCTCCTGGTCAGCCAGGTCCTTCTGCACTTTCTTGCGCATGTAGAAGATTGGGCAGTCCCGGCTGTAACGAGCATCTCATGATGGGCGCGGGGAAACCGAAGAGGACACGGGAGTGCCGGACAAACGGCTTTTGCGGAGCTGTTAAGACGTCTTGTGTCTAAGTAAGGGCTTTGCTCGGACAATAATGGCACCTCTCCAAGCAAATGAGTGGCCGCCCCCTTTTTGAGAAGACGTCAGCCGGCAGCTGAAACCGTGCAATTTGTGACCAGGAAGTTTGTGTCCGAACTTGGAAGAAGCGTCCAGATTTCAAGACGCCAGGCTCTCCGGCAACAACAAGCAGACTTTTGCGACAGCGGCCCCGTCTAATCGAGTCAGACATTAGGCTGGCTCGGGGGAATGGGGAAAAAAAAACAACTAGAGAATTCTGGGCACACACTACGAGGATTGCGCATCATTGTTGGCTTGAAATTGAGATGTCTCGCGGTCAAAGGCAGACTGTCGAGTTTCGAATAAGTGGACGTGGCGATCGTACGGTAGAATCTCTATACACAATAAACTGGCGGCAACTCGACCTCGGTTAATTCAACCTCTTGATTAGTTCAATCGTGTTCGAGCGTTACGGCGGGTACCCTGACACGTCTACAAAGAAAAACGTTAATTCCAACGTAGAAGGGCACCGTGTCGTACAATTAGATTTGGGCAAATGCGCACGAGCGATAACAAGTTGCAGAGGTTGCAGGACCAATGCGACGAAGTGATTGACATTTGGTTTGACAGTGATAGAGACTGTTCGATTAAAGATTTTGAGGGTGACTGAATGAAGCTTCACATTCTTTTGCTACAATTTTTTTTTTTTTTACTTTTTTTTGGGGGTTATACATTAAAAGTTAGCCCACTCACTACCTTCACCCGGTTGAACAACGATATTCGCACTTTGGTCAATTAACTGCGGAAATGAATCTGTGTCACCTATGGAGTGAACAGAAAAGCGCATTTTCTTGCGAGCACTAGTTTTTATTTTAAAAAATGAGACAAATCGAAGGTCAAAGTGCCTCTCAACTCTCGATGTCGCCTTTCGAGTGACATACTCCGGGGGATCACCTGGTTTCCTCTTGAGTTCTCTCTTCAGAGACCCCGGCCACCTCCTCCGCGATTGTCGACTTTTAAAGGATTAGCATCGTCGAAGGTCGCGGCGAGCGATTGACACAAAAGACGGTTTGCCACGGGGATGACAGCCAGTGTAGCAGCGGAGAGGGACAGGTTTTTGTTAACCTCTGCAAATGCAAATCAATTTTTTTTTTTTTTTTTTTGCATTTACGCAGTGGAATGGCAGTTTTTTGGGGCAACATTATGCATTTTTAGTCGCTTGTTCTTGGATAAACAATATAAAAAAAAAAAAAACTCAATTCTTTCAACATTAAAATCGTTAAACTACCCCTTTAACTGTAGAGGGGGTTCACTACTGAAATGGTTTTTGTGGTCGCCAGTACCGAAGACGGTCTTCTACGGTGTTACACCCACTCTACATAGGTAAGCGGTGAAATAAAATGACGCACATGCCTCTCTGCGAGGTATTAGATTTCATAGAAAAAGGAACCCAGCAACATCAGACATCGGCACAAATGTCTCATCTCCTAGACTTTTGATCTTTTCTGCCTCCCGCTCTTTCACTTGGCAGTCTAGATTCAAAGCAATTCTAACTCTTGTCTTAGGAAGCAAAACATGTCTCCCCTTTGGACAATAGGAACCGAAACACTCGGTTTGATCTTTTTTGTGTCTGCAGTTTTCAGAACCTCAATTATATCGCAACTTTTCAAAGTTTTTCGAACACTGACCTGTACAGCTGTAAACAATATAAGCTGAAACGACCAAACGACGACCGAAACATGCCGGTGGCGCCGAATCGCCGTAAGAGATTGAACTAGAAACAAGAGATAGTGTGCGGACGGAATCGCATTGGCTACTCTGCTATTGGATTCGGCCAGGTCAAGCTTGAGAACTGCACACTGTTGCTGCTCCAAACTGCCACCATGCACGTTTACATTTACCGTCACTTTTGCTTGTTCCTACATTTGACAAACAATTTAACTTACGACAGGGCTGAGCACCCAGATAACGAAGGTGAGGAGGCGGGAGCAAAGAGTGGAGGCCAGTCGCACTGAAGTGCTCCCAAAATACGGAAAAGAAGCAGGCCATCGCATGGCAGTGGCCGCCACACTTTCGTCGACATGTTTCTCATTGATAAATATAGTTCCAACTTCTTGGGTCGGGGAAGCGCCACCGCTATTCTCCAGTTGTCAGAGGGCTGTTTCAGCTTATATTGCCCATGTTTGCACAGTTGCGGGTGGAACGCGACCTTCTTTCATAGCTCCAATTGTACAAGAGAAATCAAAGGTAGTGGGAGATACTGAAACAGTATTTTCGGGAAAATCTGACATCAGTCATAATTGCGTATCGCCTCTTTTTTGCCGTAAGAAAACTGTTTGCATAAAGCAGAAAGGTCGAGAGAACCGCAAGTGACGGGCGATGCTGAGCATAAAACTAGGAACAAGACTAAAGATGAACAGAACACAGCCGAGACTTGACTGAACCACAGCTTACCTAGTGCACAGGACCTCTTCGTGCAGGCTTCCAGAACAACGCTGGCATTGTGTCCAAAGTTGGGAAAACCTTGATTCGAGACTGTTCAGGTGGTTGATCTGTGTTTGGGACACGAAAGAGTTCCTTTTTCAAAAACGGTACGTACGCTACTTACGTGAAACTCGTAAAGTGGTCGATCACACAGGTGCCAGTATTAACCATGCTATTTTGCGTGCTGCATTCAAAAGATGTCACTCACCTCCACGAAGTAGATTTCAGGTTCCCTGAGTTTGCAGCCGTGGCACACAGCGGATTCTAAAACAATAGAGTATGAAAAATGTTACGATTGGCGGCCTGCACAAAAAAAGCTTTACGTCCAGAAGATTGAAAACTCCACGTGTGCACAAAATAAGAAAATGTCAGCAAAATGTGAAAGAGGAAAGTAAGCACGATGGACATACCCTGGTCTTCGAGGACAGCGCGGCAACCAATGCAGGTGTTCTTTTTGCGTGTGAAGGCTGCCAGGGGCCCCACTTTAGAGTGCACCACTGTCTTGGTGCGTGTGTGGTCACCGCCTGTACAGAGAAAAAGAAAGGTGCACACACCGTCGATGCAAACAGGAGAACAAGGAGTGAGATTAATGTCCCCTGTGCACGCCAATGGTATTTCCAAAGCACCACCAAAGAGGAGCTACACAACTCCCTTTTCTTAGCTTTCACCGTTCACACCCTCCCTATCGAGCCTCAAAACACGTTCAGACAAAAAAGAGTTGTAGAGCCCTTCCACTTCACGTGAAGATGGAGGACCAGCGAAGCTGTTATCTTAACGACGTCCAGGACGATTCCTACAGGGCGCAGCCAAGGACGACCTCAAGGACGACTTCTAGGACGACCTCGGGGACGACGCCTAGAGGACGACGTCTAGGACGGCCTCAAGGAAGAATTCTAGGACAACCTCAAGGATGATGCCTAGAGATGATAACAGATCAGGAACTCACTATCTAATAATGCCAAGGAAGGCTGACTCACGCTGGTTGCCCCCTCTTTTTATTTTTATTTATTCATACCTGCCACGACCAACGGGGAGTTTTCTGTCGACATGCGAGGACGCATTTTTTTCCCAGACCCTAGCGTATAACAGCTTCCCTGTAAAAAGAAGGCTCAATTTTCAACCATGACTTGCAGCATTATTACGCACCCTCTATCCCCAATAACCGAAATGCTTTCAAGGTGACATGTCATGTTTTCTGTCTTCTTTTCCGACCAATAGCACGGCAAGGACTGCAACCCCCCCCCCCCCCCCCCCACAGTTTAGGTCTATCTTGAGTCTCCACTTAAATATATTATAACTCTTACGCAGAAAATTCTTGAACATGCAGAAATATAGTGAACTGCTTATAGCAGGCCCACAGCAACAAGACTTCATGGTACTGAGGATGCTGACTGCAATGACGAAAGTACATAGTACCACAAGCTCTCCCGAATTACATTTGTTTCTTCACAGCTTTAGATAGGTAATTGTGCCGCATCCATTTTACAGCTGACCACCCATTTAAAGTTGTACTAATAGCAAAGAGTTCACTAGAAATATTTTATTTGTGAAGCTTACCGTGTGACAACTCAGACTTTCAATTCGTCCGAGTGTGCATCTTGTGTTTTTCTCTGCTTTTGTACAAAAACACTTAACATCATCTCCCCTCCCCTCGTGTAATGCCCGTAAGAGCCCTCAAGGAGTAATAATAAACGAGGATGATAAGTACTTTTAAGTTAGACAGACACAAAAATTCTTAATCTTTGATTTCCCCTTTTTATATCATAGATGCTGAAGTTCAATAAAATAAATACAAAGTGCCAAGATACCAGGGCAACAGCTGGAACAGACGGATCAGTTCTCCTTGCACGTCCCTTGCTTCCAAACTTCTTGTATCCCTCAAGTACACAATCCCTTTCTCCGCAAAGAAGTCACGTTCCTTATGAACCACAATCCTCATCTGCAAGCTAGCTTTGTAAGGTATGGAGCCGCGTGCTCCTCTCTGCGAACGACTTCTTACGTGGTAAACAAGCCGCCTTTATATTACGGACCGAGGCAGCCATCCGCCAGCCGGGCCGGAGTCCCGAAAAACAACTCACGGAGCAGCACGGACTCGGCCAGGCTCTCGCCGAGGATGGGCTCGAAGATGCGCAGCAGGGGCTTGGACAGCTGGTTGTCCAGGTAGTACTGGGTGTCGATGGGCACATTGTTCTCCAGCACGTAGATCGGGTCCTCGGACTTGAGGTAGGCCGCCGTGCCCTTGGAGGCCGCCACTATCACGTACGGCACGCGGTCGCCCAGGTTTGGGGCGCTCCCGGCATCCCTCTTGCGCATCCTGCGACGGACCCAAGCGCATTTGTACGTCTAGTATATGTATAAAAGTTGTGTAATCGTGGATATTAGTCTACAATAAAACATAGTAAACATGCCCAGGTTCTAAAGGAAATGCAAGTACAAACTTGAAAATTATGCAAAAAAAAAAAAAAAGACGGAGACAAACAAGCTAAATTACAGGAGGCATTTAGGGTTTACGAGGCATTAACAACCGGACTCCTAGATGGCTTCTATTACACGTATTTGCATCTTGTGTCGCTGCTCTTTCCAAACTTGGAGATGAACCAAATGGTCAAATTAGCCGCCTTCCTGAAAAGCAAATAGTACTACCGTACCTAGTGTGCATTTAATTCTTTGTTTATTTGTCCGAAGCGCCTATTGAGGACTGTAATCCCACAGGGAGTTTATTTCAACAAAAAGTGCACAGCTTGGTGTTCAATAAAAAGTGTTACATTAAATCAATCAAAATTTTTTCTCAATTAGCCATACTTTTTTTTCCTTCAGCTTCTACTTTTTTTTACCAAACACAACATGTCCTAAGTGGTTGAAATCTGGTCGAACACTTACTATATGTACCAGTTATATATGAACAGTGCAGTGCCCCAGGACTGTCTCGGCACTATTTGGTTAGTCAAGTTAGATCAATCTTGTAAGAACCATAATCGGTTCCAAATGAAAACAATTTGCTCACAAATATATTAGAGTTACTACACGTCCGACAAAGTCGACACAACTGCATTTACCCTTGTCCCCCAACAAGCACGATACCTACAACTCAATTTTACCGCATGCATAATACAGTGCGTCCCCAATAAACCTACGGGAATTTCAAACCGCTTGACTCGCAACATAAAACTGCCAGTTTTATAGAAATTACGCTGCTAATCATAATGAAGTTAGTCTGATTAGATTGCTGCCGCCTTAATAACGAGCACAAGGATCGGCTGGAGCGGAAAGATGGCATCCGCGTCTCCACTCCCAGGCTCGACGTCCGCCCACTGACCGATTGGCCAGCTCGACGTGCGCCTGCTTGGCGGCATATTCCCCGTCGTTCTTGGTCAGTTCCTTCGTGATCACCAGCTGCGAGATGTCCACTCGGTTGCAGAGGAGGTCCGCAATTGTCTGCTTCGCAAACGCCACCGCCCCGTCGGGATCCCTGCGACAACGTTTAGGTCACGCTCAGGAACGCACAGACGTAACGGTAATATTAATGTGTGGTATGTGTTTTACGTTGTGGAAGCGGCCACATAAATATAACACACAAAAGCAAGAAATGCCTGCCCACGGGACAGGGTAAACAATGAAACAACTTACCAAAAAGCCAACAAACGGTAGAAAGTGTATTGATGGCAAGTAGCAAATGCCTCACAAGTAAAACAAAACACTTCATACGTTGTAATTACTAAATAACAGTGACATCAAATTAAAATGAGTAATAAACGAAAAAGAAATAGAAATCACATTTCATATTTTTAAAGATTTTCTTCAGCTGTTTTTGTCGGCGATACAAAAAATAAATTGCCTGGTAATTTATTTAAAGGAGGAGGAATATGTAACAGTAAGAAAGCACAAAACAAACAGAGGGACAAAAACAGACATGTACAAGCTTTCAGTTTACAACAACATATATTTGACGCCAGCGAAGTCTGCACCAACACCCGTCGGTGGGGAAAGGGGGGAAAGAGCAAGAGGGAGAAAAGAAGGGAGAGAAGGTTGAGAGGGAAGAAAAGGGGGGAGGGAGGGGAAGTTAGCGTTTCCGCATACGAAGCATGTCATTTTATTCTCTTACCTAGTAACTTTATACCTTGGTTACTACACCAAAGGTTTCTCTTTTCTACCTCAATCTTTCAACTCTTATTGTAGTAATACCTCGTTAATTTTACATAGTATTCATAGATGTAAGACGACAGTACACCTTAATGCATTCATTAAGAATACCCCTATGAAAGCACACAAATGAACATTCGTGCAAAGAAACAACGAAACTTAACTTTCCTCAGCTGGACAACGCAACAGAAGCGTTCACAAACGAGGCTCACCTCTCAATGAGAATCTTTTCGAGGCAGGTGTTAATGAGGTTGGCCACAAGGGGGCAGTTGTCCCTGCGGACGGTCTCGATGCCCTTGCAGTCCATCTTGTCGTGTGCATCAGGCCGCGTGTAGAGCAGCCCGGCGTAGCGCTTCTTGTTGATCAACAGGTAAGGGAAGTACACCTGCTCAATGATAGAAAGAATAAACTAAATTAATTTTGGTTTTGAACACTGCGCGACACTGCTAGCGCAAACAGGACAAAAGCATTTTTTTGCAGTTCACTTCGAAAGAGTGTTGGCACGTGTCAAACTTTACAGCTTAAGATAGTGATCCAAATGAACTTTCTTTCATAACAGTACTAGCATTGATGACAGTGCTTCGATTCAAAGAGAAAACCCGAAAAAAATCATTGACCACTTGTTTGCGCTAATAGTGCCAGGCGCCGTATATACTACCCCAACCTGAAAAAAGTGATATACATTTGACAGCACTGTATCGAGGATGTTCCTGTGGTAGATGAAAATAAGTAGATGCCCAAAACAAATTAAACACAAAAAAAAAAGTTTACATGTGAAAAGAAACCCAAAAATCTTGCGTACACTCCCCCCACCCTGTGCCCATTTAAATCTTCCAAACTTGCCCCGTGATACGCATTCAGAACTTTTATAATCGCCTCGATGCTTCATGCATTGCATTATTAATCAATCTTTTATTGCACTCAGTCTTTCCTTAATAATCTCTAGAGTTTATTGTTGCCCTTTTTTGCTCCATGTACCGTGTTAGCACGATTGTAACGCACACATTTTTTCGCCGAAATCGGTGCCGAAAAATCAAAACCAAAAACTGAAACTCAAAAGAAACTTTCAGCCTTTCCACTCTGGTGAAGAAGGAAGGAAGACAATGGAAAGTAATGGCCGGCCGCAAGTCGGCAAGCCAGAGTGGAAAAATTGTGGCCATCTATGAGCGACGGTGGCAACCAGGTACGTGACTTGCCGCCGTCGCTCATAGATGGTGGTAGGGGTCCAGAGTTTGGTGTCTTCATTTCTTTGCGGGGGACACAATCCTGGGGAAACTGGCCCTTAACAGCTCTGCTGTAAAAGAAAACCACAATAATCGGTATAAGGTGGCTAACCCCATTGGCACCGTGACTGTTTGTTTCCATGGGACTATGTGGTATCTGTATCATGCGTATGCTCTTGCGTCTGCCGTCTTAAGATGGAAAAAGAAAAGTAATTTTACTAGGAGACATTATTTAAACGAAAGGTCATCACGCTGGAAGGGAAAGATGACAACAGAGCAGCGCTGCGTGGCCTAGCAATCCCAGCAACCCGACGAGCTTGCAAAGTTGTTTGGAAGACGGACTTCCCAGATGTGACGGTCGCGCACTCGTACAAGCGCAAGAAGCCCGGAACCTAAAATGCTTTAGACGAAGGCAGACAACGAAAGAATCGTCGGCGGCCTTTGACAATGGCGACTAGTGCACGGTATTTTGCATTGGAGTGCGTTTCATAAGTTCTGTTCTATGAGGTATGTGTTCAGCCTTCCTTTTTCTTTTACCTGCGCGGTACAATCGCGCTCAAGCTACTTCCCGAATATTTGAGTGCTAAATATACCTGCGCATTACAATCGGGGGCACTTTACAATTGTGCAAACACGATATATCGTGAATTACAAAGGTAAAAGCTGTTCATGAGCGCAACAGATAAGCAAATGAATGAACGAATGAATCTGAATGAGCATCATGCCGGCATCTGTTCGTATAATTGCTGCTGCACGATGCATGTGGAAAGCCCCAGGGCTGGCAGTTATACTGCAATGGCTAAATTTCTTGTCTACAGCAGACACACCAGACGCCTCCTGGGGCTGACTAACTTCCAGCTGTCTAAACATACATATACAACACAATTACGCGAAAAGAAAACATGCTTGTTCGACTCATCGTCGTTATGACGACTAAACTATAGCAAAAGCAAAGCGCATACTCGCGACAGGAACTTGCCTTTTCGAACTCGAGGTTGATGGGGCGCACAAACTTCTCCGTCACAAAATTGGCCGCCTCCCGCCCAAGTTCCATAGCCTTCTCCAGGGAGTCCACTCCAAAACGGATCATGACCGAGTCCGTGTCACCGTAGATGACCTTGGCATCTGCTGGGTAGCCGTTGGCCCGCGTGTAGCGCTCCTCCACTTCCCGCTTCGTCTGCTCGATCATCATGCGACCAAAGGCAGTGACGCTCTGCAAAAAATAAAAATGACTAGTGTCTCGATCGTATATTTGACAGAACACACTGCATGCTAACTGGGCACATGCTGCGTGTTTGTGTCACATGCTGCGTGTTTGTGTCCTGTCACAGTGACATGGGACACCCTGACGTCAAGGTCCTATAAGCAATTGCCCCTAAGTTGCTTTATTGCTTATATACGACCTTGAGCTATGTGTCGGTCGAGAGTGGCATGTTGCTTTCCCCGTAACACCCAGCCCCACGACACATCTAAAGTTAAGGGACTGTAGAGCATTAGCCATTAGCAGAAAGCAAATACTAAGATGCAACCCAGTATGCTTCCACGTTGTAAACGCTCAAGCGTTACGAGTCCCCGCAGTGGCTTGTTGTGGCCGGCCGCTTCAGCAGAGCACAATCTGGATATCAGTCGCAATTAGTAACAGTGACAGCGACTGCACACCTGGGAGATGGCCAGGCAGGGAAGCTTCCCCACTTGTGCCCCCGTGAATCCGTAGACGGAGTTGGCGCTGATCTTGAGCGCGAGCTGCCGGCCGTCCAGCACCTTTTTCCGGAAGGGGTCGGACTCGTTCTTCAGGTCCGTCTTGGCCCTGGGCGCCGCATGGTAAGTGTCAAACTTCCACCCGGTGGGAAGCTCACAACCGGCGACTAACGGTCAGAAAAACGGACGGCAAAAGTTCCCATAGCTTGGACACACTTAAAAAAAGATTTGCTCCTTTTCCCAACTATTGTGGTTAGAGGTATGTATATCATTGCTTTGCAACGATGTCACACAGATGAAATTGGTACGCATTTTTACTGTGCCTCCTGCACACTCTCCTGCTTTATCTGGGAGAGCACCTGCTCGACACCTCCGAGATAATTGAGCCATAGTGCTGGATTCTGTACGTCATCTACCGGAGCGTGAGCGCAGATCACGTATTAAACACAAGCGCTGCGTCATTGTTTGGCCAGAAGTCGTCTATGATTCGTGAGCATAGCCACACGTCAATTTTTGATCAAAAATTGATCAAAAGTCAATTTTTGAGTGATGCCCTTACATCACACAAAGTGCGTTGCCAACAAAAAATAAAAAAATCAATTAAATTAGGTTACTTAGTACATAGTTTGATTTAGATCACTGTAGCTAAAAATAGTGATTCTTTACCACAAGATGAATTCTTTAATGTGGCAGATTGAATAATCAATTCGTCCCACCGCTGATAACAATGCAAAACAAAAATAATTACTGCAATATAAAGAACAGTTTAATCAATAACTTTTTATTGCTGTAATCCCCACCATACTAAAACAAAAATGACTTGATTTTTTTACAGTTAGTTAAAAACCTTGTTTTATTTTTCTTTAGAGTTTTGACTTCGTTGCAAGGACCATTACTATTTCGTTTCTTATTTTAGCGTTACGATTTTGTTGCAACAGGATGTTACGTAAAGCGGAAGGTTGAAATCAAGTTCAATGCTCCGACTTGCTCAAAAGAGCACTTTGTTTAGCTCGTGTTAAGCCTTATATGAACGTTTCTTGCTCAATGATTCTTTGATCTAAATACAAATTAGATGCATAGAAAAAGCATCAAATGATAAAATGATAGACAAACAGTAAATAAAAAATATTTCTGATTATTTCTTTTGGAAATATTTGATTGAAACTATTATAGTAAAACCAGACTGATTTAGATCACGATTGAAGTAGCAATGTAAAACATATTGATTTTTATTCTCACCCCTGCCCTAGTAGCACCATATGTTGCCATAACGTAACTGGAATGTCACAAATGTAATGTAACGTTGGGGCACATTTGGGTATGTTATAGCAATGTTTGAAAACTAACGTAACAGAAACGTTCTCCTGTAACATTGTTTGAATGTCACAGAACGTCATGTAACGTTACATCACATAGGCAAACATTCCAGGAATGTTAGAGAAGCAACATTGGAGCAACGTTTAGAAATAACCTCTTGGTAACATTTCCATCCTGACATACGGGCAATGTTATGCAGCGATGTTGGCCTAATGTGACGAAATGTGACGCATCACCACATCACACAGAGGCTGGTCAAGGATACACGAAGATACCAAACTTATAATAGTTCAATGTTGATTCTCTTGTTCAAACATTTTTATTTTTTTACAAACAGAAAGACCGCTCTAATGCTTGTGACGGGCATGTTTGAAACAAATGTTCAAAATGTACCCTGGAAAGATTGCAGAAAATTAAAAAAATATCTGTCCAAAAGGTTTATGATAAAATTGAATTCATTTGTGTGTATGGCATTTCCTTGCTTCCAATATTCACGAGCTAGCATGCACCCTCATCATAGCTTTTAGGTTAAGGTCATTCGAATGTCCAGCTTTTGGAACGCATGCTAAAGATAACAAGAGGGTGAAGTCATGGGGTGTTATTGTGTTATCAAAGGTGGAAAACTCGCGCTGGTGACGCGACGACCCAAAGACCTCCCGAACATGTATAGGATGGCATGAGAGTCGTAGCCTGTAAATTAATTTGGAACATGTAGCTAGCTAAAATTATCACCAAAAGTGTATTTTAGTTGTGTGCTCTATTGCGTTATTTTCGAAGCGTAGCTCTGTTTCTGTGAAAAATACGAACATGATTACCCTACGGCCAGGTCGCAGAGAGCTCTTAGGGTCGACCGACTGCTCTATCCGACCCGAGCTTGCTGCAAAATGATTTCTACTATTTAAAATAGAAGCGAGGACTAATTTCACGACGGACTCGGGTCAAATCGAGCGACTGGGTGGTTCTTACTCTCGCCCTGTCTAGGTTGTCTGCGCCAGTGCTTGCCATAGAGATTTAGAGAAATCTTGGAGCGTGCAGTATAAGATACACCCTGGTTGAAAATTTGAAATAGTTACATGCAGAAGCTAATATTTCAGTCCAATTTACAGCTCAGCACTCTATTCGGAAAACTCAAAAAGTGGCGGCTCATTGCAGCACACTGCAAGTGAGACGACTGGCGGTAGCCATTGTCTCATAGACAGAGGAGGGGAAAAGGGAGACGGTTGAGGGGGAAGGTGAGCGATGAGATGGGAAGGAGAATAGAGGCAGGAAGAAAGAGGTCAAGTATGAAGTTCGAAGTCTAAAAACACATGCTCACACAAGGAAGAGAGGAGACAAAAGGAAAAGGGGAATGAGGATGAGAGGCTGAGGGAGCATGAAGAGAAAGATGAAGAGAAGTGGGGCAGGGAGGAGCAAGATCAGAGGGAGGAGAGAGGAAAGAGGGGAGGAAGAGCACACAGAGGGAATATGAGACCAATGGGGGAGAAGGAGTGGAGGGGAATGAGGAGATGGGACGGGGTGGGGCCAGGTAAGACGTAAAACATCGCAGGTCATAGGCCTCGGTTGCACGGACACAAGATCACACCTCCCCGACCACTCAAAATGAAGAGCCATATGCAGCTGCCACCAAAAAGAAAAGGTCAAAGGCCATGAACATAGAATCACTCAAACGAGAGAGAAGGGGGAAGAGGGGAGGAAAGATGAGTAGGATGGGTAGCGGGAAGAGGAAGGTGGACAAGAGAGTAGAGGAAGAGGGGAGGGAGGAATAAGGAGACCGAGGAGATAGAAGGGGAGATGGCGAGGAGGAGCAGTCAAGGGTCCGAAGTCGAGATCAAAGGTCAAAGGCAACGAACATATAATCCTATGAAGGTGGGGAAGGGGGGGCCACAAACATTAAATCATGCGAGGAAATGAGGAGTGAAAGGTTAGAAAAAGGCAACATAGGAGAGATGGGACGGGAATGGGGTGAGATTAAAGAAAAGTGAGTGAGAGGGGAGGGAGGTAGGAAGGAGATCTAGCATCAAGGGCCACGGATACAAGGACGCACTCCGCCGACCACTCAAAATGAAGGGCCCCAAGGGGGGAGGCACTCACTTTATCAAGTGACGTGTTAGCGAATGTCCACGTTTCACCGAATGACACTTTAGCGAAAATTCGGACGCTGCGAAGCGGCGTTCTCGGGTGGGCCAAGTGGGTTCACATTTTTGTAATGAGCCGCCGCAGACTCGCCGCGCGGCGGATGGGTTAACGCGCGCCCCCGTTATTCGCTAAAACGTCGATTCGCTCAAATGCCGCTGTTCGCTAAAACGTCATTTGCTCATCTAATATGGACCCTAATTATAATGAAACGAGTATAATCGCACACACATTGTTAGCCCCCGTTCACTTCTCGCCAAAGAGCCGTCGACACGAGAACATAATTGAGCTTGAGGCTTCGAAGCTCGCTCTGCGTGGACCACTCTTTGCCTACATTTGTTATCTGGACACATCACAATGGCACAGCACAGTCGCATAGCCACGGTACTACCGTTTCGATGTTAACAGTTCACTATCGTTACCGATATTACGGTCGAGGTCATCCACTGATCACTGCAAGACGTTGCAAGATCGCCATCGTCCGCCATGATTGCACACTAGTACGGCATCACGGTTATGGCTGTACGGCTTAGACCAATTTCCAATTTCTCCAATCGATGTAATGTTTTATAGCTCTTAAAAAAAACTTATTTTAGTACTGTCAGATAGATTTTTCACAGTTTATTCCTACTTGAAACTTCATGTTTAGTCGTTTACTCGTTTACGCACACTGTTGACAAGCCAAGACGCCAAGAGTGCAAGTAGCTCAAGCCAAGCAAGGTCGAAGCCAGGTTGACCACGTGACCGTATGTCAACGGACCGTCAAGGCCTGTTTCATCGGTCCGCTCTGCCGATCTCTCGGCGTCGAGGAAACGTAAACAAAGGTATGTTTCATTTTCGTTGTTGTTACTACTTGTGCTGAACAATGGAGCGGGCGAAGCGTTCGCTATCAGAGCTATCCGATCGCCAAAAAAGACATAGAGTAGCCGAAAGTGTTCGCAAGGAACTTGAAAGTTGCGGTACGAGCAGTGAGGAGTCGGTGGACACTGAGGTGTTTAGTAGCAGTTCGTACCACATCTCCAAACTTCTGTAATGGACAGGGAATTTAAAACCTGGAAAAGCTGGGGAACTTAGAAGGAGGAATTTGCTAGACACCCTGGCTGATTTCATAGTTACCGATGTCTGCCAAGTTATGCTGAAGTAGGGCATGAAATTGTCGATATTTCACTGTGGTAGCTGACGTTGTGTTGTAATTATATACTTTTGAAACAGGAGCTGTGCGCACCTGCTTTAAACAGAAGGCAGAAAACAATGAGCCAGCCATCATCGTGCAGGAAGCCGACGCCAAATGGGCTGCTGCTGAATCGGTCAGGCATGCACCAGCTAGGACCAAGAAAATGGTAATATGATATTTCTAATTTTGCTTAAACTCCCGAAAAATACTTTTGCATCCTAAAACAAGCCCAGATTTCAAACAAAGGCATTAGTCCACTTTACATAAAGACATTTTTAAGTATTAAGAAATTTATTTAGCCAATGAAAGAACACCATGTTATGACATTGTCTGCAATGAGCTTGACATTGTAGAAAATATGATGCTCATTGACATTGCCCCTGGGTCCGGACAGTTCATCAAACGCCGTTTCATTGAACATGTTATGACATTGTCTGCAATGAGCTTGACATTGTAGAAAATATGATGCTCATTGACATTGCCCCTGGGTCCGGACAGTTCATCAAACGCCGTTTCATTGAACATTGTTTCATCGAAGCTGTTTCATTGAACGCAGTTTTATCGAACGCTGTTTCATTGAACGCCATTTCATCGAAGTTGTTTCATTGAACGTAGCTTATTTGAGCAGTAGAAATATTTTTCTTTTTAGTGCCGGGAGGATAGCAGTGTTTTAATATTTATTGTAACTTATAAACTTATATATATATAAAAGGAAGGAACCTTTTTTTGTCACCTTCTATTCTTTTTTTTTTAGTAAATGATGACTTCTGTTAAAGGGGCGGTGCAACGATTTCATGATTAAAAGAATTTGCATCTCGTCACTTTTACGTTGTTTATCGTGTCCCAGAGGATAGAGAAAACACTTCCTTCATTAAAAATGTCGTGATTCCGTTGCATAATCGCAAAGTAAAAGTCGAGCTTTTTCCCCCACCTGCAGCCCCAAGTGGCAGCCGAAGGAACTACGGCGGAAAGATTACGTGACCTGGCTCGGCTCTAAGCTGCAGCATAGCGCCCGCTAATGTACGCAGAGAGAGGGAGGGGAAGCGTCCTCCGAGATAGCACACGGGAAGCTACACGGCACTCCGAATGACGTCACTGGGAGTGCGACCAGGTGTGACCCTGAAGGCTGGGAATGAGTTGAGAGGTGCCCGAAATGCCACTATTTATCTTTTTTTTTACGCAACAACTAGGACACGCAGGCGAAATCGGTTTTCTGTTCATTACTTCAGAAGTGTCAGAGGGCAACTTCCAGAAATCTTTGACCGAAGTCCGAAAATCATTGCACCGCCCCTTTAATGAGGCCAATAAGACAGGGTAACACTAACGACACTTTTAAAAGCTGTGATCATCAGGTGCAGTGATGAATGCACATCCATTCAAAAGCGTATACGGTATATATCTTCATCCTTGAAGAGACCTATTCTGCTTCAAGACGAAGCCATCCTTGAGGCAGTGATCTGTCTCCGTGGCCCATGATACTGGGAAAAGAAAAGACGTGTCTCCTCTCTTTGTTAATTTATTATAATCGACAGAACCGTGGACCTGCCGGATATTCGACATACAGTAATATACTGCATGTCAAAGATCCGACAGGTCCACGGTTCTGTCGGTTACAAAAAATTGACGAAGAGGGCAGGCACGTCTTTTTTAAGAACATCTATGTTCTTAAAAAGAAAGCTATTCTCTTAGGATAAAATGAAAACAAAGTTAAATCTACAAATACAAAATAAAAAAGGCGCTGCGGAAAATAGCTGTTTCCCTCTTAAGAAAGTGCCTTTCACGCATGAATAAATAGAAGGTTGAAGTGGGAAAAAGTGAGTGGCCGACAACAGCCGCCTACCTTGCCAGAAAAGAATAAGTCGCGTATCCACTGTCTTCTGTGGGTAGGTCACACTTTGCGGTAAAAGTCTAAACTGGATGAAAAGAATGGCTTGTGCATGCAAAGAAACTGTGGTGAAACTGCTAGGACAGATGTAGGCATTTCTTTTTTTATCTTGATGACACTCTTTGCCCTGAAATAGGCACCTATTTTCTGAATGCAACCAACTTTTTTGTGTTATTTTTTTGCAGGAGCAGTGTGCCTCTTCTCACGAGTGACTGAGGGGCTGCCACAAGGGGAGAAGGCAAGCATGTTTCTGATTACAAGGATGGACAGTTGGGCTGGGCTAGTTGGTAAGAATTCATGTTGAGAAACGGTGCGAAAACCAGACAAAGGAAAAAGAACACACAGTACCTTGTCCTGTGTGTTTTCTTATCCGTGCATTTTGCGCTGTTTTTCAGCATGTTTCTGCCTTGATTTTTCTGTTAGTTTTAAATGTTAGTAGTTGATTACTTTGATCCCAGTTGGAAGCATGGAATGGTTAACCGTGCTAAATGCATAGAATTGAAAAAAAAAAAAAAAAAATTCATGCTTTCTTAATCATTTAAAATGCTTTTTTTCCTAATGATTTCTTTCTCTTTTTTTACAGCCATCCCATGAGTGGAGTCCCTGTTGTTTGAATTTTTTATGTCAATTTGTAATATGCATATGTTACCTTTAATTTCTATTCATGCATACATTTTAGCCCCAGCTAGTGGTTTCTTTTATTTAATTTATGTACACATTAGTGTGGTATTTTTAGAAGATTTAAAATTTATGTTCTTTTTCTAGTCATTTTTGGTTTATTGCCTCCGTTATTTATTTATATGTCCTAGCCCAAGATCGGGTGTAATTTGAGATATATTTAGAATTTTATTTTAGGCTACTTGCTTTATGTTACTAGGAGTTTTAATATTTTACATTTTTATTTTTATGCAGATCAGCCTTGTAATTTAGTGTGTTCTTTACAATTTTGTAGATCTAATAGCTTGTAAGAAACAGAAGAATTCTCTGGTACTTGTAATGTTGGTTTCGTTTTTGAAATAAATTTATTCCAATAACTTCTTGTTTTCTTCCGGAGTCCTGCTTCTAGGATTTCAAAATGCTGATTCATTAATGGCCTGTAATGCACATCCATTTACTCATATCAGGCACCAGCTCAAAAAATGACTTCATGACAACCATAAATGCAGTTTCCTGGCAGCGCTTGTCAATGTATTTTCGGATAACATTGTTCAGTAATGTCCAAGTAACAGATGCAGTAATATCTGGCCAGTGCCAGCATATTGTAAAAACGTTTACTGAAAGTTGACAATATAAAAGCACTGAGGAAAAACAGATGACCGCTCTTTCATTTAGTTACGACGCTCGTTTTTTGGAAGCAAAGACTCGCGCACAGGTCAAGATTAACTGCAAAAGGAAGGCTTGATCAAAGGAACTTTAGGGAGATAAGGGATGAGTCAGTAACACTCCACCTTCGGTATCTAGTTGATCTCGACCTGTATGCGACTCTTTGCTCCTCAAAAAATAAACGTTGTTGCGAAATAAAAGAGTGGTCGTGTGTGTATGTTCTTCACATTTTTATTCCTTCACTTTTAAGTAAGCCGTAATGTCAGTGCAACATTTTGGTGTAACATTACTGGATGGTAGAATTCGTGGCCATTAAGAACAACTAGCAACGTTAGCGACGACGTCCGAGTAACATCACTGATCTAGCATCCAGGTAACATAGAGAGCTATGTTACTGCAACATTTTGATGTGACGTTACTGGAAGGTAGAACTGGTGGCCATTAGCAACGTTTGTCAACGTTATCTAACAACGTTCCAGTAACGTTATTTGGGTAATGTCCAGGTAACGTATGCAGTTACGTTACTGTAACATTGTGGTGTAACGTTACTGGAGTGTAGAATCCGCGGTCGTTAGCAGCGTTCGGCAACGTTGCCTGACAACATTCCAGTAACGTTGTAGCCACATTTTGTGCTACTTGGGTGGTTACAAGAAACTGCTACGGCTAGTCATGTAACACATTTCATTTAAAAGGACAAATCACCCGAGCGCTAACGTGGCACATTTTCAAATCCCAAGCATCCCTTTCAAGAGTTGGAGAAATGCAAACACAGTGGTGGTCCAGCCATTTTAGGTTTTGGAGCAATTTTTGGAGCAAGAAAAACCCAATTTTGGAGCAATTCGTATCACATAAACTCTCCTTTTGGAGCAGGGAAAAGCTTGTTTTGGAGCACCTTGGTATCAGGAAAACTAAACATTTTGGAGCAGCATGAACATAGAGCAGTTCTGTGCCATGTCTTTATTATCATATATTACGGCTGCCCTTGTCAATCTTACCTCACCCCCCATATATATATATATATATATATATATATATATATATATATATATATATATATACATATATGTCTGTGTGTGTCACAAACATCTGAATTTCATATAGTAATTTACAAAGAAAAGAACTCACCATAAGAAAACCATTTTATTTATGACAGAACATTCTTGTAGCTAAAGCTTAACTATGTAACAAAATATCACAGATGAAAACTAAATTATTGCTTAATACTTCTTGCCTTTTGACTGTAGGCTATATATCACAGGTGAAAAAAAAATATTGACTCAATGCTTTTTGCATTTCTTTTTCAGTTCGTCCAGCTCGCAAAGAGTGCGTGACAAAGTGGCATTGGCTTCAGCTAACATAGTTTGGCCACCTTCTACTTTTTCCAAGCTTTGGCACTTCAGTCCTGCACCAATGGTCTCTTCCGCCCTCTTCAGCAACGCACGGCACGAGATCACCCTTTCCTCCAACTGCTTCTTTAAGCGCTTGTCATGCGAGTTGTCAGCATCAACTTGTGCGCTGTCAGGCTTTTTTCTCTTCATGTCGGCCTCTCTGCTTCCAATTCTTTCCTCATACCGGGCTCTTGCTCTTTTGACGCTTCGCAGAAGGTCTGGTGACAGGGGCACCTTTGTGGCATCTCCATCATACCTCTGCAGGTAGGTCTTCACTTGCCGCAATCCGTTGATGCTCGCAATGCAAAATGAGGCTCGGCCTTCAAGGAGATGCTTATTCTCACTGAAGCCTCGCTCACAGTCCGCGTTGCCGTGAGGTAGAGAGAGCAGCGCTTTTACTAGCCTTGACAACGGTGGGTACTTTTTCTGACCAGCTGCGCACTTTTGTTGAAATACTGTAGCCCAACGGGTGTCGATCCGTCCATCTTCCATCAACTGAAGGCTGTTAGCAGAGTCACATCTCAGCAGATGCCACTCATCGACCAGTGATGACACGTGGTCGCTCTCGAGCACTTGGGGCAGCTGGGAAGCAAGGTATCGCAAGGATCGGACTTCTGACTCCACGTCGCTGGGCTGCAATCCCAAGAGACTTGTGTGCTGAAGGACTTTATTGTCAAGAGGCAGCTTCTGCAGGAGGTCTTTCGAGCAAGCCAAGTAGAAGGCACGGGCCCCAAGAAGTAACCGCTTCTTTTCACCTGGATCCCATTTCAGCATTGCCTGCTCAGTGTGCATACCCACTTCTGGTTTGGTTTTCCACAGGGTAGAGTCCTGCACATCGAGTTTCTTCAGTTCCTCCGCACTCTTCTCCACATAGGCTGCACTCCACAAACAACGGCTGAGGATTCGCTGGACTAGAGACAGCAACTCCGCGCGGAGTATGCGTAGCAGGGGCTCTTGCTTCTGAAACAGTGTCTGAAACCGAGAAAAAAGCTCGGCACAGTTCTTCAAGAACAACACCTTGGCATAAAGGTCTTTCTTTGAAAATGCTGCAGCAAGCCTGCTGTGAAGATTCTGAGTGTCCACTCGCTACTTTGTCATGCTTGCCTTGTGAAAGTATGACTTCAGCGCTTCGAATTGTTCTAGGACACGACACAGTGAATCTTGAAGTGTGAGCCAGCGATTGGAGACATGACGCAGAAACACATGAGAAGCAATCCCTAGAGCCTCCTGACATTCTCCGAGGGCTTCAGCACGAACAGCGCTTTTGAAGTAGTAGTAGACGTTTCGGACGACCTCCTCAACATCCGAGCCAAACGCATCGAGACCTTTTGCAAAAGCATTGTGAACTTTGTGAAGGTTGCAGTTGTTGATCTCAACCAAACTTGATGGCACATCCTTTTGGAGCTTGTTCCTCACGCTTTTCATGACGTTAGGCCCGTCACTGAAAAAACAAACAAGCCCTCTCTTCGGTAGCTCAGTCAGCGCGTCTTCTACCCAGCCCACAATTACTTCCGCGGTGGCACGCCCGAGGTTGTACGATTGCACATGCTCAACGACAACCTGTTGCTGGCTGCTAGAAAAGTACCTAACAAGCACATCCAGTTGCTGCGTTCTTTGCTCTGGCTTTGGGGTTTCGTCGATCATCACGGAGAAGAAAACATTTGGGTGGCACAGCTCACTCACAACTCTGGACTTGAAGTAAGGGCCGAGTCCATCCGACACGATGCGTGATAACTTGGACCTGCTACAGCTATACTTCTTAGCAACCTCGCTGTCTGGGAACATACACTCGTACATTCCCGTAGCACTGTCTCCCCACGAGAAAGGGATACAGTGATGTGATTGGCCTAGGCTGTTTTGGAGCACCTTTTGGAGCAGCCAAAACAGTGTTTTGGAGCAGCAAAATTTGCTTTTGGAGCAGCCCAAACACTGTTTCGGAGCAGCAAAACTGGCTTTTGGAGCCCATATTCTTAGAAAAACAAAAATATTACGAATGCACTTTATGTTGTGTTCTGTTCTGATGTGACATGTTGTGACGGAACTCGCTGCCAGTGTTTTTACTGCTGAGACATCCCAGAAGTGTACAGTGCTGTAGACGTTGCCGAGGAATTCCGAAAAGAACGCTTGCCACCGTTTTACTGGTTCCCGACGAGCCAGATTTTTGTCAAAAGTAAGCACACGCAAAGCAATGAGTTGCAAGCGTCCCGGCTGGCGCCTCCGTCATGCAGTCATGTTCACATGCACGTGAGGACAACTTCAGCAGGCTTGCAGTGGCACGTGCTTCATTGCGCGAGCGGAGACAACGGCTGTTCAATCGAAACCGAAACAATGCCACTCCCCTCCATCGCCAACTGGTTCCCAAAATAGTGTGCAAAATAAAACTGTCCAGCATAAAAAAAAAAAAAACAAAAAAAAAACCAGCAGTCAAGCGGCTTGGGCTTGCCAGGCGATGTACAAGCTAAACACACAGAAAACAAGAACCTGAGCGCCTCGGTCCATGACATTGCAAGCCAGGGTCAAAAAGTTCTTGGAGCGCTTTGTGCAACGACCAAACTCGAGACAAACAAGCGCGATGTGCGGGTTCAACGTGAACACATTGCTTTCTTTGCTTTAGCTCACTTCTCTTCACCAACTTTCTTTCGCGGCACATTTTTACGTACCGGGCTCCCTCTCGAAAGAAAGTCCACCAAGAGAAACCTGAGTAATCAATATTTCGACAAGCAGTCTTTAAACTAAAGATTTTTTTTTTGTAGTAGAGTACAATTTAAAGGAGGCCAGGAACGTCGATGAACAAGTTTAGAAGGCGCCATATCTGCAGCGACGTGGGGACGGCAACACCCGACGTCGCGCGACCATGGTGACTGTGGTCGCGCAGGCGTTTCAGCTCCCAAAGTAACTCTCGCCGCCCAAAAACAGTTTTTTTTTCACAGCATGACGGCATGGCTGGCACCCAGCACACTAGCGTCGGGGTGTCCGCACACGCCTGCGTCTATCGTTGAAAAAAAAATTTAAGAAGACGCGAGACAAGATTTTTGAGACGACGAGGACGAGGGCACGAGCAACGTTGGGCACGAGGGCTGAAATGCGAGAAGGCGGCAAGGAGGGTAGGACGGCGGGAAAAAGCATGCAAGACCAGATGGACGATTGATGCAGGTATACTTTGTGTCGGGCGGCCGCTTATGCCACCTACGGTAGCTGATGCATGCGCCATTATGGTTTTCAGTTTAGTTTCGGTTTTGAAAGGCGACCGAAATTGCTCCTTTGGCGCAGGCTTGGCGCAGATTACCTACATTTTGGCAAAATGTAGCAGGGTGTAGCAGGGTTAGCCCCTTGGCGCAGCTTGGCGCAATTGGCGCAGCAATCACATCACTGGGGATAGACTTTGAAACAACGGACATAGCGAAAATTGATTCCGCTTTCCACACTTGGTCTTGGAGTGATGTGCCAGAAGCACCTTGTGAGAAATCCAATGCGGCTTGCACCAATTTGGGGGCCTGAAGGTTTCCACCTTCATCTCTGTGCCTTGCAGCAGCTTCAACATGTTTCTTCAATGCTCCGTGACGTTTGATGGCAGCTACTCCATGTTGTGCACAGGAAATTGATGAATTGCAGAAGACGCAAAATTCATCAGTTTTGTGAGTCCCCTTTTTGCACCAGAGACTAATTAAATCATTATTTGAGTCCACCTCACTGAGTACTGAGTCTTTAAACTTGGTGCTTCGCTTTAGAAAAAAAGGACAAAATTACAATTTTAAACAAACCAAGAAAATACGCCGAAACTTTTTTGCCATGATCTACAAACTTTAAAGTTACCGCGGTGAATATGTATTCACACAATTGTAAGTCAACCTGTTTTTCGTTATCGTGATAAATATAGTCAAGCCGTCCGAGAATCCGAAACTATAGCGATTTATTAAACATTAGAGGTGTGCGAATATCAAAATCTTTCGAAGCGAATCGAATCGAATAATAAAGGTTACGAATCGAATCGAATATTTTCGAATACGAATAGTAGTTCCAAATAAGGATATATTTGAAAACAAATATTTTCTATTTGTTGAAAAAAAAATTCCAGTAGTGTTCTTTTATTAAGCATTCTTGTTTAATTCACATCAAACGTTTATGAAAAGGTTACTTTTATTGCAATAAGAAAAATGTCCCACATGTGACTGTTAAAAAAACAGATGAAGAAAGATTAGTCAGTAAAATACCATTCCTTGAGTGAGGTTAGAGAACGTAAATGAAAGTGGAAAAGTGAAGGCGGGTCGGCAAGTTACAACGCAGTCGGAGATCGCATCGCGAACGAAAGGAGGCACTTGAGCGTAAACGCAAGTACACAAGCGGTGGCGGGTCCGCAAGCCGCAATACGAAGTCGATGATTGCGTCTCTACTTTGTGCGATCTCTTTTTACGCTCGTGAACGGAACCACGCGAACGGAAACCGAAGTACACAAGCGGAGGCGGGTCGACAGGCCACAGCTGAGTTTCAGATTGCGCGATCGCGCTGTGCAACCGCACTACCGCTGCTACCGCACTGACTATGCTCTATCTCTTTCCGTGTGCAATAGTTCTGTCCGTGGAGGGCGCCACAAAGATGCAATAAATTAAGAATATGTTGTTTGTTTGTTTTTTTGGCGGGGGGAGGAAGTCTCACTTTTATCATTGAAAACGGGTAGAAATAAATAACAAAAGGAATACTGGCAAACTGATAAACCCGAAAATCAAGCGGAAAATAACACAAGCCAGATATCACCGATAGCCGAGGTGAGCCATAAATCCATATCCCAATCCATAGCACCTTGGCTACTGTAGTCACTGCACGACCAACGTGAGTCACTGTAGGTACGAAATCACGAATATATGGTTGTGCTACATCAAAAATGAATGTGGACAGGAACGTATACAAGACGTCTCGGGCGGACGCCCGAAACGTCGTGCGGTCCGTCGCGACGATGCATGTGCCGTTGCAAACCGTAGTCCTTCATCCTATCTATCGCAGCGTTTGCACCACGACCACTTGGGCAACTCTGCATTCCGGACATCACGGCAAGCAAAGGACAGATCGCCCTACCGCGTGCAAATAACTTTCCAATCCTTCCTACAAAAAGAAAAAAAAAAAAGATACTTAGGTTGGTTGTGTAGGTTTGCCAAGCTCGAAACCATACTGCGCAGTCCTAAAACAAAACGGAGAACTCGACCGCAAGCTGACACTAATCAATGAGTTCCGCGTTATTCGTAGTTTTCGAAGTATTCGAAGAACTCGAATAGTTCGAACAGCGAAAGGGCGAAGCGAATCGAATCGAATAGCAAGCATTATTCGCGAAGTATTCGAAGTTTCGAATATTCGCACACCCCTATTAAACATGTTTGTAAGCTCTATTCTGAGTTCGCACGCAGTGCGACAGTATGACAACCAAAGGGTGACCAATCGTTTACGGCATTTGACATGAAAAGGAACACGCAACAATTCGCAACAAGGAAATCAAGCAACGACCACGCAATCGAAAAGAGTACCACGTTCGGTAATGATGCCGCTGGTCTGCCGGTGAACGAGCGTCCGAGCAAACTTCTACTATGGGGTCTGTAACTTAAAACACGCATGCAGAAAAAAAAAAGTACTCACGTTGGCTCATCTTCAAGAGGACTTAGTAGTGGCGATGCAGAAATTAACAGCCACAACGCCGCATATCAAAATGGTCGCAACAAAACAATAATGCGCAATAATGCCACTGGGCCGGAAACCTGAATTGGATTGTGATGGCTATGGTAACGGCTCTACCCTTTATATCGGGCGGCAGCTTGCGCCACCTAGCCTAGAAAATAAAACTCCCACCGGGTTGCCAGCCGAAAACGCCATTCTTCCAAAAAAGGATTCGTTCACGGACCGACTAGCCCTTTTTGGCGCAGTTTGGCGCGGTTTGGCGCAGTTTGGCGCAATTTGTGTCTTTAGGCGCAGCAAGGCGCAGGTAAAGGAGAATTTATCAAAATGGCGCAATTGGCGCAGCTGGACCACCCCTGCAAACAGGCAAGAATCGCTAAGGGTTCGGTCTCGTGCATGCACTCCACAAACTGCACAACGCATGCCTTAGAACTTCAGTCTAGCCGAGATCGAATGCGGCTAAAATAAATCCGAGCGTCTGCGATCCAAGAATTCAGCTAGAGCGCAGTGAGGGCTCTACTCTCCCAAGACAGGCCGTACCGGAAATCGGAGCGAGACTCAAGTACGGCTCACTTCTTGCGGGCCGCCAGGAGGTCCTCGAGGATCTCGGGCAGCAGTCCCTTCCGCACGGAGGCCTTGACGAAGTGGTCTCCGGACGGTGTCCGGATGAACTCGTCCGCCCTGAGGGCCTCCCGCTGCTTGGAGTCCAGCACCGTGGTGTAGCACAGGTTGTGTGCCATCATGATGGACGGGTACAAGGAGGAGAAGTCCAGCGTCGCTATGGGCACGCTGTAGAAGCCTTTGGCCGGCTCGATGACCGTGGCGCCCGTGAAGTCCTCTCCCGCTTCGGAGTGGACGGTCGGCATCACCAGGTCTTGCTCCGCCGCCTGCCGGGACAACAACGTTTTAGTGTACAGCTGCATTTCGTAGCTCCAAGTTCATTGGAACAGCGAAACCCTTCACGCTAAACAAACCTCAAATTAAAAATGAAGAAGCTTACAATCATTGTAAATTTTTGTAAGGGCCCAAAATGAATGAAGAGATAAATGGCGAAAAACATGAGGTGGGGATGAGACAGCAAAACTTCATAAAAAATCAACGACAAACACAAGGGGCACCCGCTACAAACCACGTGAGACGGCAAATGATACCACAGATTGCAGACGCCACAAATTCGCGCTTTGCAACGCGATTAACATGCGGGAACTCGCTACGAACACGCACGTCTTGGCAACCGATATTGCGCGCGCAGATCGTGGACAAAAACGCAGGATCCCGCTGCAAACCCAACTGCCACACATACTGGTATATCGAATAGTTTCTCCAAGACTTTCACTACTGCACCGTGCTTGAAAGAAACCCCAGCTGAAGTCGTAAAGGCAGTTCCCAACTTCCACTTGTCCATAGCTAAGCTAATTTGATTTGAGCCATATTTATGGAGTGTGGCCTCAAAAAGTCTACTGCCTACATTGGTGTGGCAAGTGAATGATGTGTTTGGCATAAAATTAAACCTATAGAGATGTCCAGCAATACCTAAGTAAGATTTGTGAATCTTCTTGCGACATGCAAATATCCTTTCTTAATATTAAATATTGAATTTGAGAAAAGAAAAAAAAAGCCAATAATGAATGATGAACGCAGGTTGTCAGGACATCTCTGCCCAACATATACTCTTGCACAATAGTCAAATTTTAATATAGAAAAATTTTACTGTAGTATGAATACCATGTTTAAAAGGTTTCAGTTTACCTTTTTATTTTAAATACACCAAATGCTAGCGTGCACCACCACCCCACTTTAAGAGTGCACTTTTTTCCTGAGCGCACGGCTGCAATATTTGTACTTTTCCAAGCATTGATTGCAATGGGCTAGTCCTGTTAAGCATGCTTCTTACCGAGCACTGGTACAGAGCGGAGAAGCGATGCCCGCAGAGGCTAGCTTCGCGAGTGTCACTTCTCCGCACTGCACCGGTGTTCGGTAGGAAGCGAGCTCAACGGGGCTAACCTGCCGCAGTCCACAATTAAAAAAATACGAACGACGGTGTTTATCTAGATGCGAATATTGAATGGTGCAGAATTCAATGCCACTATTCGAAATTCAGAAATTTGAATATTCGCACAACGCCAACAACTTACACTGTGGAGGACTTTGGGGGACGGAAATGTCATGCTATTGAAACATCACAGTAACCACAGTGCTTTGAGGGTGTCGGGACTACCTGCACGAGAATGTCACTTCATTCCGTGCCTCTATCACACAAGAATGGGTCCAAATGAGAGGCGAGACACATTCGTACCAGACGCGCTGCAACCAAAACAAACCAAATCGAAGCCATGAAATGGTGGTGACCCTTCCATGCACCGGTTAGGTAACTGCCGAAATGAAGAAGTCTACAGCCAACGGTGGCAAAGGCCTACCTTTCGCAGGAGCTGTGAGACAACCTTGATCTGCTGACCCCTGCTGAGCAGGTAGGTGAGGGGCACCCCAGTCACGCGGGCCATCTCCATGTAGTTGATGACGCTCATGAGCTTGTCCAGAAGCCGCAGGGGCAGCATGGCGTCCTTCAGACAGTACACAGCCAGCCTACGCCTGGTCTGGTCCGTGCCATTCTGGACGCGGATGGAAATCACGGATCACTCGTACTGGGTTGTAGATTTATTTGTGCCCTGCTTACTCAGCAGCAAGTTAAGACAGTTCTTCGAAGCTGCTGTGCAGCAATACTGGGTTAGAATGTTTTCCCCTTTAGTTGAGCTCACTGGCGCTTAGTGGGATTCAAGTATACATGCAGGCAATGCCACTGACTAAAATACTTCCTTGTCACGGTTTAATTTCAAGAATAAACCTGACTTTTTTTTTTTTTTTTTCAAACTTTTCTTTGCAAACCTTGATGGCGCAGTGACGGGAGTCACAGTGTCGTTGTAGTCACGGAGATTACTGCATTGTGGCGACAGTCAAACGAGGCTCATGGATTGTGCATGAACACTGTGTGAGCATATGAGCACCCAATTTGGATTCGTGACAATCAATTTCTTAACGAACATTCGAATAGAGGCTCGTGTCCAATCACTAAAATGACGGCAGTAGCCAAGCACTAACAATGTCTGGAACCCGGCCTATGCCCCGTGCGCTTTGCCGACCCTAGTGTGTGGCTACGACAAACACTGGTGGCGTATAATCGGTCCCAGATCGTTTGGCCTCATGTTCCGGCCGGAGGTTGAGGGTTTCAACGCTGCTCATTTTTCTCTCCAGTTTTTTCTGAAACTGCTACCGCGAGAAGGTGAGAACAAATGCATGTTTCGTTGGCTAAGCACTTCGAGGATCTACTGAAGGTACACAAATCGCTACACAGCCTCTTTAACGCTGCACGGACGCAGGTTACCTGGAGATCGGTGATGATGCTGTGCTGCACGTCCTCCTTCTGCTCTTGCAGGAAGTGGTAGCTGACAGCATTCAGCGTGTACGACCGTAGCTTGTAGTCACGCAGCAGGACCTGGGAATAAAACGCAGCACGTTACGGGGCAACGCTGCCAAAAACGGAAACCACTTGAGTTTAACGGCGTCCCAATTCAAACACAATCACAAATTTGTGCGAATATCCATGCGAACGGTCGGTAAATCAAACCTTGAGGATAACATTCGCCACTTGACGGTAGAATGCGACTTCCAATTGCGCAGCATAATTTAAATTTCCGTTTCACTGCTTGATCATGAGGATGCTTTGCACGATAGCCCTCCGAGTAATGCCTTCCGGGGCCTTTAGACACCCCGAAACAAAAATGCGTAGCAAATTGCTGGGCAATTGTGTTGAGCGTGAAATGTGTGGCGTCTATGCTCTCGGCGCTCTTCGTCGGTTAGTTTGGCGACTGGTCCAACGCGTGGCATGTACACTTGATAGCAATTCCTGGAATGGAGATACGTGCCGGCAGGTGCCCCCCAGGGCTTTCCCAACAAAAGGCACTTTAGCTTACGGCGATGTGACGTGACATGCTGGAAGGACACTCACTTAATAATCTAAATGGTATGGGTTTCGTTATCGCCCGGCAGAAACACTTTTTTACTGCAATGGCCTTTTTGCAATCAGTGTCGAGCCTTGCCGGCTGCGCTTTTATGCGGGCTTCACGAAATGCCGACCACCCGGTCAAAGAATGTTTCACATTAACAAATCATTTATTGTGGAACACAGTTTCTTGCTTGCCACTATATTCTTCGGTCTTCCGAAGTGCAGTGATGCTAAATCATGCGCACAAAGTTTCTTAAAGGACAGTTCACACGTGCATCTCAGCACTGAGACAACGGAAAGCCAGCACTGCATCGCGCCACTGTGAGCACCAACTCAGTGCTGCGATAGCAATGCATTGTGCATGTAATGAAGAAAAGGTGGGATCACATGCATTGGAACGCAGGCGCCAAGTTTGCACTGTGGTGTATGTATGAACAGGGCTTAACCCATTGCATAATAATTGTTTTTTTTTCCATAAAGCATTGCAGAACTTTATTTAAAATCAGCCACTTTGACAAAAACTAAGGAAAGCATTCATTTGCCATACAGATGTTGTTTGGTGCCCTTGCTATTAATCCCAGGCCATCTGATATGCCCACTGAGTAGTTCTTCACCGTGTACTACTGTTGTAAACATTCAGAAAGATGGAGAGCAGCAAATAACACCTAGAGGCAAACTAAATTTTACCGATAATATTTATTAAAATTGCCGATTTTAAAGGAAGTTTCGGAGTCCTTGGAGAGGTGGTGCGACTCGTGAACGAAAGTGGTAGAGCACTTATAAGTTATAACTTTAAAAAAATGAAAGCCGTTTACAAATCCCTGTAACGCCGAATTGGAGCGCAGCTCTTGAGGAGGAGTAGGGAAGGGTACTGAGGGGGGTCACGTCACCTGCGGGTAGTCACGTGACCCCCCCCCCCCCCCCCCCCCCCCCCCCGGTTACGCCGCCGCCGCTCAGGCTGGAAACATGCCCCTAAGAGCTGCGCTCTAAAAAGTTTCTGCATATCTTTGTTGGGTAAAACGGACCTACATATTGAGGCCATACAGCCTTTCTCTCTCAAAGACAGAGCAATGGTTGTAGAACTGCCATCTGCCGCAAAAGGCACAAAAGAAGTTCAGACCCTGAAGCACGAGCCAGTCTCGTGGTCGGGCTTTTCAGTACGCAGAACAACGCGAGCCATGCTCGTGGTTAGTAGCCAGACGGTTAACTGGGCAGGTGCTCGTCGAAACGTCTACACCCCGAGCAATCGCCGAAGCAGCGGCCGGCGTACCTGCAACAGGTCGAACTGGACGCGTCCCTCCATGGTGACCACTTTGTTCTCACGCCGCCCCATCTGTTTGGACTGCATCACGGAATCTTTGAGGATGGTGCGGGAATCCCTGATCCTTCCCAAGTAGGGGAAGTGGGTCACGTTCAAGTGCTTGGCCCGGTTGATCAGGTACGGGAAGTCGAAGTTCTGGATGTTGTAGCCCGTGATCACGTCCGGGTCCACGTCCCGCACAAAGTCGGCCCATTTCTGTGACGTCGTGACAGAGAAAAATACTGCAGACGAGCTCGAAATCGGTTTTGTCTAATTTATAGACATGAGTGATGTTGGGGCAAAGTGAATCCCGGTTATTTCACTCAGGGACGGCGCCAAGGGGAGGCGAGGCGGGTGCCTCCCCTAAAATTTCTTCTGCCACCCCAAGATGAAGCAGCTTTGTATGCAAATAATTGGCTACGACGTCGGCTTCAAGACCCAGTGTAACGAGTGTCCTGCCTTTGGAGCCGTTCAGAGCGTATTTTATAAATTTTTTTTCTACCAACTTCCATCCACGGGAAGTCGTACCGCGGGCGAGTAAGCTATCAAGCGCTTTAGAAAAAGCAGCTCGCCTTTGTGACGCCTGCTGGCTTTTCTCTCCGTATTCCGCTCTGCGGTGCTTATCTTCAGCGGATACCAGAAACATGAACGAAGGTGAGCTTAGTTAAAGTCAAGGTCATGGGGAATTCCGGACTGTCTCAGAAAGGGAAGCAAAACCTAGCTGTGAGCCTGAGCACAGGTGGCAGAGGTCCCTGCTGTGATAACCCCCCCCCCCCCCTTTCCTCCTCGTGTCTCCGCATTTCCCTTTTCAATGAGCACACCGCATAAGCTATCTTCAATAAGCTCGTGGGTGACAGCACCTCAAAGCAACCCCCCCTCCCCCAATTTGGTTCGCCTCCCCGCCGCCCCCCTATTATGAAAATCCTGGCGCCGTCCCTGATTTCACTGGGCACGAATTATTTCTGACACGATGTTACGAGCAACCACTCGCCATAGATAGTGCATAAGTTTGATCTCATAACTACTGCACAGGCTTCGGCTTAATAAAATATATAAAGAAGCCTTCCAGTGGTACTTGACAGACGGAGCCAATGTGCTCTCATGGTAAGCAGTCGCAGGCAAGCAATGTGTGAACCAGCCTTAAATGTGGACTACACTGTGCACTCAGAACAAAGCAAACAGCTCCTTATCGCAGCATCATTGTCCAAAAAATTTTTTAATGCGAATTTAAACGAAAAGCGGTAATTAAATTGGGTAAAAAGGAAGACTGTTCTCTGGACACTTTCCATATTTCGTGCTTCAGCACTATAAGAGATATATGCCGTTAGTTGTTGTAGACTAAATATCTTCGAAAGTATGAGTCTAATGAAGAAACATAAATACTAAGTTCAGGGAAAAAAAACTGCACATACTACAGGCTTGGTCACAAGCTACTCAGAAAGTGCGAGATAATGCAAAAGGGGCTGCTGGGCGAGTTGGGTAAACGTAGCAAGGACACAAATAGTGTTATGGATAAAGACACATGGAAGAAGGGAAGAGGAAAATCGCTAACTAGCAACTAACACTTTAATGCACCACAAAAAGACATCTCGCATCCTTCTTGTTGTTTTCTTGTGCATTAGAATGTACGTTGCTAATTAGCGGTTACAACACTCATTTCTTCTGCACAACCTCGCCCGTAGTTCTATTCGTGTTCTTGAGATTATGCAAACACTCGCAACATAAAATAGAACAAAAGGTTGCCACGTCGTGTGCCTGGGGTGCCCCTCAGTCTCGAAGCGGTTTCAGAGTTACAAAAAGCTTGCATTAGAGAGTGCGCCTGGAGCCACAAAATATGTGCGTTTGCTGGAAGCAATCTCGCTAATTCGATGAGCATAGAAGGCGTGTGCGAATGAACATCGGCGGAGGCCCACCTGAAGCAGCTCCCCCTCCCGCTTGAAGCAGAGCACCTCGCAGCCGGCAATGGGGGTGCACGTGTTGAGGGTGAACACGTTGCGGATGAAGGGGTCCCGCTCCCCCTGGCGGACCACCATGTTGGCGATCTGGATCACGCTGTCCTTCTCGGGCACCGGAAAGATCCCTGCGGTCAAAACACAGTGACGCGGAGGTTCTTTTTGGTCTCGAAGAACTCCTCTCTCGATCGACAGCCTCCCATCACCTCTCGTCATCGTGGCATCAAAGCATTTTAGAAGCCTACGAAGCTTGTAAACCTAACATGCACATGCTCGGGAGTCTCGGACTCGTAGTTGTGCATGAACGGGTGGTTCAGGTCTGAAGAAATAGTGCTTAAACTGGAAGACTTCTTCGCTTAGGGCAGGGACGTTTGAAGAAATTCAAAAGCTTGGGGAATGAAGTTTGAGAATTCATACAATGGCGGTCCTTTTTTAATTTTTTTTTTTACAATTTCATTCGGTGAACAGGTAGAATCAGATTTTGGATGCACTCATTTACGAGTATTGGATTTCTAGGGAGGCCTCAGAAAAACTTAATCAATCTCACGACGGAGTAGAGGTTAGGTACCACGGAGCTCCAAAATCTTACGAGTGGCAAGTGTTGCTTTGCGTGAATGTCGCGTCACCCAGCGGTGTGAAAAGAATCTGACCGAGTAAAGCTTAGGACATGGCTTCGGAGCACTGTTATGCATTCTTTAAATGCATAATTTTGCATGACAAAAATAGTAGTCGTTTGAAATATCTTTATTTCTTTAACCAGATTAGTTTCTTTGAGAAACAGGGCGAGTGATTTCTGCCAAGTTCCTTTAACCAGGTTTGATTTCTAAACATAAGTGTATTAAGCGCGAAACACATGTACGACGAAACCGTCCAATCCGACGTGCGAATTGCCGGAATGACCTTCGGGGGCGAGGGTTTTCGTAGCACCGTAGAGCGCTGAAAACCCTCGCCTCCGACCGTCGTATTGCCTGATCGGACGTCGGATCGGACGGTTTCGTCGTACATGTGTTTTGTGCTTTTGTGTAACAAAACTAAAAATAACAAAAAGAAAAAAAAAATTTTTTTTTTTAGTGCATATTATTGCGAAAAATTTTATTTTTGAGGGTTTAATATTTTGCGAATTTTGTAAATTACGCATTTCAGAAACATTTCTTATGTCCAAAATTTTGCAATTTGAAATGATATGCCAAGTGTGCGTTACTGTGGGGTGGTGTATTAATGAGACCAATTTTTCGCAATCAATTTTGAGTCTCGACATTTGCAAATAGGTCGTTTACAGTGTACTCAAACAAATAAAAAATATAACTTGGCCTTTTCTGGCAAATCTCACCCCACACAAACAACCCTCCTAAGGCGTGCGAAAAGTGGAATTTTTTCGGCAGAGCTCCACGCAGAATGTTTTTTTGCGAGCATTTGAAAAGTATGCTTTTTAGGGTTTTGACACTCTGCCACCACCCACGTCGAAAATGAAGTAAAAGAAAGCACGTAGTACCTTTGCGACCAGCGCACTCAATGTCAAAGCTGAGTATCCGCAGCGGTGCCACACGCGCCCATTTGCCTTCGGGGGCGTGGGCCACGAGAGAGTCCCAGGCGACGTCGACCTCGAGTTGCACACGTGACACCTTGGTGGACTCGCGGACCCGGTAGGTTCCCTTGGGAAGCTCAATCCAACTGCAGCCCACCACCGACGCGTCCACCATGAATCTGCAAGGGATGAGTGTGCCGACAACGCTGAGAAAGATGGTGACGACGGAGATCCACCGCTTTCGGGAGAACTAGCGCCCCCTGGCGGAGACTTGCTTTGAGGATTCCTCGGTGGGAAACTCGAAGAAATGAAGGGTGCCGTTAGGAAAAGGTGAAGCTTCTTTTCGCAAACTTGGGAGAGGAAGACGAGCCATGACGGGCACAAAAGCGGTGGTTCGGAAGCTTGATCCAAGTCACCGTAGCTCAATGCAGCAGACAGGATTCAGCTTCGTTGCTTAAAAAAACGTTCCTGCTCGCTCGTATCATGCAACTTCATGCTGAGAAACTCCAAAACCGGGAATTCTGAAAAGGGTGGACTGAGCACAGTGCGCAACATTATCAACATGAATGCAAAATATGTGCACATATTATTCGGGCCAATGAGTGTTGAGCAACGAATTTTACTATTTCAAGCTCGTGGTATCGAACATCAATATGCTTCAAACTCCTCTATTGACATCAGAATTACAAGCGTACCTCAAGTTTGCTTCACTGTATCCGTATCTTCTTTACGTCCGTCTGTACCACAAAGAGGTTTTATGCACGGCTAGAGCATGACGTTATTGCCCCACGTCGCTTGTCATTCCAACTTGTTCTTGCCGAGAAAAAAAAGTTTGGCGGCATGAAAGCAGCAAGGACACAACAAAGGATGCAAGGCATGTGTTGTACCGAAGTATGCAATTGTGGCCACAGACTGTTATTCTCCAACAACCAACAAATTAAGAGGGGGCACCCTCCGACTTTGAGAACTCTTCTCAACGGTACGGCTGGCCTAAAACACACATCTTGTGACATCGCAGAAGTTCCTTATCCGAAGCCAAAGCAGCTGCGCTTGTTCTAGCATACAATGCGGGTCACAATACCGAAAACAAACCACAACATGGCACCAGGAATCCTCCTGACCTGATTTCGAAGTCGACGTTGGTCTCGAAGACTCTGTAGCAGGGCGCGCCATAAGGAGGGACCGACACCGTTCCGGTCTCGAGCAGCCGCTTGGCCGGGGCAATCAGACGCGGAAGGACCATTGTTATCTTGAGAAAGGGCGTCTTGCCCTTGCTGTTATAGCCGTAGATGCCTGCAGTTGCAGAGGACAGAATTTAAACCTCAGCTCACTGCTGTATCTCTCTCATAATGTGAGGACTCCCAACGGGCTTCCCCTGATTGTCAGCATGTCTGCCTTTCCACTACAACTTGACAAGAGATTGAGTTAACTGGCACTCTGAAGGGTTTGAGGAAACGAAACGTAATTGCTGAACATACTGACAATTTTCTAAGATAGGCTGGTAGGAAGACTGAAAGAAAGAAAGAAAAGTCTCAAACACGACTCAACATTCATTATATTTGGACACATTTGTGCTCAACACATGAGACAGTCCTTGAGCAATTTAAGTTGTGCCAGACCCCTCTACTGTCACTTTCGCCTTTCTTCCAGCCCACCCTTAGGATTAGATGTTGCCATGCTCAACGATTACAAGCTTGACTGTAGTATATACCGTATTTACACGATTGTACGTCGACCCATTTTTAAATTCTTCAAAATCTGAACTGGGGGTGGTCGACTTATAAGCGAAACCAAAGCATTCCACTGCCGACAAAGACGAAACAACCACAAAATAAAGAACATCTCGGCTTGTTACAAGTTCAGCTGACTGTACCTGTAGCATATTGCTATTCTGTGCACTCATTTTACAAGTTCTATATATTTTTTTAATTTGCAGTGATCACAATTCGCAGTGATTAACTGCAGTGGTCGCGATTCGCAAATCAACACAAATGCACGGCGGTGAACGGCGTGCAATACACCGCACCGCGGGAAGGCGTGCTGTGCGCCTGAGTTCTGGGGGTGGCACCACATGATTTAAGGGTCACGCCAGGCCGAAATTTGGATGCGTCGGGATGTTTTCTGTAGTTAGATGTCGAGCTTGCAAAGTACAGTATGTTGCGGAAGTGTGCGATTAAAGTGCGAAATACATGTACGACAAAACCGTCCGATCCGACGTGCGGACTGCCGGAATGACCTTGGGGGGTGAGGGTTTTCGTAGCATCGGAGAGCGTTGACAACCCTCGCCTCCGACTGTCGTATTGCGCGGTCAGACGTCGGATCGGACGGTTTCGTCGTACATGTGTTTCGCGCTTAATTCGTCCTCATGACACAAGACACAATCACCGAGTAAGCGCGGGAGATACGGTCGACGCGGTCGTTTGCGAAGTGCGAGATGTCGTTGGGCAACACAGACAATCTATTTTAGGAACGTAGCAGCGATAATGACGGGGAAAAGTTTCAGCTGTCTCGCCTCCAGCATGAGCTTTCTAACTAGGATAGTGCTTCAGCATCTCCAGCGCCTCGCATGTACCTGTGCAGCTAAAGCATGCCAGAAGGCGTCGAGCGCGCGCTGAAGGCCAGGCATTCAAAAGAGGCACCCTGCCATTTCCTTATGTACAATGTGCCCATAAAGTATAATTTGTTTTCTCTCGTTTTGCTGACATGCAATGTGGGGAGGGTTGACTTATAATCGAGTCGACTTACAGTCATGTAAATATGGTAGTTTCATTTTCTGAGATTGTTCTTCTGATCGGGGAAAGAGTAGTAAAATTGTTCCCAAAAATTTGTTTCGAAATGCTTGCTAAGTGACTCAAAGTCACTGATTTTCCTTCCTGTATCAACAAAGACTGATTAATGTTTCTAGCATTGACGACAGTTGTTTTGTAGGGATGGGCGAATATTCGGTTATTACGAATAGCCAATCAAATTCCGTTCTATTCGGCATTCGCTTCGAATCGAATTTAAGTATTCGACAATATCGAATTATTCGAAAATATAGAATTAGTCGACCTTTCTAAATACAGCCATGCTCGACTATATCGAACCAGTTTACATTGAGTTATTCCTTATATCGAACAATTTTTGTGCACAGTAATATTACAGTGACATTATATAGCAAAAACTATGGTTGCATCGAACAAAACTAGCAGCCGCTACCGATATATTGAACTGCCAAGAGCGCCGTTTTGCTCTGCAAGCTAGCCGCCTCGGTGGCTCCGAGGCGAGAGCGCCGGCCTACGAATCCCCAGGTGGCGGGTTCAAATCCCGACTGAGGTGCCCGCAATATGACGGAGGCTTATTGCGGAGAAGGCGCCGTGTAACCGAGCTTTCAGTTGCACGTCAAAAGATCCCCAGGTGGTCCAAATTAATCCCCAGTCCTCCGCTGGGGCGTGCCAGATGCCCGTCGTTGGTTTGGCACGTAAAACCCCCAAATTTGACTTTGCTCTGCAAGCTGGCTTTCCCCAACGCGCGCGGACGCATAGGGGGAAAGCCAGCTTGCAGAGCACGCTGGCTTTTTCTTTTTTCCCGGCGGCCGCGTCGACTGCTTGTAAGAAAATATATCTTTTGCGGACAGAGGGTGCTACGTGCTCCCTCTCCCCCCTCCGTCGGCAAAAGAGAATATTATTTTTTCTTTCATATTGATGCAACCGCACAGAGAGAGAGAGAGAGAGAGAGAGAGAGAGAGAGAGAGAGAGAGAGAGAGAGAGAGAGAGAGAGAGAGAGAGAGAAAAAAAAAAAAAGCCAGCTTGTTTTGCTAGTTGGCTTCCCCCAACGCCGCCACTTGTTTTAGGGGAAAGCCAACTTGCAGAGCAAAACGGCGCTCTGCAGGAGAAGGTGCTCCCATTGGACGTGCTCCGTGCTCTCGGCATTGTTCGGCGCTAATGCGCGAATATCGAAGGCAGCGGCCTCAGCATTTTGGAGTCCGTCGATCGCGCAGGAAAATATCGTTATCGCGGATGCAATGAAGAGAAAGCAGCAGAAAATGCAAGACAACTTCATTGTGTAGTATTTCAGCAGAAAGTGAATTTTTGAGAGTCAAATTTATTAAAAGTTTTATATTGAAGTACCCCCTATATCGACCTGGTTTGTTTGCGAGGTCAATATAAACGGGTTCCACTTACTCTGGCTTGGATTTACGGCCAGGTGGCACAAGCTTCCGACCGTTTCAACCATTTCATGCTACCGAACTCGATACACTTGAAATTAACAATTACAGTATATCTATACCAAATAAGGGCAAATATAAAACAATAGTTTAAGCGTATCTTGTGGTATTTTTTGCTTGTACTATTCAAACTATTCGATTCGAAATTATTCGACCAAAATCACTATTCGCTTCGAATTCGATTCGGACCCAAAATCCTCTATTCGCCCATACCTATTGTTTTGCACTAATCATTTGAGCAACGACGTTAGTTACTCTGACCATTCTGGATTATATGAAAATGCAAAGCTTGAGGCAGGAAGAAAGCTTTTCCTGGAGCCCTTGGTACTGATGAATTTTGTCTGGCGTCACGAAGCAACAGAGAGATATGCTGAAGGAAAGCCTCTTACTCTGCTTCATCACCAGGTCGATTGCAGCCACTGCATCTGTCAGGTTCATCTTGTTGGATCGCATGTCTGCGAGAACCGCCCTGTTCAGAGCATCCTTAAAGAGCAATAGAAAAATAGGGTGAAAACATGTCAGATAAATTTAACACCGCACAATCAATAATTAAGCTTTCCAAAAAAAAAAGCTTGTCATCTAGATCCAGTGCTTCATAGCTCCACTTTGAAAAACAACAAAACATTCTCAAGTTCAGAAACGGACTGCAAAGTGACAATGGAGCCTGGAAGCTTGGTCCAGAGACCTAATGCCTGTAAAATAAATTCTTGCTTAAATATGTGTAAGTAGGCATTCATGGTGGCAAGCACTTAATAATGATGTAATCGCTCCAATTGGTAACCTTTTTATTTTAAAATATTTACAACTGTCAATTTTCAAGAGATTTTTGAACAAGGTGCCTGAAGTACTAAAGAAAGAAGCCCTTAGGATGTTGCAGCGCCTGGAAGATACTGATAACATATTACCACCCCAAAAAATAAATTCCCACTGCCATTAAATTGTGCCGTGCCACTACCTTGAAAGCCCTGCAGTGCTCCTTCTTGAAGCCTGCCGGTGCCTCAACGTAGAAGTAGGGCAGGAAGCCGTGCACGTGGCAGAGCACGCTGTGGCCGCCGTCGGTGACCCCGAACATGCGGACGATGGGCACAGTTCCAGTGCGCATTCCCGGCATGCAGTCCAGCGGCCGTCCCAGGTAGTGATCCAGGTCGATCTGCTGGAACTCCAGGCTTTCCCGCTCCGGACGCAACGCGGGCATCGGTGGTCGCGTCCACCGCACGCTCGTGCAGGCGTTCTCGGGGCCCTGTCCCGCTGCGCAACGAAAGAAATCCCGTTGTGTGTATGTTTAGACAGCAGGAAGTTGCCCAGTGTGGAGCACAAGTTTGAATGTCAAGTGAAAAAAGAAATGCAAAGCTCCAAACAAAACAAATAATTAACTGCACTGGTAGAAGCTGCAGTACCAGCAAGAGCTGTAAGGCAACTAATTTAGTGCAATGAAGTTACTGCAATTAGTTACACTTAGTGATTTAATGTTTTAGGTCAAAGTAAAATTTCAGTGCATGGAACTTCGTTATATTCTGGGAGTAACCTGTTGCAGCTACAGAATCATGTTGGCAAATACAAAAAGTCAGACATAATATTTATCGTATTTTCCGGGCCATAGTCCGCGGGCTACACATGTTTTAAGTTGAAATTTCAGGCTTGGCAGACTACCCATGCATGCGGACTATACGGGAATTTTATTTTTCAAGATCGTTAATTATGACGAGACGTGATGGATATTGACTGAAAGGGTATGTTAATAATGATTTATGTATAATGCAAGCTTCTTTGTGAGCTAAGAAAGTGGACATTTGTCCAGGTGTGTTGTGTATGAGAAGATTTTCGTGTCGACTAAGCACAAGGGGCAGACTACGCATGGCGTGCGGACTATGTAAGCAAAACCTTTTATTTTTGGCCTCAAATCTCTGCATACTACTATACACCGGGTGCGGATTATAGCCCGGAAAATATGGTAGTTACTTTTTGCAAGTAACTGTAACTGTAAAGGCCCGTTAACATTCTTGCGACCTCTTAGAACTTGGTGGCTTAATACCTCTTACAACAAGAGGACACACTGGCGCCATCTATTAGGTAGCAGTGTAAACTTGGCAGTCCGGCATATTTTCTATTTCTTTCCACATTATCCTTTCTTTCTTGTCTTGAAAAACTTTTGTCAACATTATAAACGAGCCTTTCTTACAGGTATTACGCACATTTGACCTCAGAAATCCCGCAAAACTTTCGCTCTTGTGAAATGCAGTTCCAGGGTCACCGCATAGATGGCGCCAGAATGCCAGTGTGTTCCCTCGTTCTAAGAAATTTTAAGAAGTTTTAACAGATCTCGTCTCTCTCGGTCGTACTCAGTTGCAAGAGTGTGAATGGGCCTTAACTATAGTCGGTGATGGGTCAAGAACGAAGTGGAAGCTCCTCCCACCCCCTTTCCACTTCAGCGGAGCGAACGGTGGAGAGGAGGTTGCCTCCCCTCCAGCGTTCGCACTACTAAAGTAGAAAGAGGTGGGAGGAGCTTCCTATTCGTTCTTGACCTTCACCGACTATAGTAGATATATTTATGAGAGGTTCTATGGTTGTATTTGTAGCTCAATTACACTCTAGCTGAAATAAATGCAATTTATTTACCTTTTAAGCGTAACCTTTGCAACTCTGGTTCTGAAGTGCCCAAAATGGCATAAACCCTACTGTAAAGTTAAGAAAAGCTTACAGAAAACGAATCGTCGCAGCAACAACACGAGCTGCAGTGAGAGCCAAAGGCGCAGCTAACTGAGACTACTACAAAAGCATTAGGGCAACTTTTCTGGTTAACCAAAATCCCACACGGTCTCAAACGTACCACATCTACTCGATCTCAAGAGATGTGCAACATTGTGTCATACACGGACGTGAACACGTGGCTTCAGAGGATTGCCCTTGTGCAGGTCCTCAGCTAAACACGGCATTCTGCAGAATTTTGACCTATAACATAGATGCCCTTGCAACTGTGGCTTTCTTCACAACTGCCTACCAGTTCCGAGATGGGATGAGCTAGCACATTGGTGCACAGGCATCGCCGAGTTGACCTCCTAGCACTCTGCTCTATGCACTGTGCACGTCCCACCCCAGCTAGTTGTTCTCAATAAGCGATAAGTTAAATCTTGCCTGTAGCATGTTAACGAGATACCCTTTTCAACACCTCATCAATCAACATCGGCGGCCACCAGTGCTTAGATATTTAAGTGGGGGAAAGCATTTCTTTTTTTTTTTTTTTTAGGCTAGGTGGCGCAAGCTACCACCCTTTACAAATGGCAGACAATATCATCCATCCATCCATTCATGGACTGATTGGATCCAGGAATCGTTAGATCCAGGTCCTTGCTGAATGAATTACTCATTCTCAATACTAGCTCAGCCGAGTTCACGCCAAACATTGACAATACATGCCCAGAGCTCAGGGTGCATGCCTAACAACAGCAGACTCGGTTAATAAGCACAGTAGCTACCAGAGGGTGCCCACTTTTGAAAAAGGTCTCGTTTTAACGATAGCGCATGCAAGTATGGTGCCTGGAACGCGTTTGCGACTAGTGTGTTTACCGTGTCCAAGAAAGTGGCCCCTTGATTTGCGCCTGATGACGTCATAGAAGTGTTCATGCTGTCGCCGGTCACGAACCTGGCGGTGTCACAGCAGCGGTGGTGGATGTGGCAGATGCTAGTTCTTTTGCAGGTCGCTCTCCACTGTGACAGTTTACGGAAGCTACGGCAGCCAGAAGTTGGGGACACCGTGACGACAGCGACATTTCGCGTTCGCTCGTGCCTTTCGCCAGCCTTTCTACGACCAACCGCCAGGATCGCGACATGCAACAGCATGACACTTCGGTTTCTGTGACGTGATCCGTTGTCATTTCGGGACCCCTTTTGATGTATGGGCGGGATAGGATGCTAAACACACCACTCCGAGACGCGTTCCAGGCACCATATGCAAGGGCATGCATTACACGGGGAACTGAAAGAACGACGGTGCACTTACATAGAGATTCCTGAGATTCGGTGTCGTCCATCTGCTCTTCGCTGATTTCCTCCATCAGGGCAAGCTCCGCCTCGAAGTCCATCGGGTCTTCGTCGTCGTCCTGACGACGGAACTTTTTGCTTCCTTGGGATGAGCCGTGGCCACCGCCGTTCTGCTTTGGCTTTCTTTTGTAGTCCATCTCTGTGGCCTTCCGACGGCGATCCTTGATCGAATGCAGTTCCAAGACAAAAAAAGATAGGTCGACCTCGCCAGCGTACAGGACACACACGTCCTATGTCCCACAAGTGAGGAACCCGGTACAACGCCGACTCAAATCGACAGATTAGGTACCCTAGATTTTGCCGCCTCCTTTTTTTTTTTCTTCAAATTTTGGCAGAAAAATGACAACAACAAAAGCAGACATTAAGGCGAACGGATCACTCGCTACAGGAAAGTAGACAGTTTTGGAATCGCTGGCACTCAACGTGAACCATTTTGGATCGTCAACACTACGGTGTTGCTGGGCAGGGTACTTGTTTACGCAAATCATTTTTTACAACCTGTATCACGGCTGGGAAGAACGCAAGCCAAGAGAAATTAAATGTTACTCACGTAAATTGGCAAAAGAAGGAAGAATAGTCTCCGTTCAACTCTCTACGGCTGCAAGAAACACCGCTGTTGCCGCTGTCTTGGCCGTCTTGGCGCCGAAATGACGATGATGATATTTGCAAATATTCAGTCAATTTGGTGTTCAAAGAATGTCAATATAAGCAAAAACAAAACACTATCTTTATGTTTATGTACAAATTAATCATTTTTTAAAATATTTTAAGGAGTCTTATAGATTTTCACAGACCAGTCCTGTATTCGCTCAGTCAGTAAAGCAGCATCGGCAGAAACGTCAAGTTTCAAGATGGCTCCGCAGTGTTCTAAAAATTTCTTTGCATATGTGTGTGAAGAATTTTTACCGTAACCTTTGCAATCCGATCGATTACTGAGGTTTGAATTGGGCGCAAAGTGTAAAAACACCGGTTTTCAGTGCACACTTTGTGACAAAGCGCTTTCATGACCGGGCGAGGCCAGCTCGTCGTCATGGACGAAACGGGTGGGTGCCAGCGGCGCGAACTTTGCTGCGCGTTTATTTCGTCAAGCTCACGCGAACGTGGCCCGATGCTCCGAACGTATTTCATCTTCCAGAAAGAAACCCCTCTCCACCACCCGGGTTCTTGGAAGCGGAAAAGACATTGGGCGCCGATCGGATAGGCGAAACCGTGTTCAGCAGGCACTGGGTGTTTCAGTGTCTACTCAATGCTCTAAAGGTAACTACCGAATCACTCTCCACTGGGACACTTTCTGTTCGCGGCTGTAGATATAATTATGCATGCAGAAGTACTTCTGCTGTCTGTAAATGTGAGATTATAAATGCTGAAAAAAAAGAAAAAAGTACGGCACCGATAAGTGAGAACTGTCTAAAGTCGAATAGACCGGTTGCAAAAAATACCAAAATACCGCTGATGGAGCGCGCGTTTATTTACGGAAATGTTCTGTATGATGCTACTTGCTCCCGCAGTACTACCATTGACACGAAAGAGAGTAGCGCAGTTTGTGCAGTTGCATTTACCCTCGCCCGCTCGTCAAGCCACCTCGGTGCCTTCGAGGCAAAGGAAGGAAAAGCCTAGAAAAACATATGGGAGGGAAGAATGCAGGGAAAATCAAATTAGCTTTAACTATGTATAGGGGGCGGAAACAGAAAATGTGGAACACTGGTATGGTAATTCTCGGGGGAGCTCGTTATTTGAAGCTAGAATGGGACTATTGCAGACTAGGACATATAGGACAAAGTGTGAGGCAATAGAGGCGCAGTGTGGGGGGCCGTATGCCAAGGGGAAGACGAGACAATAGAACATGTGGTGTTGAGGTGCACGTGGCTGGCTCCCGCCCTCCCGGAGGGGCAACGGATTTAGCTGAAGCGCTGGGGTTTGCAGACAAGAATTAAAGAATGGATGAAAAGTGCATTTTAATAATGAAGAGGAGATAAGAAGACTATTGGAAATTATCTGAAGAGAATTGAATGACGTACAACTAACTATCATGGCTGGGGACAGGCGGAACAGAGGAAAATTGGGACTCCCCTCGAAATCTCAGTCAACCCTATCTCAAAGTGGGCTTGGTGCTGGGGTAACGCCAACTACGTTTTACCAGAGGTAAATTGGCGACTCTTTCGCCATGGGGAAGAGGCGGGGGAAGATGTTTTTAGTATTTTTGCCCGATCCTCCAAAAGTGATCCTGGTTATATCCCGCACTGCCTGGTAATAGTTGCAAAATTGCAGAGGGGAAGCGAATTGGCTTAGAAGGGCGAAGGGAGGAGTCATACTTCTGGTTGTTAGTTTTTAGACGAGGTGGCGCAAGCTACTGCCCGATATAACGGTACAGCCATTAGCATCCATCCATTCATTCATCCAGTGCAGGCCTAGGGAGCCTAAGGTGGAAAGTTCGATTCCCGGCCGACGTGCCCGCAATCTGACGGAGGCCTATTGTCGAGAAGTCGCTCTGCAACCAAGCTTTTTGTTGCACGTCAAAAAAAAAATCTCCAGGTGGTCTAATCGCCATTCCTCCACTAGGGCGTATCAAACGCCCATTGTTGGTTTGGCACGTAAAACCCCTAAATTGTTTTTTACTTTGTTACCCGCTCGTCTGTCTTGCCTCAGTCGCCGGCGGGTTTGACTCCCTGCGGAGGTTCCTGCAATATGATAGAGGCTTATTGCGGGGAAGGTGTTTCGTGTTTTCGGTATGCAGGCGAGTTCGTTCATGATTACAACTGGTAGCAGCACGCAAAAACATGAAGACAAAGAAGGAATGCACAAGTCCTTTTGTGCATTCTTTCCTTTGTCCTTGTGTTTTTGCGCGTTGCTACCAGTTGGAAGTTACCCTAAAATAAAAATAGCCCAAACTTCACTGAAAAAAAAATCTTTATCTGCAGCGTTTTTTTGTGTTTACCCGGAACCACGGTGTAAAATGTAATAGGTAAGAACAGCACTCGCATCGCAGCTGCCTGATAAAGTCCTCCTCTCGCTTTCGTTGCAAGTGGCGACACCAGATGGCTCCTCCACGTGCGGCTGGTGGCAGCCTGTCACGGGACCGGTTTTTCAGGCTTTTCTAAGGGAGACACGCTTGCTTTTAAAATAGTTTTCTAGGTGTGCCACGACACATAGGACTTGGCACTCGCGATATGTGTGTTGTTTAGATACTGGTTCGTCACTGACCCTGTATTCATTCTTCAACGGCGGCAATAACAGTTTTGTGAACACGTCAAAGCGGAGAGATCTCTGGCGCGGTGTTTGATCCGGCATCTGTCAAGGTCGGAGCAGACGTCCCGAGCAAATAATACATGCTCCCAAGAATAAAACACTTTTTTTTTTTTTTTTTAGTTGCAGTGTTTAGATTGCGGAGACGCATTTGGTTGAAGCTACTCTGGCGCGCACCAAGAGGACTTTAACTGGCCGATCGCATCGCATTGTTTGCCGTGCTGCGTGTCCTCACCTGCGTATACCATAGAATACCGCGCATCGGCCCATTCCACACTAAGCGCCCATTCCCAAATTTGTAAGATCTGAGAAAATATCCACAGTACATTGATATGTAAAATTGATGACCGGACAAGTGCCCATCCCCCATTTTTTCGCGATTATCTCTAAACTTTGAGTGGGTGCTTGCCCGGTATTTTACGGTATATCTTACACCGTGCCTGGAACACAGCCCTATATTGAACTGTCTTCGAGGCTGTTTTGAACAGCCTCGCAGACAGTTCAATAAAGGACATAAAAAACACACCCAAATTCAAGTAAAAACACCCCCCAAAAACACAAAAACCCTAGTTACATGTAACTGAGAAATCGGTTGCATGTCACACAATCTCCAGGTTGTCAAAATGAATTCTCACTCCCCAGATGTTGTGTACCCGATGCCCTTTCTTGGTTTAACACATTGTACTCCTAAAGTTAAGTTTTTTTTTCTGGCCTTTATTTTGTTCTTATGACAGTGTCTCTGTGCCTGATTGTTCAATGTTCGTGTTGATTTCGTCTGCCCCGTATTCTCGTTTTGAAGGCAGCCGAGAATGAGAGTGCCAACGGCGAGGCTGACATGGAAGAGGTCGTCGAACTCGACAGAGAAGTCGAGCAGGAGCTGTGCACCCTTTGGGACATGGCTGCCAATTCGGTGAGCGTCGCTCGGTCCCGTTGAAATCGCCACATTCCAGTAGCCTGGGAAAGACGTTTATGCGGAGGTCTTGAGCTAGCATCTTTGCATAAATGTGGGGAGGTACAAAGTGGCGGTACGGCCTGACCAGCGGTGTTCGGGTCGGGACAGCACAACAGCCATGCAGAGATCCCCGGGGATGCGAACCCTTTGACGATCGTCGCCGCCCCTTATATACAGCGGCGATTACACATTTGAAAGCGCCCACCTAAACGTGAAACCGCGCGCACCGCGGGAGGTGTTGTTCTTTCTAATGTCTGTAGTAAACTATAAATGTTATATTCACACAGTGTTTCGCTTTGCTGAGGCTGGTTATAGTTTTGAAATCAGACGCTTCGGGCACGTTATTCGCGTGAGATGGTTGCTTCGCATGTCAGGTGCTCTGGGGGTGGTGGCAATTGGAGTACTGGCTCTTCTAATTCCGACTTTTAGCACTTCTCAGAATTTAATTAAGAGGATAAGAGCTTTCTATCTGATGGAGAAGCTCTGAAAAGTGCTTCCAGTTTCGAATTTGAATCTGCCATTGACATGCCAGAATGCAATAGAATGGAAGAAAGGTGACAACTTTTTGCCTACAATTTTTCTATTTGATGCTTGTAAACCTGAACAGCTTGTGAGCACTGTACGTGCTCCCGCTAGATCAGTGGTTCTCAACCATCGATGCTTCGCGGACCCCTTGATGATCGGCGGAGATGATGGAGGACCCCAATCGTGGTAAGAGATGAGGAAAGGTATAGGTTAAATATAATATTGATTTAATAAATGGATATAACTAAGGTCTAGTGTCAAGTAGACCTCTCTTATTGACATACACACGAGAAAACTCGCCCGAAAACTGAAACATTTCTTCTCGACCTGAAAAAAGACAACTTTTATTGCCGACATTGACTGATGAGGCAGGGCTTCACGGACCCCTAGAATGCCTTCGCGGACCCCAAAGGGTCTGCGGACCCCCATTTGAGGACCACTGCGCTAGATAATTGGGAAAAAACCTGCGCATTGACCCTATCTCTATACTATTCCTTTGGAAACAAAACCCAACCACTGGGAAACAGCTTTTGGTTGGAACGGACTGCCACAATTCCTGTTATTGCAATATGGCAGTTGGTTTCATAGCTTAGCTAACAGGAGATGCCCCATGTAGCATATTACCCCTTTCAGCTACCATTAAAGTGGGCGAGATCGTGTTGCCTCAGACTGTACGTAAGTCATTCATGTCAAAACGTGCAGAAGTCGGAACTGATCTCAAGTTGTTTGAGTCTGCTGTGCAAAATTTTGTAATGGCACCTTTGGCTTTCAGGATGTGGCTCGCTTTCTCCACGAGTTCAAGGCCTTCGAGATTTTTCTCCAGATCATCAAGACATCCAGATCGCCTCGTCTTGTGGTGAGATTTGACTCTGGAGAACCGAAAGAAGCCTCAGTCTTTTCCACTATTAACAATCTGCTTGACTTTGGTCATAGATGAAAGCGATTAGCTATGCATCCGGCATGATTGCTTGAGCTTTTGCTTTGTTTAGGGTACACAACTGGGATTCTCGGCTTTCGGACTTCATTTCGGTTGCATCTTTGGAAGTTATCACAGTTTACTTCTGATCAATTTTCAGATTCCCGAAATTCCAAAAATGCAAAAAGGACATCACCTCACAAACACGTAGCAAAATGTTTCGCTTACAAGCCGGGTTCATGAGGGAGCATTACTTCAGCAAAGATGTAGCGGCGCTCGCTGCAGTGATATGATGTGGACTGCCTCCCTGTCTTTTTTTTACCGGGGAACTTTGCAAAACGATCGCTCAGTTCATGATGTTGCAGTGAGCGATTTTTGCTGTCATTTCGCTCGCTTTCAATGTCTTCAAGAAATGTTTCTTTTTAAACAACATCTCATAACAATCACTTGCCTTAAATCCCCGAAAAAGTTTATTTTATTTTCCAAACCTCCCATCGATTGTAGGCAGAAATGTAGATCACAAAAGATTTGAGTTTGTTGTCAGCGTCTTTTCAACGAGCACCCCTTTTTCGTTCACCCAGGAAATTCTGGTCGGAATCCTGGGCAACATGGCGGTGTTCCCCGACCTGAGCCTGGCGTTGTCGCAGGAAGACAGCATGCTGTGAGTGGAGGCGCCGCGTGACTTCCTTTGCGCAGGCACTGAAAGAGTGCCTTGCATTGGCTTTCAGACAGATGGTGCTGCAGCTTCTGGGGGGATCTGACGCCCCCACGCTGCTTCAATTGCTCAGGTAAGCCTCGTTAAAGAGTGCAAGGGGCCTCTTTTCACCGTGGTAAAGTCACTGGCAGGGCTGGAATGGCAAAGCGGTCCTTCAGTTGTCCCGCCTCTGTTGCGAGCTTCTTCCTTGAATAGCGCTTTGGCATCCCGGGAACCCTAAGTGTGCACGCACTGCCAAAGTCCGATGAAAGGCAACGACTGCAATCCTGTGCTGTTGACTGCAGTCGTCGCCAATCATCTGGAGTTGGCTGTACAGAGTGCATATCGTGCTTTTGAAGCACCAAGTTCATAGCCATTGCAATGATGCAGTGAAGCTCGCAAAGTATCAGCTTCTTTTATCGGAGTTCCCGGACACCCTTATACATCATTATAACATGATGAGGTTAAGAAAGCTTAACCTTAAGGCGTGTTTCATTTTCTTAAAACACCGTGCTAGTGTATTCTAGAAAGGTGCGAAACGAAAGTGGATGAATGTTTTCAAGCCTTGTCCGAGCGCACTTGCCCTTAACTGGAGTTCTCGATTCCTCCTTTTTTAACGGTTAAGCTGCATCCATCCCTTCATCCATCAATGAGGCCTAGTGAACACATTGTGTCAAACTTTCAGACTCTGCCACACATGCCTCGCAAACAGGGAGTCCTTACCGCTCTGGCTCGCGGCCATCCGTGGAGCTGACAGCTGCCTTCCCCACATCACTTTCATCTTGGGAAACTCCATCAACGGTCTGTGGAACTCAGTCACTCTTAGCTGAACTTAAGATGTTGCATGGTTGCCAGAGGCGTCATCATGCATACTAGGTTCTTTCGAGAACCGCAGTCTGCTTTCTTCATCCTGCAATGCATACTTTGTTACCTGTCTATTCTGAGGGAACTGCATGGTCTCTATGCATGCCTCTGAAACAAAACATTTTTGCAGAAGAGCTGCTGAAGGTGTGTTTCCAAGTCCTGGACTGTGTTGTTGATGAGGATCCAAGCCTCTGCAGCTACTGCGTCAACGAAGAGTTTGTTACAGCTGTCTTCGCTGCAGCAGGCCATCTGAGGTACATTGTTGGGGAAAGGGGGAGGGCGGAGAAAGAGAGGGGAGGGGGCATGAGCGGATACATTTCACTTCATAAGTGCGAGCGAAGGGAAAACTACAAAAGCGAGCACAATACCTTTTGTAGGGACATAGGTACGCGCTCGTAAAATGAAAGTGTTGCTCAAAACAATGTGCTTACGCTTATAGCATGGGCTTCACTCGCACTTATGATTAAACATGATGGTGGCTCTAGCAGTGCATTCCATTTGGAGCCACCGAAATAATGAAAGACTAACATATTCCGAGGAACAGCTCAGTCTACCTGAATCGAGCCAGCATTTATTGGCAAAGAATATCGAAAGAAAGACAGCGAGCACTTTTTTTTTTTAATATAAAACTGCCACTATGGCAGCCACAGATGATTCATAGGATCCACAATTAAATCCTGCTCAAAAAATGACCCTAACTATACTAATCTTTCTTATGCCATCTTTCCATCCTCCTCTACAATCCTATTGCTATAAGGGGAAGTGCTACGTGATCAGCGTTGAATTGCCGTGCAGTGCCATGGAGAAGCAAGAATTCCTGGACGCATTCTGGCATCTGCTGCACGTTCTGGACTACGAGACAGATATCAGGGACATGCTCGGTGAGACCATCACGAATATTTCTGAAACCTCCTGAAGCTTTTGAAGAATTGTTTACCGTAAAGTACCAGGTATGTGCCCACGTCGCAATAAGAAATATATAGAGAGGGCATGTCAAGCACCCACCCCAACAAACTTTTGCGCCCACCGACCTAACCGAGATGTTTATGCCGGTTGTTTCTCCGAGAAGCCAGTGCAAAGCGGTGAAGCTTCGTACGCGCACGCCGGTGAAAAGCAGTGGAGCTTGGTGCAAGGGCGCCGACCTGAAGCAGGATTGATGGAAGCGGCGCAGTTGCTTTAAGATTGAAGACTTCCGCCAGCCTCCTATCCTTCTCCTACACCTTTTTGTTATATCAAACAAGGGTCATATAAGGCCCCCTCCCTACCCTACCGTGTACTACCCTACCGTGTACTACTCTACCGTGTACTACTTCTACCTTTCTGCTCTCTGACGTAATATGTGTCCATCTCTGTTTTTTCGGGATTATCTTTGGCTTGTTGGTGAACACTCGCTCGGTATTTTAAGGTAGATAATTTAGCACGATGATGTTTGTGGCAACTGGTTCTTGTGGTTAAGCTTTTTGCTGAAGAATATAGCTGTTCACGGGAGTTTGGAAGGGGATGCCAGGGGGGAACCTGGCCTACCATATAGAGAATCGGACTCGTGAAATGAGTTACGCACCGGGCGGTGCGTAGGCCGAATCGTCTCCAAAGTAGTTGTAGGTGCGAGACATCTGTGCATGCGATGGTATGCTCCGAAGTAGCATGGTCGCTGCCGGCATACAATACGCTTTGCACAGTGCCGAAAAGGGAGTTAGATTTGTTTTCGCCGATGCCATTGAGCTGCTGTCACTTTCTGAGATTTATGCCTCTGCATTGTTCACGTGTGGCACAGTGCCATCGAAGGAGAGTGGCTTTTCGTTTTTCTCGTGTCTAGCGCTTCGCTAGAGAAGCGAGCAGCTCGAAGACTTTACGAAGTTGGCTGCTACTGCAAGCCCTGGCCGTGTGTGAACTGCAACAAAGGTCACATTTCTTCTTTTGGGCACCGACGCTTGTTCGCAGTCTAACGTGCACTGGTTTGCATATCATCTTTGCAGTGCAACGGTATCTTGCTTCAGATACCTGTCGGATGCCTCCCAATGAGAGCGTTGAGACACCGCCGCTATTTGTCTGGTCCGATCTCTATGAGTCGCCCAGCTGAACCGGGTGTTCTGACACGATCCTCGTAATGGGTGACACCTGACCTCTGCATCGAGGTGCGTGTGTGCCTACTTCGGTGGCTCACGCTGTTCGGGCTGCTGGCCTTCCGCAGCCATTCCCCGAGCAACCATGGTGAATTTCTTGTATCACTGTGTTCGTTTCAACGAGACTTGGCAGACGGTGTCCAGGGTGCATCATCACCGTAAACCAGTGCATTGCAGGCTCTGGTGCATAGAACGTTATGGATGCCAAGAACCTCGGCATCAATTCTTTCACATATGTGAGCGCGACTGGCACCTGTGTGGCCAGCATGCAGGTTGTGTGTTTTGCGATTGCCGGTAGGCCTTCTGTTTAGCTCACTATAGTTTTCGAGTGGAAGGTGTGGGAATCCCTATTTGAGAATGGATAACTCGTTTTGCCCTCTCCTTCGCTACATCCTCTCTCACATCCCATTTGCAAAGTTCTTTCTCTCGATAAATCGGTCGGCGCAGGGGAGCTGGTCCTCCCGGGCCTGAGTGATCGTGGGTGCGTGCTCAGTTGGGCCTGACTGACGAAAGATGTGGATTGTCGACCTCCGACGACGATATGCGACGTCTTCGGCACTCAGGTCGATGATAGCGTCGGGCCTATGACCCGACACTACCTCGGCCGCAGTGTGTTTACGGAACTCTAGTTTCATTAAACAAGGACTGCATCTGGATCATCTTCTGGTTCTGGCGCTGCTACTTCCACTCGTTGCAGTCAGCGAATGAACCCGGCGCGGCAACCACTCTCTTGGTAGCGTGGTCACGCGGTGGCAGTGCTCTTAGGCCATTAGACCTTTACTGGTTCGGCCTTGTGAGTAACTTAATCTTCAAAGTATGCGTGAAACAAATGCTTCGAAGATGCTTGGTGCGTTTCCAGAGATGCTTCTGTCATCATGTCTGCAGCAAATACCATGTTTTTTTCTAGGATGTATGAGTAGTGTAACTACGGCTTTATGGTTTCTACTCAAGACGGCATGACTGATTATCAGACGTGAATGACAAAAATGAAAGCAGAGTATAGTGACCAAAAGGTATCCAATCCTACTAAAACATAATAGTGCCCATTCAACCAATCATAGTTGCTTCCATAAAAAAAAAATTGCACTCTCCCCCCCTGGAAAAATAGGGTTTGCTTCCCCTTAAAACAAGTCATGCTGATGCCCATGTAGCCATTACTTCTCTTCTCTTCTAGAAGACCACAGTTGATTTTGGGGTGAAGTTGAGATGAAAAAAAAAAATCAGCTTTTGCAGGCGCAACAAGTAATAGAAAAGTCCTCGCTACTTGTCATCTTAAAAAAAAACAACACAAATGTTGTTTCTCACTTTGCGAGGGCTCAACATCAGGCCCAACTAACGTTTGTTCCCGAAATACAGTTCGTGAAAACTAGCAGGAATAGCTGAAACCAGAACTTTCACTTATGTAATACCCTCTTTTAGGGGGTATTACATAAGCGGTGAGGTTACAAAAAATAATCCAACTTACCGTAAAGTACCGTGGAAGCGCCCACTTCGTTCAAGCGCCCACTATTAGTATTTCCGAAACTTGGGAATTCTGCAAATCGTACGTTAAGCGCCTGATTTGACCAGACAAGCGCCCATGTCTAGATTATCCCAGTTTTCAATGAAAGTTGGATGGGCGCTCGTCCAGTATTTTACGGTAGGTGGTAGGTAGTTTTCAGGGTGAGAGATGATCGGTAACATTTTCGAAGAAGGCTGATTGGCAGGTGATGGCAGCAATGTGGTGGGGAAGGCCGTTCCAGTCCAGAGCTGCAAGGGGGAAGAACGACGCAAAAAAAGTGACAGTGCGAGTGCGTGGGCGAGCAGCCTGAGGAAGATAACTGGTGCGGTGAGATATGCGTGTGGGAGGTACGATACTGAAGTTTGAATGGGAATTTTCTCACCGTTGTCCAGACTCGCTCCACCGTTCATTTCGACCGTAAGACGAAGCTTCGACGACCTCCTTAGAATTGCCTTAGCCGCACTTTTTTTTTTCCCCGTGTCGCAGTTCCTTGGCGAGACAAGCTGGAAACGCTGCTCTTTGACTGGCTTCAAGGACAAGGTCAGGAATCGCCCACGCTGCCACCCAGGTCCTGCTGGCGCACGCTCGGGACCGGCCTCACGCTCGTCACCGACTTACGAGACGCCAGTCGTGCCAGTGCCAGCCAACCGTTGGGTGAGAAGCCCCAAGCACTCCTGCCCCTCTACAGTGAAATCTCGTTCATTTGAAGCCGAGGGGGGACAAAAACTTTGTTTCAATGATGCTAACTTTGAATTACCAGGAGTTTCCTTCCTAAAAACACATAGGATGGGATCTGTATGTTAGTTTGAATTATCCGCAAGTTCGAATTAACGAGATTCCACCGTACTAGCACACGAATCCCACAGAAGTGTAGGGTACCACGTGAAACATTTCCCAAGCACCGTGGCTGTTCCCTTACCCGCGGTCCTACGCTGCGTGATGCAGTCGCCACAAGTGCGACGTCGACGCTATTTTTGCGCTCTACATGCTCTTTTGAAGTGAAGTGACGAGCTCAAAATGTGTATACTGCCTAAGCCGATGACCCGAGTGCACATATTCTGCCAGATTTGTACAGCGACCCCCCCCCCCCCCCCCAAACAAAATAATTATTTAAAGCATTTTTCTTTAGAAATAAACTGTTGTACAATTTTAAACCAGCACACTAGTCAAAATTTTGAGTTAATTGCGCAAAACTAAAAGATGGGCACTTCTAAAGTCAATAATATGTAAAGATATGTCCTTTGTGTATTTTCCAAATGTTACAAAACTGAGGGCTGTATGTATGCATCGCCGAACGGTCATCTTCCTCCCAAATGTAACACTAGCTGTCCAAACCAGGTGCTAAAGTGTCTGAACTACCATAACCGTTATCTCAGTCGAAACTCTGAAAATTTCAACGGAAAAAATGGGGTCCATTTTCGCCCATCTTCGGTGACTCCACGTATTCGTTAGCTCTTTTAAGCACCATTTCCCTATTGAAAATTTCGGAAAATCGGTTATAACTTTCGAATGAAATAACGGATCGTCCTGAAATTTGGCGATACTTCTGGATGAATAATTGAGCGTTGGGCATTGCATAATTTATTTTTGCAATAAAGAAAAAAAAAAAACTTTTTTTTTTTAGGCGTTTTGTATTTTTGACAACAGTCACTAAATTAGCTACGCTTCAGGGTGACAACGCTTTGGCCATCGATGGATGGATGGATGGATGTTAATGGCTATACCTTTTGTAACAGGCGGTAGCTTGCGCCACCTAGCCTAAGTCTAAAAAGACGAGCAAATGACCCCTCCCGCCCATCTAAGCCAATTTTCTCACCCTAACTATCACCAGGCGGTGTTAAACATCACCCCCTTTGTTTCTTCTCCCCGACGAGGGAGTCGCCAAGTTTCCTCTGGTCAAACCTTGTCGGCGTTACTCCAGCACCAGAGCCACTGGGGGACAGTGTTGAGACATTGGGCCGGAGCCACACGGGAGGTAGTCCCAATTTTCCTCCGTCCTGCCTCTCCCCAGCTGTGCTATAGTTAGTTGTTCATCATTTCATCTTTCCTAGATAATTTCCACCAGTCTTCTAATCGCCTCTTGGTGATAGTAATCCATTTCTCTTCTGTTCTTCCATCGTCGCCAGCAAAACCCAGGGCCCCCGGCCACATCAGTTACCCCTCCAGGGCAGGGCAAAGCCCTGAGTACCTCAATACCAAGTGCTCTAGTGTCTCACTCTCATTATGGCAGGCTGCACACAATGTGTCTGTCTTTTGAAATTTAGCTCTCTATGTCCTCTTCCTCAAAAGACCTGTTCTCACCTCAAACAGTTAAGAACTTCCCAGTGAATTGTCAAACACATTTTCCTTTCTTATGTCCTGTTTTTGTGTCGTGTATATTGTTAAAGCTGACTTTTCCTGCATTCTCACCTCCCACATTTTTCTTTCTGCCTCTTTCACTCCCTTTTCCACTGAAGTCGTCTGCTCAGCCCCATCACTAGTGTGTAGATATTTAAAATTAGGGGTGTGCGAATATTCGAAATTTCGAATACGAATTGAATATTTTCCTTATTCGAAACGTATTTGATTCGAAAATTGCATATTCGGAAGTTCCCGAATATTTGGCGAAAACCGAATATTCGGGAAAACGGCGAATATTCGCTCAAACTGTGAATTTTCGAGCAAGTAACGAATAATCTGCCTGCCATGCATTACCCTATGAATATGTTTATTCACTGAGAAAGGCGTATCATGCGTGCGTTATCGGTCTGCTCCGTTTCTATCTGTCCGATAACAGCAAGACAGGATCAGTTTCGGTTTCTTTTTCACCAAGCCCTTTGTTGTGTGGCATTTTTTTAGCAATATGTGATGTAATTGCACATTCTATAAATTGATACAATACAATAAGCCTCGAGAGTGAAATATAAATATAAAATAAGTCTTGAGAGTGTTATCTAATATAAATGTTTGAAAATTAAAAAAAAAGAAAAAGTAGGTGCGAGCAGAACATTGCATCGCCATTGACAACAACTCCTGCCACTCCTGCGCAGTCAAAACTAGGGATGTCGCGAGCCTGCCCAGGTTCAAGCCGACCAAGTTCAACTTTTTCTAACTTTCAACGTGATGTTTCACAAAGGTTTGAGTGAAGTTCAACTTTTGTGCGCATGTGAAAAAAAAAAAAAGTTGATTCCATTTGGCAGAGGAAAATTGCAATATTTGTTGGGTTTATTGGCATCACTGGCTCACATGAATAACTAATGAAAGCATTAAAAGCGCATATTTTCGCCTTTATATGGTGTAAACATTAACCATTTTATGAAATATAAAATAGAGTACTTTCTACGTTATTTGTTTCCCAAAATTCGAAATATTCGTGTAGCAGCTGGGCAACACTGTCCCTAAGTCGAACTCCTTCGAACTTTAGCAAAATTTCGCCGGTTCCCCGAGTCAAAGGGTCTTTCTACTGGCAGAAATGTTGTCACGGCGCGTAGGGAGCACTTACTTTCTGAACACATCGAGCAGTTAATTTTCCTACACAATAATTTGTAATGAGTGCATTACTAGAAGTATCTTTAGCTTGCTGCAGCCCAGTAAAATGCAGTTGCATAGATTTATTTTAAAAAGGCAGTAAAACCTGCTGTTACTTCTTGTTTTGGAATTTTTATGTACTAGGCAAATATTCTCTATTCTAAGCCCGTTTTTTTGTCTATTTGTATTCGATTCGTATTCGAAAATTTCAATATTCGCACACTCCTAATTTAAATGTAAGCTTTCGGTTTTGGTTTGTCCATTTTTGTTTAAACTTTTCATGTACAGTGGCCCAATCTTTAATAATATCAAGCGAGCGTCGACCGCTGGGTCGGCGAGCGCTGGGACGCGGATGCGTGCAGCGATACGGGAGAGATTAAGCGCGTGCGCGAAAAGCTCTTTCCGGCGCGAGCGTCGTCTGCTAGGCTATTCCATTGATTGGACACAGCCCCGGCTCCGTAGCAAAGGAGGGCAGGGCGCTTGCCATGTCGAAGTGCATCGCCAATACACCCCTCCTCTTGGATTGCGTTCACAATTCTATTGACAATAGCCTGTGTAACCCCGACTGTTGTTGCTATATCCCTTTGCGTCATGCCGCCCATTGACATTCTCACAGCACTTTCTCGTGTTTGTATGGGCACTGGAGGGGGCATAAAAATGTGCTCGCACCCCTGGTCAAAGAAAAGTGTGACTACCCGGCTACATAAGCTAGATGACGACAGCAACAGCGCAATTGACAATACAAAACATTAAGCGGAAACCCTGTCTATACTCCGTTTCACTTTGTGTTGTACCGCAGCTGACGCTACGAGCCATCTTGGCCAGTCTACCACTAAAAATGTGTCACGTGGCTTTCCCGTTGGGTACAACCGTATGCAACCGCGCAAGGAAGCACAATGTCACGCGGCAGGGTGAAAACACTGGATTTGTTTTAATGGCTCGTAGCATTGTCTGCGGTATATAGTTTAATGCATCGTTGGATTCAGTTTGTCGCGTTACCGTATTTTTATTTTTGTCAGTGTTCACAAAAGTAAACACGAACATGTAATGAAAAAAAAAAAAGAAGTAAATTAAACTCGAGATGACGCGCGGTTTACGCCACACCTGAGCAGTATCAAACAAGCAAGCGCTTTTCAGATCTTTGCTTAAAAAGGCGGTTAGCTATGCCAGCAGATAATGAACAGGGGCTGTGTGCGGTCAACAGAGTAGCTTAGCAGACGATGCTCGCAACAAAAAGAGCTTTGTGCGCACGCGCTTAATCTCTCTCGTGACACAGCGGCCGTCGCGGCTGTGTGCGGTCAACGGAGTAGCTTAGCAACAAAAAGAGCTTTGTGCGCACGCGCTTAATCTCTCTCGCGGCACAGCGCTAGCCGTCGCGGCAATCGACGCTCGCTTGATATTATTAAAAAATTGGGCCACTGTACAGTCGAATCTCATTAATTCAAACTAACATGCAGGCCCCATCCTATGCGCCTCTATGAGAGGAAACTCCAATAGATTTGGAAGCTCGTAGAACCCCTAAGGGTTCTTTCGGGAACCCCTTGGTTCCTAGGAACCCGGTTTGGCAAGCCACGCTCTAAGCCCGGCTAATCGAGTGGCTGTGGTTTCGGTAATTTGCGAGCGTATAACCATAAAAGCTGCCGGTCACTTGTTTGCACGAACCACATCTCTCTCCATACTTCCAGAGGGAACAAACTGTCTCATTTTTTCCAGCACGGGACCTCTGCAGGAGGCTGCAGGAAATGTACCAGCTGCTACAGAGCCGCCTGCAGGAAGCACAAGCAGAAGAGCGCTTGGGGCTGCCGCGTACCGACAGCCTCGATGACTCGTTTCATCTCCTCAACAACGCACTAGAGCGAGCTCTGAATCCGAGCTTGTAGTGCGTGGCTACAAAGACCGGGGACCTTGTCTATGCACTCGTATCTTTGCTTTCGTGCCGAGGGTTTGTGTCCTCAGACCCCCCTCCCACTTGCCCTCTGTAGCACATTTGGATACGTTCCGGGCAGAGCCATCGAATCTAAAAGGGTTCAGCAGTCTTTTCCAAGCAACCATGATGGTTGGAGAGAGATCTAAAGGCGTCATATTTTGGGTTGTGTTTTGTTACTCTAAACATTGCGTACATTGCATCGCTAATTATGGAGCACATAAGAAAATGCGCCAGAGTGCCACGAATACATTGTTTTTGTGTTTCTTGTTTCGCTTTCGACGGTTGGGAGCTGGAATCTTGGTGTGATGTCATGCTCAGGGAATGTAACTATGGCGGCAGCCGCGTGGATTCATAAATTGTGACGTGGTGCGTTTGCAATTCGTCTGTTAGAATGAGAGCAGACGAAACAAAGGCTTTGCCACGACGCAGGTTTTTTTTAAGTCCACTTGACAGCGTCTACGATGCCTCGAGGCTCCTGCTCCTGGCACTCGAAACGGGAACCAAAGTCAGTCAGTCAGGAGAGAAAAAAAAAGTGATAACGAACTATTCACAGCAGCTTGGCAGATTTTATCTTGCATTCCATAATTAGTGTTGATGTACAGATTATTATTTATACTGGCAACAAATGCAACCCAAAAGCTGAATGTGTTTAATTCTTAAATAGGCCTTCGACACCTAAAAATAATGGTTTGCTTTCGTGGAAAGCGCTAGATCATGTTGTCTAGACGCTACCATTACTTTTTTCTTCACAGCCGCATGTTTGCCGAGGAAAACAGTAGCACCAAAACCGAAGAACTGCCAGGAGGAAATGTTACGTCGGAGGCCCCAGAAGTCATTTGGGTTGTTTCGCTTTCCCGACTGCACATTCAAAGTGTTTAAATTATTATGGTTTCGGTGTTGTGGGAGTCATAAAAACGAGTTTTTCATTATGCCCCAAAAAAAGATTATTAGCATTTTTTTTTTCTGGTCTTTATGGGTTTTTTGCACAATTCGAGGCAAGCGTAAACGCTTTGTCAGACACTTTAGTAAGAGTCTATGACCCCGGCGAGCGATACAAATTATGCTTGCGGGCATTGTTTACTATGGTTAAAATTGTGTGTAGTGTAGTAGCCAAGCATAAATTGAAGGCTTGGAATTGGTTAGTTTTGGGGGAAAGGAATACTTGATACGTGGGCAATAAAGGTAGGAGTTGGCATTATATTTCCGACAGTTGTATCTCTATGCAGCCACTGCATGCACATAATGAAGTCGCATAAATGCCTGGCACAATAAAGACTATGTTACGAAAAAAGAAAATGGGGACACTGCACTTTATTTTTGACACTGTGGTTGAACAAAGCTCGAGTGAGATCACTTTGCGATAGTTGTAATAAAAGCATGTGCCAAAGCACTCGTGGCTTGTTGCAACAGCACCACAAATGTTGGATAATGTCCGGCAACGCAACAAATTAAAAGCAACTTTGAAGCAGCTCAAACATTTTCAACACTAGTGCTTGTTTTCACAAACATCTTCAGTGGCCAGTGCTGAAGGGTCAATAAAAGTTGCCAACGAGGAATACTCGACATGCCTGCAAGCGCTCCTTTGTTGTTTGTGAGCCTTAAAACACTTTCAACAACCACAATTGGGAAAAAAAAAAAAGCTGAGCTTGGTGGAGGGACCCTAACCCACATTTTACGCAACTTTCATCACCATTTGTGGCCTTGCTGCACCTTATGCCTGAGTCCCACTAGAGCGACAATCCTCACCAGTCTTTTGCAATTTGACAGGCTTTGTAGAATCAATGGACTAAACGCCTGCCAAAGGTACCATCGCGAGCATGCTGCCTGTGTTGGAGGCTTGTCGCATGTTTCTGTTTGTTGCTCTAGTGGGATTTGGGCATTACACGTCAGCCACGACCTTCAGTGACACTCAAACTGCATTTTACACCCGTTACAGCTTCTGCAGCACTTCACACCACTTAAAAGTCCTGTGTGGTGCTCTACCACCTTACTACACCCAGTGAAAACACCCACGCTACTTCCTCACTGTTCTTAAAAGAACTCCCCTCACTGTGGTTTCACAGACCTTCACACCAGTTACCCCCCCGTCAGGTGTTCAAACCGCCCTTGACACCAGCACTTCATGCCAGTTAGACCCCCCTTTTACACCAGGGAAAAACGCCCATGGTACTCCCTTAATTGTTACTAAAAAAACTTCACTCCTTCGCTACCGTCAAACGTAATCAATTCCGCTTTGCCCTGCTTCTCGAGCGCCTGGAGCGCGAGTCTGAGCACGTCCACGTCAAGTCCCGCGAACTCCGTGTCCGTGGTGTCGTCGCCCTGCACCAGCTCGTAGAAGGTACACACCGAGTTGAGGTGGCCGCTGGCGTCAGCCCATTCGTACACGAGCTTGCCCCACTCCTCCGGAGACCTCCAGAAGACGTAGCAGCGGCTGCGCTGCTTGTCCGCCCAGGCTACGGCGCCTCGTTCGCTCATCGCGTTCAGGATGTCTCGGAGCGCTTCGACGGACAGTTTCCTCGAAATGGTCTTGTTGTGGAAGAGCGGCGAGCTGAGGGCTTCGGTGACGTCCAGCACGTAGGCCCGATGCGCCCGGTGATAGTTGAGGATGAGGCTGCTCCAAGCTTCGAGCTGTTTCTCCTTCGTGGCGAGCGTGGGCTGGAGGGTGAAGAACGGCGGAAAGTTGTACTGCCACGGCCATTCAAACTCCGACATTTTTAGTTTGGTCGGGTTATTGTTCCGAACACCTAGTGGGGCGTAGACAACCAGAACCGTATACAACCCCTGCTCTCAATCCGTACATGTCACACATGTCACTCGAAGAATGAAACTTGGCTTGGCCGTTTTGGAGGCTTGAGCTTAGCGTTGCCGCACGAAAAGCAAAGAGTCCCATATTTAGCAACGTTTATGTTCTGTGCACAAAGTAATTTTTGTCTTTTTATTTTTATTAGTAAAACTATTAGCATAATTTTTCTTTAGACAAAAAAAAAACGTAAAAATTAAAAAAAGCAACAAATATTATATAATTTGAGACAAACCCCCGATTTGTTGAAACTAGGTAACGCAAGTTGCCGCCCAGTTCAATGGTCAAAGCCAAATCTTTATATCCACTAATTTTTATCATTTTGTAATTTTTATGTTGCACTTTTTCTGGTCGCTTCCATTAGTAAGAGTTGGTTCACGCTGCAGCGTTCCTGAATAACAAATTAGCAGCCTAAAACACTGCCACGGCCAGGGAAATTTTCTTGCTCGCAAGTAGCGGCATCAGCAGTTCGACCGAAGTGTCTTGGCCGGGCCGACGGCGACTGACGACGGCGATGTCGTCGGCGGGCGTGCCGCTGACGACGGAAGCGTGAAGTGGCGTGTGGTGTGTGTTCAGCAGGCCGTGGTTCAGGCCGGCCGAAGAACCTCGCTGCATCCCTTGGGACCAACGTTCGTGCTCGAGCCATGAGAATGACAACGTGATGGATCCTGCGGTGAGCTTTTTTTCTTTCTTTTTTGTTGTTTCACGACGTTATTGATCGTGTCGCATGTATATATCCCCGGAGAGTCCCACCGTGAAAGTTGTGGCGGGCGCGCGACGGCGCATCCACGACCACCGGCCAAACACGTCCCTCTTTTTTGATTGAGGATTCAGGGTCGAGTTGCTGTGTGGTACGCAGCGAATCATCGGCTCTCTCTCGCGGCGCAGCTGTGTTAACGCCTCATTAAAAGGCAATGCAGCCCAGTTTAATGGGATACGATGAGCACTTTCGTAGGCAATGTTGTTTGACGTCACTTGCTTGCGATAGAACCTCATACGAGGTTGAAAACATTCATTCATGATGTTTCGCATGCCGTGAATAAGTAAGATACAATTTTTAACTGTTCGGGGAACTCAAACTGTGCTTCGTTAAATTCTAAAGGCTATCGCAAACATGATGTTTGGCCGTGTTTCTCTGTTTTACAGGCGATGTTCAAAGAAAACCGTTCAGTAAGCTCTCCAGCTGGTAAGTGCAACATAGATTTCGGTGCCTGTGCTCTGTTTATTAACGTGCGGTAAAGTAACTTAGATGCTCAATTAAAAAAAAAATAAATAAATAAAAACAGCGCGCGCATTTGTTGGCAGTTCATAGGACAAACATCTCCGCTACACTTTTGGAATAAAAGAAAAGACTTGCAAGGAATTGAACTCGCTGTCTTGCTTATCAGTTAAATGTGCAGTTCATTAGACTCTTCGATACAACGTTTCATCGTTGTATCAAATGACTCATTACGTACGGCTGTATCGAGTTCTGGCGGACAGGCACGGCGGAAGCCGTTATTTACTAGCGCGATGCTTTTCGGGGCCGACTTGGACAGTTCCACAAATAAACCCCCCGGAGTTCGTATATTACTCTGCCGTAGCCGCCGAAAAAGAAAACAAACAGGATTTTGTTTTAGCAGAAGCTGCGCGATCGATCCATCAGGCTGCCCCCATTCGCTTATTGGTATTGATTTCACCACCGCCCTACTCTAAGTCGGAAATAATCAAGTGAGCGACTCTCTCTTTATCTTCTCCCACATTTTATCTCGATAATTTAGGCCGGGGTGCGCACGTTGTCTCTGAGACCTGTACCACCCGCGATGAAATTTGAATGCTAATGTAGGCGACGAGGAACGCGGTTAGCTAGAAGGAAGGGAAAATAAATAAATACAAGCAGGATAGGTCATGGTCTCGGCGCGTCATCACCAAGTCCGCGATCGAAGTTCCTGGTACGAAGACACAAAATTCCCCTTTTTACTTTTTTTGGTCCAAGGCTGTCTGATTGCCCCCGTGCCGCGGAGTAAACCACGGGAACAGCAAAGAACAGTAACCACCTCTCTTTTTTTTTTTTTTTTTTTTCTCGTTTCTTTTTTGTACGTTTGCAGCCTCCTGATCTTCAATTTGAGGCAGTACCAATCTGGCCCCTCCGTGCTCAATCGTGTGCACGGTCCTTCAATTTCCTTTATATTATTATCCTATTCAACGAACCGCGCCAGCAGCTCCTTCGAGCGTTTCGGAGGGAACATGGCGTCTGGCGGGCATGTGGCCCTTTTCAGACCCAGTCGCCGAGTCTGTGTGGGTTCACATTAGTTGGCCGTCTCTCTATTATTGCAGGGATCCCCGGTTAATCTTTCATTATTCATGAAGCTTGTCACAAAAATTCAATCGTTATAGCCGATTATCGTTGTTATCTGAACTAAAAACTAAAAACTCCAAAAACTGAGTGTTATAAGCAGTGCATCGTTATATGTGGTATCGTTATTTGTGGATCGCACTGTATTAGTACTGTTATTGTAGTGTCTCATTATGGCATTATGGTCTTCAGTGTGTGGCGCACGGTGGTGTTGTTGTTTGATTTAGAGGCGCCACCCATCACTCCAACTTCAGCGCCGGGTCGGACTACGGGTTCGTTCGGAGGCGCTATGGCGCGCTCCGGACCGACGAACGCATCAGGGGCCAAAGGTAATTTGCTTGTTTTTTGGCGACCGCCTTTTTATTTTATTTTTTCCACCCCACTTCCCCTAACCCTTCCCTTCAATTCAAGCCATCCCTAAATAGTCCTTCCCTTTATTTTAGAGATATATGCAGTTTATCGCGTGAGTTCAATACGCGGCCTTCAGCTATTCGAAAAGCACTGTGCAAAGACAGAAAATAGAATGAATGAAGGCTGAGGAGGTTAAACGCAACGGGCTTTTTCAGAAAGTCGGCGTACGTCCGCGTCGATTCTGTCCCGAACTCCCTTTTCGAGCTTTCCGCCTTCCAAGGACTGGTTCAAGACGCCGTCGTCACCAGTCGGTGAGTCCTTTGCGCGTGCAAAACGCAGGCGAGCTATAACAGACTTCGTTAGGCCAGCTTCGTTAGTTAGTCGAGCAGGGAGCAAAGCTACGTTCGAAGCTTAACATTCTGCAACGCACGTAAAAAAAAGGACGAATTGCATGGCGAACTTAGTTGTCCGTACCCTACTCGAGCGTGCCGTCCTCGCAGCTGTCTGCTCTCGCTCTTTTGGCGGAGCGCGCATGCGCTCTTTAAACTGGCGCTGCTGCTTCAGCTCCTCGTCTCCTCTTCCATCCCTACATGTTTTCATCATCCCTGTGTTTTTCTCCCCTTTTATGCCTCTCTTCCACTTTCCCTCTTCCGTCCATCCTTTTTCTCTTCTCTCTTTCCTTAGGGGCAGCTGGTAGTCGTAGCAGTAGTAGTCGACCCCGCGTAGCAGACGAACGCTACGCACGCTTTATATACTAAACCGAAACCGAGGACGGCGTCATTTTAGTCTTCCTATCGTGTTCCTTACAAAATATCGTACTCTCGAATTTTTTTTTATTATTTTAATTTTTTTAATTTTATGTTTGTAGCATAACAGCGCGCAATGCACGTAGGAAGTCAAGCTTGCGACAGAAAACGACAGTTATAGGAATAGGCGTGCCAATAAACGTCGGGCGATGCGAACGTGACCGATGCTGCTGCTCTTCTGCGTCGACCAACGCATGTTCCGCGCAGGTAAGCAGCGGAAGAGGAGGAGGCTTGGGGAAAAGGGATAGGGAAGATGCTGGATGGGATGCGGGGGAGAAAGAGGGAGGTTTGGAGGATGGGGGGTCTGACCGCGCGGTGCAGCGACGTCGCGCGTTCGCGCTAGGCCTGCTGAGCGATGAAGCGGGGTTCCAGCGAGAACAAGATCGAGAAGCGGCCGGCGTGCATCAGCAGCCAGTCGTCGCGAGGTGAAGCCGACCTTTGGGATGTGGCCAACGTTGCGTTGAACCGGGCTTTGCGATGCGACCGACGCCCGCGGGCGTCTAATGCCTGACCGTTTTGCGTTTGGGCCCTACGGTTTCCGCTCCTCGCGCAAGTCGACTTCGGGTCATTTTTGGAAATTTCGATGGTCTTTTGGGGAAAGTATTGGATCGTTCTAAAATCGAGGTTAAAAAAGTTTAAAAGAAGAACGCGAGACTGGCGAGCTCTTTCGCGTGTATGTGGGCCCGCTTTGGCTAAAGCTGTGAAGCGGCTAATCACGCTTCAGCTGCATCGTGTTTGTTTGAGCTCTCAGGCTTGTAACTTTTTGTTTTTTTTTCCTAGCTTTAACTGTTTCACTTTGATGGGGGGCTGCTGCTTTGGGATGTGTGAAGCGCCTCTGCTCCGAGGCTTTGAACTGTGAGCTTGCTACTGCATGCAGTAGTGCAAGGGTAATGGTACCTATGCTTGTTTCTGTCTGCAGTGTGTGCGATAGAAATATGGGCTGTGTGGTGTTTGCTGGCTCTGGCTTCTAGGGGTGGCAAGAGGTGGATTTGGTCTCAGCGAGGTGTTCTTTCCTGCTGCAGGTCCCGAGGCCAGTGGTGAGGAGCCGCGACTCTCTGACACACAGAGCACCACCTCGCTGTCACCGAAGGTGAGTTTCTTTTGAAGTTTGAGATATCGGCCGGAAGTGGTTCAGTATGCTTTACTGAAGGCTTTACTCTGCCCTCTCCAGGCATATGAAAAGAAAAAGTATTATAAATGAGTGCATTATTTTATATGAATTCGATTTCAAACTATGTTTAGTTTGAGCCTCTTCCTACCTTCCGTTATACATCTCATATAGTTTTAGTTATCCCATTCCTTCTATTCAACAAGGGCAAAATGGAGCGCAGTTGTCGTAAAGTAGCATTCTTGAGTGGTTGAAAAATTAAAGTACAGAATGCGGAATGCGCTGCTTCGCGGTGATGTTGCACAGATGAACTCTCTACACATTTTGTGTCTTGATGGTGCGAAATACCTGCGCCCGAATTTTCAACATAACCCGACTTTTCTCCGCTCAATCCGGCAAACCCACGAAAGTCGCCTCTATAGCCTGAGTGGTTGAGAAGTGAAAGTGCAGAATGTGGAATACACTGCTTTGCAGTGATGTTGCACATATGATCTCAGTATGCGTTTTGTACCTTGATGGTGCAAACGTCATTCTGGGTAGCATTTCTGAAGGAAAGCCCTGCCAAAGCTAGTGGTTGAATCGGTGTGAAATGCGAAGTTTGTGCCTCTGGCAGTTGTACACAGCACCTTCGACCTTTCACGTCCCCTTGTTTCCTCTGAAGCCAGATGCTTGTTCTCTTCCCTCTAACTTCTTACTCACTTTCCCACCACATGTGTGAACGCGATGACGATTCAAACTTGCTCTTCCCACATGCAGTTTTCACAGTTTGTTCAGCATTGAATTTACGACCGGAGGAACTTCGGTTTGAAACCGAGCACGTTTCCGTGCTGTCTATGTACTGGTGGATTTTCATGTGCAGCTCCTGTGTTGTAGGAGTTAACATGACAGGAATCGCAAGGAATCAGTCGTATGATGCACTCCGTGTTAAAATGCAGAATGTGCACATGAAAGGTGTGCTTCACCGCTTTACACCGGAGTGCTTGGAGAAGCGACTGAGGAGGAGGAACATCACGGTTAGATAAGTGGGCTCCGACTCTTTGGTGGGTGCTTCGCTTGGCTTTTAAACATCTTGAAAGTAGTGGACGAGTGCTTATTGTGACATGGGCGCATGATCAGTATTCCACGGTAGTGCATTTTCACATAGAAAGAGTTTTTTCTTTTCTATTCATGCTTTTTATGATATGAAAAAAAAAGTATGGCAGAGCATCTTGTGGGGCTGTTTAGACGACGGTTCTTATGGCAAAGAAAAATGAGCAAAACCTTGCAAAAGAGTTGTTTTTACAGCTTTTTCACCAGGGGTACCACTACATTATGTATGCTGTAAAATAAACTTTGGAATTTCGTACTGGCGTGACGGGACCTTCTATTCCAGGGGGACATGACAGCGGTGGACTCTTCTCAGCAGTCTGCCAAGCTGGCCAAGAGAGAGTCGTACAAGGTAAGTGTGGCTGTCATGCAAATGCAGCTCTTTTTCGTCAATTACTCACTTATCGAGCCCTTGAGCTCCGAAAACATTTGCAAAGATACGCTAAAGCAGAAACGGTTATTGCCAGCACTCCATCGACCTAGAGATCGGTAACGAAGGCACCCAGAAGCCGGTCTAGTCGGAAAACATTCTTGGGACTCTCCGAAGACGCCATGCGGGGTGTAACCTCCCCCCACACTTGCCGAGGGAATCGGAGCGGGACGTCTCTTTCAGATCACTGCGTTCCAGGCAGCATACTTTTGGATCACTGGCTCCCGGTACACGCTCGCTGCCTCCCGTTGTGCTCAGGCTGCGCATGCACAATCCGCATTCTGTTGGTTACTATGGTGTGGAACATTTCTTGCCCGTGCGGGCGTCACTCTCAGGCCCAGCGCAAGCACTACCGCTGCGAGAAGAAGCGGGTGGCCATGGAACTGTCGAGCACACTCACGGACCCTTCCATCATCGTGCTGGCCGACTGGCTCAAGGTCCGTGGCTCCCTCAAGGGCTGGACCAAGCTGTGGTGTGTCCTCAAGCCGGGCCTACTGCTGCTGTACAAGAGCCCAAAGATTGCCAAGGTAGAGTTGCTTCAGATGGTTTACACTTTTGGTAGCTTCAGTTAAACGAAGACTTGCGATCGATTCAATTGGATCTTGGTCCACCCCCTTTATGTCGGGGGATCTCGGCATGCTGGACGTAAGCAATGTAGTTCAACTGGTTCAGGTTGGCAGTTGGTGAATGTAGCTGAGCGGGCTGCTGTAAAAGCATTTTTCATTATAGCATTTTAGACCAGTGTGCTGTCAGGTTTGTTGTTTGGTTCAAAATGAATGTTGCTAAATAAACTATGTCTTAAATAAAATTAATTTTGAGCAATAATAGCTCAAAAAGCAACAAAAAAAAAAAAGGAAAGTACATAAAAGTTGTAAGGACAATGTCAGCCTAAAGTATTTTTGTATTCTTCATGTTCCCAAAGAGACAGTTAAAATGCTGGGTGCGCACGAACCTGACCCGTGCTGGGTCAGGTTCGTGCGCACCTTCCCGTGCCGGGTCAGGTTCGTGCGCACCGAGCATTTTAACTTGATTGTGAAACACTGCTTGATTATGAAACACTGCTTAGTTCATTTGTGGTGGGAAAGTTGGAAAGCTGTTTGTGTAAGAGCTATCTATACCTAGTGAACGACAGTCGCTGACCACACCCTGTTCTCTTGTGAACCGCAGAGTAGCCAGTGGGTGGGCACAGTGTTGCTGAACGCTTGCGAGCTGATCGAGCGACCCTCAAAGAAAGACGGCTTCTGCTTCAAGATCTTCCATCCACTGGAGCAGTCCATCTGGGCATCCAGGGTCAGTGCCCAAGACATCTGCATTGAGCCTAAAGCAGCATACATTCCCGGTAGTCTGAGCCACTTTATGAACAAAGTCCGCACGTCAGCTTTCCTGAACAGAGTGCAGAGAGGCAGTCATTGGCATTTGCAGAAGGAGGGCAATGATTGACAGGTTACTGATAACATTGGTAACCTGTGACGCAGAGTATGACACTCACATGCTTGGAATTGCAGAATAGCATTCATTTACTGCTGTCCTTCACCGAATGCCGATAATTGGCCTCCAACATGCTCAGTGGCAACAAAGATCAAATGCTCTCAAAAGGGAAGATCTAAAACTTTCTATCTTAAAGACAAGGGACAATTAATTCAAATGGGTTTTCTCAACAAAAGCTTGTTCTTCTCATCCTCATTCAAATAAAGCAATATTTGTGTGAATTTCATATGCACTCAAAGCCTGTGCAACACTGCAACATCACTTACAGTAAAAAGCTTGCACTGTAAGTGGAACAGCAATCGGGTCTTCCTATGCAGAGCGCAAGTTCGTCTGCTTCTTTTGCAGGGTTTGCGGTGACGTCAGAAAGCCGAGCTCTGATTGGCTTTGATTGAAGGATAGTGGGTAGACCTCAATGCAGCTTGCTTTGAGGTCTACCCACTATCCTTCAATCAGAGCTTGATGTTCTGACGTCAACACAACCCCTGTAAAAGAAGCAGACAAACTTGCGCTCCGTATAGCTTTAACACCATTTCAAACTACAGCAACACTAAGCACCTGTTCTTAGGCAGTGTTTTTATATGGGTCGTTAAGCACTGTCATCTCAACGCGCTTTTAGGAGGCAACGTCTTCCATGTGGATTGCTACGTACCACCACCTCGACGCGTCTTTAGACAATGTCGTCACCATTCGTATCGTTGGGTCCGGCACCAGACATCAAATCTCATCTCTTCATTCAGGGTCCACGCAACGAGGCCATTGGGGCATTGGTGCAGCCTCTGCCCGTAAGCCACCTGATCTTCCGGGCCCCCTCCGAGGCGGCGGGGAAGTGCTGGATGGATGCCCTGGAGCTGTCGTTGCGCTGCTCCTCCCTGCTCCTGCGCTCCATGTCATCTGCTCCGAGCGGCGTCTCGCACGCGGCCTCCTTCAGGGAGGGGCGGCCGCGGGAGACGCACGAGGCGGGGGATGCCGAGGTCCCTCTGCTGACGAGCCCCACGGCCATCGCTCCGTCCCAGCAGCGTCAGCTCTGGAACGAGAGCGACCTCGAGAACCACTTCCGCGACCAAGGTACTACGCTGCCGCGTGTGCAGTGGTCGAAATACTAATTCGGTCGATATTATGAGCAACCATTTCTGATAATATGTAGATTTGATATTGCAGGTACCGCAAACCCTTTAGTTTAGTATATGCGGATCGGATGTATTTCAGGGCTAGCAGTGTGCTATTGTATTCTCTTTTCGAAACACTTGTGACACTGTCTATCAAACTCAACCGCAGGTGCGTAAACCAACCTTCAGTGATCTCTTAAAAAAACCATGCAACAACTTTTTTTTAAATTTTAGCCAATTCAGATTAGGCACTTTGCATGCGTGAAGTGGGGAACAGGAATCACTTATTGTTTACAGGCACTAGCTTTTGATAAGAGTAGCCAATTCATGGGACTTCCATTCCTTTTCCTCCTGAAGTCTCGATTTTTTTTTTTCCACTGAACTGGACAGCACCTCTCCTTAACCTAACAAATGAAGAAAGGATAACTCGTTGAGTCGGACGTGTCTTAGGTTGCATACGAGGGAGGTTGTAAGCCTCTGAAGTACCAAAACCAGAAAAATGTATTGCAAATTGCTAGGCAATTGCGTTGGATACATAAAATGTTGTTGCGTCTTAAACGTTTAGCGATACCCTGAGTTTCCAGACGCCTACATTCACGGCGCTCTTCATCAGATAATTTAACGCTTGTCATGTCTATACTTGAGTTGTTCTTAGACAGGCTGGCCGCTTCTTCAGGGCGAGTGATCGGGCTAAGTGACAGAATTTACTATCCGAATTTGTCTACTTGGAGCAGCTGCACCTCGTGGCCGTACCGATATGCAATTGGTGTCACGTAATGTAAATTTTCTGCTAACTTTGCTGAGAAAGCGGAATTGGTGTACAAGTCACGTGAAGTCAGTTTCCCCACTAAATTTAGCGGGGAAACTGAATTGGTGTGTAGGTCACAAAACATCAATTTTCCTGTTAAATTTAGCGGAGAAGTTGATTTAGTCCATAGGTCACGTGATGTCATGTCATGTGGCGTAAATGTGATGTCCTCTGATGTCACAGGCCACGGCTTCACAGAATCCAAAGAAAATAGCCTAAAAAGTAAAAACGTTGCACATTAAAAAAAAAATAATTTAGGCGCTTTTTTGTATACAATTTATATGTACTTCATGCAGAATGCATCAGCGATCGTAGTGCAGAAATTTGTGTAGCATAAGGACGTAACGTCGAGAGGCGTCACAGCGTCAAATTAACTTGTCAAACAATGTCAAATCACTAGTCTTGTGCGAATAGTGGATTTTGAGTTCGAAGCGAATTCTAAGCAAATAGTGGTTTTGTCCGAATATTTTCTAATCGAATATCGAATAGTTTTTCCACGCCTTTCACTGCCAAAACATAATGCTTAGACAAAACCCCAGCGAAACTTGTGAAGGTTCTTCCACCTGTTCAATTATAAGCCAAGTTTAATCTGTCTATATTTATGAACTGTGACCTCAGAAGGTCTGATGTCTTGGGATGGTGAGTAAACAACAAGTTTGTAATAAAATGAATCCAATGGAAATGGCCAAATATACCCGATTTAGTGAATTTACAAATCTTTAATATTCTTTCTTTAATTTCGAGTTAAAAAAGAATGACTCGCGCATGATGAATGCAGTTTGTAAGGGCATCTCTGCCCAACATATACTCTTGCAAAACAGTCAGTTTAATCTTAAAACTTTTACTACAATGTAGATACTGTATACACATTCACAAATTTTTCATTTATTTTCATATACAGCCGGCACGCGTGCACCATCCCGCTTTGAATGTATGGTTTTCGTCCAAGCACGCAACTGCGATATTCATACTTTTCCAAGTGTTTATCAAGGCGGGTTACTCCGTTAAGTGCGCTTCTTACCGAGCACCGATGTAATGTGGAGAAGCAACACCCGCGGAGCTTGCTTCCGCGGGTATTGCTTCTCCGCAGTGCACCGGTGCTCGGTAAGAAGCGCACTCAACGGGGCTAACCCACCGCAATCAACACTTCGAAAAACGCGAATAGTGAAGTTCTTCTCGAAGCAAATATCGAATAGTGTATTATTCGGAACTACTATTTGAAATTTCGAATATTCGCACAACCCTACAAATCACATTGTTGACAATGTGATGTCACGCGACACCAGTGGCGTCATTAAAGGGGGTGGGTACCGCCCCGGGTGCAGCGCACAGAGGGGGGTGCAGTTGGGCAGTGAAAGGGGGGGGGGGGAATGTCATGGCGGGCCACCGCTCCGGGTGCCGCTGACCCTAGTGACGCCACTGCGCAACACCACAACTTTGCACCGTGACATTACGTGATCTGAAGTCATGTGAAACCACAGCCTGATACCATGCCAGTAACCATCCAACACGTTAAATGGTGGTTCACACGCTTGGCATTTGGTGGCAACCGGTTGGCACACAACCAATCGCAAACAAAAGAAAGTGTGTGACTCAACCCTTGCGACTGGTGGTATTCTGTAGCGGAGACGCACGAGGAAACATTCTTGTCGGGACTTCTTTTTCGACAGACCTCGGTGACGACGCACCCACCGACGACCAGAGGGACAACGACGGCACCCAGAGCTTGCGATCGACGGACTCCGACTCTGACGAAGAGGACCCGCAGAGGTTGACAGAGGACAGCGGGGAGGCGGAAGAGGAGGCGGAAGTTCCGGAGACCCCCTACCAGGAGGAGAGCAACGAAGAACTGGGCGTCGTAAGTGGGAGCGTCTCTCGGCGCGATTTGTTGCGTGCGCGTCGCAACCTCTGGACAACTCTTGGACATGACCCCGCTATAAATGGCGTGTTTTGACGCTCCCACGCTTTACCGGCATTGAGTAAAGTTAAGGATTCCGATTACAGCTACTCGTGACCAAGAAGTTGTTGATTAGGTTGCTCGGTTACTAGGTGCCAAAAGCAATTCTGGTACTTTTCCAATTCTTTTAGTGACTTTCGTGTTATATTGATTAGCATTCTTTTCTTGTGAAAAGAATTGGTTGGTATTGATGGTGATGGAAGGGGTGGTCAAGAATGCTTCTCAAGCTGGTGGTTATACTAGTAGCTTAATTTTCTGAAAAGGTATTTAAATTATTTATTTGGTTTGTGCATCTGCTTTCCTGCAATGCGAACGGAGCACCAGTCTGGCTATTTGTGAGATGTCAGAGGATGACAATGTGGGGGTAACCTGTTTGCACAAACATGTACTCAGCACCACGACGTCTAACGTGACGATCCACGTGGTCAGAATGGGAAATTGCAAGATCAAGCATTTTCCCTGTCTCTTCACTTGCATGTCTCATTTCGTATGTCACAAATATTGAGTTTCTGCGCGTAACAGCATATGCACACCTGGTATTTCACTCGTCCGTGCAATAGCAGACGGGAGGACGCTGCGCAAAGTAGTTCTAACAAGATTTGGTTACAGAGGAAGGAGCGATGCTTTTGGCATTCGAAACGTGCACGTCTTGATAAGACAACATATATCTATTCTAAAATGCGCTTACACATATCTTAGCTCTCCGCATAAAGGGGAAAATTAGTAATGCTCCATGAGGAGCCAATCTTTTTCACTACTGTTCTTGAGGTGAAAACAAGTATGGTGTGGGAATTATTTGAGAAAACGTGGAAGGTAAACCAGAACCTGGACAGATGCTATTAACCTTGTTGTCTCCACCATGTTGCTGCACCCAGGCCGGCGACGCGGGCCAGACGGAAGAGGTGGCCGAGGAGAACAAGAGCCTGATCTGGAGCCTGGTGAAGCAAGTGCGGCCCGGCATGGACCTGTCCAAGGTGGTCCTGCCCACCTTCATTCTGGAGCCACGCTCCTTCCTGGACAAGCTCGCCGACTACTACTACCACGCCGACATCCTGTCACGGTGAGCGCCCTTCACTCCCCCGGTGCGTTGTTGTGGAGCAGAGCCTCACCAAGCTTCGTCCGGTGGGGCTCGGTGAAGTTGTCCGACGTCTGGAAGCCTCCAAGTCTGCAGAGGCACCGGTTGTGGGATGCATGCTACGACGGTCCTCGGCCATTCCGTCCAACTTCATAAGGCGTCTGAGCTTTGCTTGTATGGCGTAGTCTAACGGTATCGAGGAAACTGGAAACTTGCGTGTGTATCACATGGTATGATATTGGTTCTTATATAAACATTTTCTTTAATAGCTGTTGAACAAATGTCAAATGCATAAACAAATGTTAGGTGAATGGTGAGTAGGAAAATAGTAAATCCTTTAGAGATGTGTGAACATTCAAAACTTTGAATAATTTGTGAATGGTGTGTGCGATTCAGTTTGATTCGCTGCAACATATCTGTTGCCGTCTTGAGAGTTCACCGATTTCTCGCTTCAAGCTTCACTGCTTAGCACCAGTGCTTGGGTGTCAAGCTTCACAGCTTTGCACCGGTGCACATGGTACAAGCTTCACTGCGTTCCACCGGCGTGCTAGGAGAAACGACCCTTGTGTCAGACCTCTTGGTTGGCTCAATGGTCTCGATTTAATCTTCACACACATCTGAAATTCTTGCTTCTTACATGAAAGCGGGTGCTAGGTGATTTCGGTGTGCACTGCATAAAGTTGCTGTGCATAAGCCATCTGGAGTCCTTTAGTGTGCACAAAATCAATCGGTCCCAAATCACGAGATTAAATAGAAATTAAAGACGGACCATCATCAGTAATATCGGCAACAGCATTGCCAGTGGGTGGGTTAAGTCCGTGGACCGAAGCGCGAGAGTTTAGCGTTCCATTCACTAAATGGACAGAGCACTGCCGGAGGCTGGCACTCGAGCGCACTCTGTGCACCAAGTATTTCTCGCAGCGCGAGTGACTTCTTCATGCTCCAGGACGTCACGTCCACAAACAAGATGTCTGCTTTGACAGAAATGTTGTCGAGATGAAGGACGTAGTCGGACCACCGACCCTTTTCAATTCAATACAGTCAAACCCACTTATAACGATCCGACATTTTATCGGTTATAATGACCAGCTTTCAGAAAATATACGAATTCAAGGCCCTACCCATTGAAATCAGTCCAGATAAAACGACCGTTTTTCAAAGCATCATACTGTTACAACGAACACTAAAAAAAAATCTGCTTTCGGAAGAAAAAAAACTCCCGCGCAGCAAAAGAAAGAAAAACAAAATCAGAAAGGGCTGCATTCCGGGCGCGGTGCTACGGGAGAGGCTCAAGGTTTTCAAGGTCATTTCCACGGCCGCGCGGCGTACTTCCCCAGGGAGGAAACAAAACTACAAAAGCAAAAATGCCCTCTTGGGTGCATGGGTTGCATAGTCCGTTGACTATGCGCGGGAAGGAGAAGAGGAAAAGAAGGAGGAAGTCAACTCTCATGCCGTGCTGCATTCGTTCGTTCTATGCAAGCTCTATAGACCTTTTCATTTTAGTGGTTGCCTCACCGGCGGATAGAGGGCGCTGACGCTCCCGGCGCCATTGGGTTGCTTCAATTTGGTTGGTTTCAGTTTCAACGTGAACGTGGCTATGTTGCTGTTTTACGTTGTTTCTGCTTAATTTTGTGATACGATTATTTTGCTTGTGGCGCACAACCAATGAAACAGTGGTATTGAGCCACTTTTAGGATTACGAGGTGTATTTTAGCCTAAATTGCGGGCTTTTTTTACCTACTCCCTTATGTATCCGATTATGGTCGGTTGCGTAATGCCTTACTGATGTACAGTGAAGATTACCGTCGTCTATAGCCGTACCCGGTGACACCATTTTCCAGAAAAACAAACTAATGAAGAGACTAACACGTGAATGTAAAGAAGCATATCGACAGCTTAATTAGCAATATCTATGAGAAACAGCTTGAACGCTAAACACTTGCACAGAGACAGGACAGGACATACAGAGAGCTGAACTATCAACTATTTAATACTTCGTCTTCCTCCACCTCCTCTTCTTCTTAGTCCCTTCGAGCATTCCACGATTGCGAGATATGAACTTCTTAGAATTTTTCAAACAGAACAAAGCATGGTGAGAAGTGCATATAAAAATAAATGGTAGACGAAAAAAAAAAATGTCTAAAAAGTGCATCTTATCTCGCAGTTGTGGTATGCTCGAAGGGACTAAGAAGAAGAGGAGGTGGAGGAGGAAGTATTAAATAGTTGATAGTTCAGCTCCTGTCTGTGTGCAAATGTTTACCGTTGAAGCTGTTTCTCATAGAAGTGTACTAACTAGCTCAACTCAAACCAGTGATTAGCATTGTGCTGAATCGTACAGAACAGATGAACTTGCGAGTTTACTACTCACTATTTGGTTTTCGTGGGCACCCAACCTTTAGTGAACTTCGCAGACTAAAAACGTATCGTGTAATGACGCAGATAATTGATATAAACACGAAGTATCGCCTTGGCCTCTTTTCTTTTTTTATTCGGTACTCGAGCATGTTTTGACAGGCCGAGTCGGAAATTTCTTAGATTATCAACCCTGCTAAAGTACTCATAAGCAGCATTTCACGCTATTGGCTCTAGGAAAGAAATTATTTTTATATGAACATTTGCTTACTCAATATATGATACCCTATAAGTGACTGGCCCGTCAAAGTAAATCTGGCATTTGTCTACCGTAAGATTGGCCAAGTATAATTAAAGGGCGCAGAAGGAGAAATAGCTCGGAAAGTTTGGCTGAATTCTAGCGCTAGGCACCACTTCACGGACCTGTGAGAACAAATATTTATTTGTTTGAACAGATTTGCTTTGCAAATTTCGGCGTCGCCAGCCACCAAAGGTAAACCTTTATTCGCCATCGACAATCCTGGACACAAATAATTGTTATGCAGACGGCCTTTTTTTTCTTTTTGCGTCAAATGTTTTGGATTTTAGATACTGGCAAATTTAAAACAACGTAGTATGCAAAAAAAAAAAAAAGAAAAGAAGCGTCGTCCCTGTTGCGCATGCGCCAAACCCAAACAGCGTTATGGATTTGCAGATAGAAATTACGTTATTTCTTTGTGCATGCTATTTTTAAACTCGCTACTGTTAAGTTGTCTGTGGCAGTTTCTTATGCGGGAAGTCCCAACCTTCATGTTAAAATAAATTAAGTGGATGGCATTGGTTATCTAAATATGATCAATAAATCACTTAAATGACTGTCGAAATGGGAGCGAGCACGGTATACGATTTCTTAAACTTCATAAGTAAACCGACCAACTAAATGTTTACTTCTCAAAAAAAAAAAAAAAAAAAAGATTGAGAACCTTGTACGCATGTAGGTGTGATATTATGAACAAACAAATCGCCTGATGTTGAAGTACCATTACTTATAGCCTCAGATAAAATACAAGTTAAACGTTCGTTGCCTATCTCCTCCGTGAGTTTCCTCACATAATCAATAGAAACTGTTTTCAATGTATTATGAATACAAAGAACGATACTTTCAGGAAATACGGACTGTTTCCTTCCGCTCACTATTCTTGACGCCTTCAGATCCTAAATGCGCTGTATGAATATACGCGCTTCTTACTGAGAATGTTCCGCCAATATTAATGAACAAACCTCAGTTGTCATAAGGACCCTTGAACCCTCGTGATGTTTTCGTCAACGAGTAAATGTATCAGACAAGTTTCCGAAGTAAGGCAAGAAAGCGCGGTGAAACGCGGCGAAAAACACGAATACAACGCATCCGTCAAGGCGCGAAGGGGAGAGCGGAGCAGCAAGTTGAAGCAACCTAATGGCTGCCGCGTCATGTGATTCCAAGATGGCAGCGCCCATATTTGGAAGGATGAAATGGTCTATATTCAACTCAAGAAAAACTCAATGCTCGGTATAAGGGGGCTAGCCCCATCATCATTGTGACCATTTGTTTAAGTTCGCCATTTTGGTATCCGTACACATTCTCTCGCATCTATGGACTCGTGTCTGTCATTTTAAGATGGGAAAAAAAAAAAAATCCACTAGGAGGCTTTATTTAAACGAAGGAGCATCACGCCGACGGGAAAAGATAAAACGCAGCAGCACTGCGTGGCCTCGCAATCTCAGCCACCCGACAGGCTCGCAAAGTGTTGTTTGAAAGACGACCCTGCCATAGGCGACGGCCGCACACTCGTACATGCGCAGGAAGCGCGGCACTTAAAACGCTTTAGACCAAAGCAAGTATTAATTACCTCTCTGGACGGCAAAGAGCCATCGTCGGATTAGTGCACGGCATTTATTTTTGTGTTGGCGTGTATTTCATAAAATCTGTTCTATGAGGTATGTGGTTAGTCTTCATTATTTCACTTGCGCGGTCGAATCGACAGCAATTTTTCTTTTTGATTATGTGAAAGCTACTTAAATCTGCCTGCGCGTTAGAATTGGGGGCACGTTAGAATCCTCCAAACAGTTTCTTTAAATAAAGAGCTGGCAGAGTGAAACTACCAATACCAGCTTCATTAGCCTTATTTATAACATGTTTTAAAGTAAGTGCAGATATAACAAACTACTGATTTTCGTGTAAGTATCACGTTCGTTATAAGTGGGTTTGACTGCAGTGCTTAACCCAGCAGATCCTGCAGTGCTTAACCAAGATAGCAGTTAGCGTTCCGGTAAAGGTTTGTTCTTGCATCTCGCTTCAAAACGAATCCATCTATCAAACGGTAGCGGGCCGATAGCTCAGCGACAGAAAAGTTGTCGAGATGAGAAAACAGTCGGACCGCTGCCCTTTTTAGGATGCTTAGTCCAGGGAATAAAGATACAGTCAAACCCGGATAGTATGACTTATCAATAATTTGATATACAAAAGTATGTCAAATTAAGCTCGAGATGTAATTTCCTGCGTCTCTGCTAATACCGAAGGTCGCGACAAACGGGAGCTTACCAAATAGAGCATCCAAGAGATGTAAATACAGTAGAGCCGAGTGGCAGAGACCCCAAACACCGCCGCACTTACGCGAGCGCTTGGCGAAACCTCCACATAGCACAAGCAACAGAAAACACAAAAATATTAAAAAAAAATAAATAAATAAAACTCAAAAGTGAGATGCATAAAAAAAAACTCTTGATGCATATAAAAAAATATTTCAGAAGGCAACAAAAAAAAAAACAACCTCACTAGATAAAAAAAAAACAAAAAAAATGCAAAAAAAGCAAAAAAAAAAAAAACGGGCAAAACAATAAGGACAAAAGGTAAACAAAGATGAGGTATTCAACGTGCGATTGCACAACCGTTGTTGTCGACTTGATAAAGACCTTTTTTTTTTTTTTTGCTTTTTTTTTTGGGGGGGGGGGTTAAGGAATTGCGCAGCGATAGCAATAGCAGTGTATTGGGGAAAGATTGCACACCATTTCAACAGCAGGCACTCCCTGCCCTCCCTATGTGCGCTGCACCTGCCCTTCCTCTTGCTTTTGCCATCCTCCACTTTTTTTCTTTTTTTTACGGTTGCCCTTTTCTTTCTTACAACTGCACTTTCGCTGCGTATCCCCTTGCCCGTATGCTGGCTTGGCGATCTGCCAGCCCCACAACTCGAGCTATGTGCTTGCTATGTGCTTGCCGCTATGCAATCCGACCCCGCTGGAGAAGCAAGGGGCAGCCCTGCTTTGTTTGGTGTACCGAGTGTCTCTGCCATGGGAGTTTGATACAGAAAAACAAGGCTCCCATACTATTACATGTGATTTTCAAGGGGATGTTTGGACTGTTAGATATAAACAATACAGTGTAGACCGCATATAACGTATGTCGCGGGAGTCGCGAAAATCCGCACTATAAGCGGTACCGCGCTATAACCAAAACATCAATTTTTCAGGCCAAATACATGCCATGAGACAACTTGCACTTGTAAAAGAATTTATTTTATGTTAGATGAAAAATAAAGTTTAGTTTGAGGAAAGTCTTTATTACACCAGACTAGTACACTTCTCTCTCAAGTGTGTCACACATCTTGAAAGAAATGAGCGACTTTTGCCTGGCGCAGCCTTTTAACGGCGTCACGGGTTGCGGACGGACGTTGCGAGCGTTCAGGATTGCTAACCCTAATCACTTTTCTCCGGAGACGAAAACACGTAAAAATTCGCATCCTTCATAAGGTACGCGCCAGTAATACCTTGAACTTGAGCACACGCATGAAATGCGCCAAATAAGAAGCCCGGGCGATGTTCGAGGACACAAATGCTTAGAAATCACCACTGTAGTCGAAGTAAGCAAACACGACGACACGGTTGTTTCTGCCGTCTTGAGAGCGCCGCCACGACATTGCCGCACGAGTAGGTGGATCTTCCCTTCTAGTACGTGCTGGATTATCATAGCGACACACAATGAAAATTCACAGTCAAGGATAGCGCTTTTACGCGGAACGATGAGATGAACGGACGGCGATCACAACCGACGCCGTGTTTGCGGATAGAAGCAGCCGGCCCGCGACCGGAGGAGGAGGAGAAGCGTTGTAATAGAGGTTGGGGGGGGGGGGGGAAGGAGAGAGCCAATGGTGTGTATGCACTGGGCGCCCGCGACCGGCATGCAACGCGTGCGAACACTTCTCCTCGACCTGCGATTGGTCTGTCGCTGCGTTTGTTTGTTTCCAACGCAGCGGAGGGACGCACGCACGTGAACGACACGTGCGTGCGTCCCTCCGTCGCTATGGCAACTGAAGCCTTTCGCATCTTCCCGCTTCTTCGAGCAACTCGGCTCTGGCGCAACTGCCACACGAGTGCCGCTTGCTGCTCGCGCCGTCAGCGCCGTTATCTAGTGTCGCACAGGGAAGCGCGCTCGCTGCTCCGGTCGTCGGCGCGGCCGGCGGGCTGTGCCAGAAACAGCACTATAACCGGTATTTCCCTTCGCGCGCCTGCGTTTTAAGCGGTATGTAATTACATGGAGTTCTATGGGAGACGAACCGGTGGTTTAATGGTTTAAAAAAACCGCGTTATACCCGGTCCCGCACTCTAAGCGGTTACGTTGTAAGTGGTCTATACTGTAGTTTGAAATACCCCGGTCTGATATAACCGGGCTCAACTGTATTGCACATCTAAGGGTTCTGTCTCGCCCTGCAAGAGGGAACCACGGAACATCTGACAAGTTTGACAGTTTCCTGCCTCGAAAAGCAAGGTCAAGAATGTTGTCGTTCATTTTAATCTGAACAACATGTGTGATCAACAAATAGATCAATCAAGGTACCTTTTTGCGTATGTGCTTGAGGTGAGTCTTCAAATCTTTCAGGATTATTAAAACGTTCGCAGAAACTTCACACAACGTCGCCGTGTCTTTTACTTTAAACTTTCCCACTCTACACAGGCCTTAATTAATTTATCTTCGAAATGATTCTTGGCTTCTGCCCTGAATCCACGAGATGCCGGGCTTGTCATAACCGTGTGGTCGAAGGGAGCTCATGGATAGTTTCGGTGTGTTGCGCTCCTGTACGTCATGCACCATTTAGTTGCTGCGCTCGGAGTATGAAACTCTGAGTGTCGGAGTAGGAGTGAAGGACCATGGACTTAACGTGCCCAGTGTCGTTGTTGATGGACAAAGAGGGACTGCAATTATAGTTTCCCACTTTTTTCGGTAGCACATACAAAATGGTTGAGGCAAGTGGGGATGACACAGTTCCATGTTCTTCGCTGTCTAGCATTGGTATTAGCTCTCAGACTCAAAAGATGAGCCATCACTTCGTTGACGGAGGAATCAATATTGCTCATTTTCCTCGGCACAGGGCGGTACAGGAAGACGACCCCCTGACACGCATGAAGCTGGTAGTTCAGTGGTACCTCTCGGGGTTCTACAAGAAGCCCAAGGGACTAAAGAAGCCTTACAACCCAATCCTTGGTGAAGTCTTTCGCTGCTGCTGGAAGCATCCAGAAACGGGCAGTCGCACCTTCTACCTCGCCGAACAGGTGAGCCTTTGACAGTCGCACGATCACTTTCACACTTTTTTTCCATTGTTCAGTGGCTATTGTATTTACTCAAGACTTTTACGGACATGCACTTTCCTGCGGAGTTTACAGAGATCCTATCGTTGCTGCTTATGGAAGGATACCAGTGAATGACTAAAAGGTCATCTATGCAGGCAGTTTGAGCGAGTGAATGTCATATGCAGCATTCTGGGTGACATGCAAGAGTCCCTGAAGTTTTCCTCTAAAAAAGTACAATTATGGTGAGATCTGATAAATTCTCAAGTTGGGCCAATAATAATAGTTTAATGATATTAGTAACTGCTGTTATTGTAGCAGAATTACTATAGTAATTATCATTAATGCTGTTTCACTCATAAACTCTCATTGTGTATCGACAGTCGTACAGTGTAGAAACCCTCCCCTCAAAAATGGGAGCCCTGTTCCCCTCGACTGATGCAGCCATTTTCATGACCTCCAGCCTGCAGCTGCACTCTTTTGATGTACAGATCCATTTCGCTAGCAACACTGCAAGTCCTCATAATATAATGAAACGCCTAATTTTAAAGTGCAGCAGTTCAGATACGCCGGATACTTACTCATGCTCATAAAGTTGCTATAAAAAAGTGGGCAGCAACCTTTATCTCCGAAGCCCTATGATGTGTGAAATGCAGTATTCAGTAGTGACTGTTTCAATTGTTTGGAAGACATTAAAAAGTTGTTACGGGAGTGAAGAACCCATATTTTTTATCGCTTTTGGGGAAACTGAATTGGTGTGGTACATAACCAGGAAGAGGAAAGGAGGAAGGAAGCCAATGGGGGAGGGGAAGAGGGACTAGTGAAGGACTGTGAGGACACAGATTAAGAGAGGGAAGGGAGGAGAGAGATGTGGAAAACAGAATTGTTGTCGCAACCGAAAAAGGGAGGAGGGTGGGAGGGCATTGTAGGAGAGAGGGAGGGGGAGATATGTGGGAAGGAAAGGTCGAGAAAAGGGAGGGATGGCGAGGACACCCTAGGATGGGGAGAGAAAGGAAGAGGGAAGGGAGGAGAGGGAGGGGAGTGGTAAATTGGTGTCACGTGACGTACAATTCCCCCGCTAAAGTTAGTGGGGAGACTGGTGTTGAGGTTACGTTGTGTGGATTTCCCCGCTAAATTTAGGAGCGAAACTGAATTGGTGTTTAGATGAGTAAATTTTTGCCACTAAATTTAGTGGGGAAGCTGAATTGCCGTATAGGTCACGCAAGGTAAATTTCTCTACTTTGTGTGACGTTGGTCATGTGATGTTAGGTCACACGACATCAATTTCCTAACTCAGTTTAGCAGAAAATGCATGGACGGACAAAATTTCAGAACTGGGGGTTCTATTAAAAAGCATTTTATGCTTTAAAGAAGGAAGTTACTAGCTTCCAGCCTACGCACCTCCATGGTGAAGGGATGAAGCTGCTCGGGGGCTATTTGGAGCCGTAATGGGCCGAATAACTGATGTTGCTGAGAGGAGGTTCCTGATTGGCCCAGGTGTCCCACCACCCTCCAATCTCTGCCTTCTACGTGAGCAACAGGCCCGATGGGTTTTGCATCAGCGGGACCATCTTGGCCAAGTCAAAGTTTTACGGTAGGTTTGTTCTCTTTGCCTCGTGCTGCGTCAATAAGGGGTCCTTATTTTTTAACGGGAAGCACTAGTATATGGTGTCGGGACACCCCCCAAGTAATTTTACGCTGCACGGTTGCTGAGAAAAACGAACTGAAGTCGGACTGAAGCTAAGAAACTAGTACCGAGAAATAGGACATCAGGGTCTCTGGAAGTTTCTCGGGGTGTGTAATTCACTCTGATTATATGCTCAAGGTTTCTTTTAAATGAACTTGTTTTCCGTGCTTTCACGATCGTAAAAGTTGTACTTTGTGGATTCTGGTATGTTCAGAAATGTGTGTGCGTCCCAAAGAGCTGATTACCTTTCAGATATTTCAAGTTCTTTCTTCATTGCACGTGGCTGAGAAAAAGTGAATGGGGGAAGCCGTAGGTGTCCTATTTTTAGCTGACTACTTCTCTGTGAGAAAACAACAAACCAAAATTAAGCCCTGAAAAATGTTTTTTTTTTAAACTAATTTTAGTTACATTGTTTTCATAAGAGATGCATAAATGTCTTCTCAGAGGCCCCATAACCGTTTTTAGTTTTGAGAAATTTCTGACCCTCAACTGCTTAATTCTTGGCTTCAAAATGACATGTCTTGCCTTCAAAATCAAGTTTCTAGCCACAAACAAAATTTGAGAAATTAAAAAAAAAATTCAGTGCTGCCATTTGTTGGCAGAGCCTTCAACTAAGCCATGAGCGAGCCTGGTTCGTCCAAAACGTTTGAGTGCGTGAACCGGCGAAAACAGACCAGCTATACTTGTCCTGGACGGTTTGGGAACAGCTCCATGTTGACGAGCTAGGCTCGTCCAAAATCGTTGAGGAGTTAATACTCAGCAAGCTTCCGGAACGAGCGAGATAGAAGTAGAGACAATATGACACAACTTAGAAGCAGTCTATGTAGGCCATTGTTACGTCTCTGATTTCGGTCCTTGGTCCGGCATGTCACTAACTGTAACCACGGGTCCCCTCCCAGGCAATTCGCTGTCGGCCATCCTGGAAGGGACAGCGCGGCTGTGCTTGCTCACGCGTGGCGAGACGTACAGCATCACGATGCCATACGCCCACTGCAAGGGCATCCTCATGGGCACCCTCACCATGGAGCTGGGCGGAAAGGTCAACCTGGTCTGCGAGAAGACTGGATACCGCACCGAGCTCGAGTTCAAGCTCAAGGTGGGGGATGCGGGACCGACAGACCGCGGGCTCAGCGAAATCTCGAGTCGTGGACGGCGATTTTTCGGTGGACAACTTTTGGATGTGCAAGTTGTGATCTCTAGGATCGAGTGGGAATCAAAAGGTCTTGCCATTCTAGTTAGCCTTAATAAGTTGCTTTCTAATACAGCTGTAAACGACTTTATATTTCTGCAGAGTATGTTTCGTGCATTTTACGAAGTGTAGGTTTTTGGAGTATCTTAAGGACACAGTTTCACAATTTAGACAAATATTTTATGTATTTGTTATAATCAGGTGATATATTTGTGTAATAAATTTTTTGCGATATATTTTGGATTCCGAAATTTGCAAAAATTAATTTGTTTACAGTACTGAATTAGTCGTGTCTAGAAATTGTGCTTACATATTGGTATTATGGTTTATAATAATTTATTAAGCAAATGAAACCTAAGTTTCATTTGCTTAGTGACATTTCGCATGTAAAAAAAAAGTTCCAAGAAAAATATAGCGAATTACACAAACAAAATTGCAAAAGTTATTGTGGAACAAGTAACGCCGGGGTTTTAACAGAAACACGAGACGTCCTCTATGCCCACTTCGGAATCTTGTCAACTACAGCAAGAATAACGGTTGCAGCGGCGCTGCGCAGCCGATGTCTCGTTGCTGCGATTCCTTAACGACGGAGTTCTCAAACTTTTTTTTATCTTGAGGAGCCCCTATCTCTCTCGCTTGACAGGCGAGGAACTCGACCAGGCGCTGGTGCCGACGCAATAAAGCATTGTGGAAGCCCACAGACCTTGTAAAGAGTAACGTGCACAGTAGGAAGAGTTTGGTTCATTGTTACGCATCAATGAGTGGCTTAGGTCTGCTAAAGTATCGATCAAACTGAAAAGCACCCAGCTTGGAGGCAGGTGCGGCCGAGGACATTTGAGAACTTTGGGAACGCACCAAGGTACTCTGGGGAACAGCCCCTCAAGAGTTCCTAGGAGCAGAGTGCGAGAACCCATGGAGCCTCGACGAGCGCCGGCTGATACGTGTGGCCTCGTATGCAGCCTTTCCTGGGCGGTGCCGAGCTGTGCAACCTGGTGACGGGAAAGGTGAAGCTGGGCAAGGAGACGCTCTTCCTCATCCAGGGACACTGGGACGGGCAGATCACCCTCCGAGACAAGAGGACCGAGGTACGACTGGCCGGGCAAGCTTGCTCTCTTCGCCGCCTCGGAGCGCTACCTGCGGGCTCCCCGAACTCCAAAATACTTTTCGCGCGTCGATGTTCAACCACGATCAAAGTGCTTCCAGCCTTCTTCTCTATACTTTAGAGAAGAAGCTGGCAATGTGCTGGTTGGCTTCTTGTATGTTAAAGCCGACAGTGTGCTGGTTAGGCAGACCGTACGTCCGTCTTTTGCCACATGATCACGCTTTCGTCCAAACCCTCGCGCAGAGAGCGGGAGTGTCGGGTGACAAAAGGGAGGCGGTTAAGTGTTCCGGCAAGCGCCTAGCTTCTTCCGCGCCGTTGATTTGGGAGCAGACGGAGCACACAGTAGACCCTTATAAACTCGGAAGTCATGAAAACTAGAAAAAAGAATTCTAGATAAGTGGAGTTTTGAGATAAGCAAGGTAATTTTCATTGCACCAATCCCGCATTGTGCGAATGGAACCCTTCCAACAATTGTGCCAATTGACTTAACACCCATACAGTGTGCAGCAGTGTGCGGCACTGTGGGGAGAACAAAACGACAGCAGCAAAATGACCAAGATGAAACAACAAATACCGTATTTGTGGAGGTTCTTGGAGATTGCGGCATTGGAGGACCTGACATGTACTTGAGGTCATTGGGCACACTGTGGTTTCCCCAATGATCTATGGAAAATCTGTCGCTGGGTGTAAAGTGTGTACTGTTGTTAATCAACAAAGTTGCTGACCTTCAGAACTGTGTTTGCTATTTGAATGCAAAGGAGGCTAGGTGGATACAAGTTGCTGAGGAACCAAAAATTTAAGAATCCTTGACCTAGGGCCACGAAAGCCATTAAAACAGAGAGAGGCTCGTTCTGCTGTGCAATTTCTGCGCTTCTCACGAGGAGTCTGCATTTTAGGCTGTGCATGTCAAGTTGGAATGTTGCCACCGTATTGTCCAACAAAGGCAAATATTTCAACTCTCAACCATAATTTGTATTTTAGGAGGAGCAAGTCTTGTGGAACCCAAGTCACGAAGTTCGAGCCAAGCGTTTGAAACGCTCCACTGTTCCCCTCGATTTGCAGCAGGACTTTGAGTCTGAGAGGTGAGTTTTTGGGGAGTGTACAGAATCCAGTGATTTATACCCCCCCCCCCCTAACGCCCTCCTCCACACCCCCAGGATCCTACAAAAAGTATGCAAAATGGTATTTGCTTCAAGATGAACTGCGATATTCGTATCTTTCGAAGGGTTGATTGCGGCAGGTTAGCCCCATTCAATGTGCTTCCTACCGTGCACCAGTGCACAGCAGGAAAGCAACACCTGCGAAGCTCGTTTCTTCAGGTGCCGCTTCTCTGCAGTGCGCTGGTGCTCGGTAAGAAGTGCACTCAACGGGGCTAAAGGCCCGTTCACACTCTTGCAACCGAGTACGACCGAGAGAGACGATATCTGTTAAAACTTCTTAAAATTTCTTAGAACGAGAGAACACAATGGTACGCTGGCGCCATCTATGCGGTGACCCTGGAACTGCATTTCACAAGAGCGAAGGTTTTGCGGGATTTCCGAGGTCAAATGTGCGTAATACCTATGAGAAAGGCTCGTTAATAACGTTGACAAAAGTTTTTCGAGCCAAGAAAGAAAGGATAATGCGCGAGAGAAATAGAAATAATGCCGGTCCGCCAAGTTTACACTGCTACCCAATAGATGGCACCACTGTCGTAAGAGGTTTTAAGGAACCCAGTTTTAAGAGGTCGCAAGAGTGTGAACGGGCCTTAACCCGCCGTGATCAATAGCTAAATAAGTACAAATATTGCAGCCGTGTGCTTAGGAAGAAAGCTCATTTCCCAAGTGGAAAAGGTAACAAACTTCATGAGTGTTGATATCTATGTTGCCGAAACTTCATGAGTGTTGGTACCTATTCTGGCATAATAGGTTGATTTGGAAAATTGTTATATATTTACATCCACCAACATCTAGAAAGTATTCCCAGAAAGTTTCATTTGTTTACACTGCATAGTTAATTATTTTTTTATAAACTATTTTCAGAGCACTGACACTGAAGAAAATGTAGATGTTTGAGCACTTCGCGTTTTTATCCATTTCACTTTTTTGGCATAAATTTTACTTTAGGAAATCTATTGTCTGGTAAAGGGACGAAAGGAAAGACTCACTCTGTTTTTCCTAACTGGAATTTATTGGGCAATACAACTGTGACATTGTTTGTTTTTTTTTTACTTTGTGGATATCTTTTATAAAAGATGTAAAGATTTTGCTGACAACATAAAAGGCAAAAAACTAATTTGATTCCTCACTGCGATGTTAGCATAAAATGAATTACTTTTTGGAAATTTTGTTTTCACAGTTGCACTCTCCAGGACTTCTGCTACGTATCTAGTGAAAAAAAATGTGTGCTGTTACATTAGTTTTCTAACAATAGTTTCCGAAACAAACTGAGCGTGTTCCTGATAAAAACAACTCGAATTTATATTACAATTCATGTATGCAAATGAAACATTGCATTGCATTCTGCCTCGCAAATGCCAGTACACACTGTAAACTTCATTCATATTGAGCCAAAGGTTCCACGGTGGCCCTTCCGGGCAGTGTCCTCCCTTAAGCAGAGGTGCCCTGACAACCTGTGTTAATCATACATGATTAAAGGAAAGATATTTGCATATAGCAAGAATATTCATAAATCCCCTTGATTAGGTATAGCTGGGCATCTCTATAGTTCTAATTTTATGTCAAATGTTTTGTTCACTGGCCACTTTAATGTAGGCATTGGACTTTTTGGAAGCCACAGTCAATAATTATAGTTAGATTAAAATTAACTTATTTCAGAAATGAACAAGTAGAAGCTGACAGCGAACTTCACAAATTCAGCTGGGCTTTCGTTTAACTCTTAAGCATGTTACAGTTGTGAAAGGCTTAGAGAAACAATTGAACATTCGATTCGAAAATATTCGGCCAAAACCACTATTTGCTTCGGACTGAAAATCCACTATTTGCACGCGCCTAATCTCTTCACTGATGGCAGCACCATCAAAGTCGGTACGATCTGAACAACAATTTCTAGGAAATTTTTGGGGAGTCTTATCTTTGGAGTCAAAGTGCCGCAGAGGATGCAACGCGGTGCGCATGTTTCACGCAGGCTGTGGCAGCACGTGTCGGCAGCCATTGTGCGTGGGGACCAAGTGGCGGCGACGGAGGAGAAGACGCTCCTGGAGGAGGCCCAGCGGAGGGGTGCCAAGGAGCGCCAGGCCCGCATGGAGAAGTGGGCGCCCCGCTTCTTCCTCCAGGACATGCTCACGGGCGACTTCCTCTACAAGCACGCAGAGTGAGTCTTTCAATTTCCTTTAGACACTTCTCTTCGAAGCAAAAAATAAAACAAAAAGACAGTCGTGTTTTTGAAGATTGTCAGGCACTTGTTGTCCCGAAGTACTTTTGTGAAATCTCTTATCTTGAAATATTGTTGTAAAGAACTGTAAAGTGCGTCCGTGTATTTTTTGTTATTATTTCAGAATGAGCTATTTACATGCTGCTATTTTACAGAAGCTGTATCTCCACTTTCACATATCCAAGCTTCATATTTTTTTTTCTTTCTCTGGTAGGTGTATATGCGAGGTATGCAATAAGTATGTTAAATATGCCACCTTTTTTTTAGATGCCTTTAAGCTTTCTGCAATGAAAAAGCTTGAAGCTTAAAATTCAGAAGTGCATAAAAAGATGTATAAATCATCCTAGAGCTTTTATTTAGACCTCATTGGATTCCAGATACCTTTCAATTAACTGAGATACATTTATTTTCTGATTTCGGTATTCCGATTCGTCTTAATCCATCCCATAATCTTAGCTAACGAAACTTTTCATATTAACAAAACTAATAAGGCTACATAAAAACTAAGTATAGTAAAACGCTGAGGAAGAACCCACTTCGTTCAAGCGCCCACTATTAACATTTCCTAAACTTGGAAATTTTGCAAATTATATGTTAAGCACCTGATTGGACCGAACAAGTTCCCATTTCTAGATTAACCCAGTTTTCAGGGAAAGTGAATTGGGCGCTCCCCCGGTATTTTACGGCATGTATATGTATTTATAGTCACATTGTAAAGGCAGATAAGCTATGTTGATTTCATTTGAATTGAATCGCAAGTTATAAACAAAAGTTCTAGAAGCAATGTGGCTTCTTAATTTTATCTATTGATTTGGCTCGGGAGAGTCGGTTGAAGAGCAAATAGTTCGAAAACTCGTACCAGAAGATCTGATGTCGTTTGGAGCCGCCGCTGCTCGTGTGCCAAGTTCCTGCCGCGTGTTATTCGGAGCAGTGCTTGCTTGATCTACGTTTTGAACAGGATTTGATTCCTTGCTTCACGGAACAAACTGCGGCGCAAAAGAGGAAGCGGCACACTTTGGGGATGAGGTAGTTCGAGCTGTAGTCGTTGTGAGAACCGCCGTCAGAAAAGATTGGGAGAAGTTAGCAGGTGAGCGAGAGTAACCGAATGCTCGACTAAGCTGGTGAAGGTCTGTTCTTTAACGCGCGGTGTAGCGCTACCCAATGCCCAATTATGGTGCTGCCGCCAGACTGCATTCGGCGGCATGCCTTCTGGTGGTTCTGCATCGGGTGATGGGGAATGCTGTTTGAAAGAAAGGTCCGAGCTGAGCTGCACTGCACAGACAATTCATTGTTTGAAATAAGCTAGTCTCGCATTTTGCCGCAGCTTCTGGCAATGGTACATTTTGGGGAAATTGAACGAAGAAATGAGCATAATTCCGTTCCAATTCGTCGGAATGGAATTATGCAGGATCGTGCAACCTCCGAGTTTCCTAGCGAGAAGTTTTCACGCTGGCAACACAGATTATCCAATGCATCGTACGTCATGTCGCGCGTTTTTTTTTTTTTTTTTTGTGCGCGTCTGGTTTTTAATGCGAAGAGCAAGTCGTCTGCTTCTTGCCTAGGAGTTGCGGTGACGTTGGAACGACTCTGAGCTCCGATTGGCTTTGATGGGAAGGATAGTGGGTAGACCTCGATGCTAGATGCCACGAGATCTACCTACTATTTTTTTCAATCAGCCAATAAAACCTCTGCGTTACGACGTCATCGCAACCCTTGTGCAAGAAGCGGACGAACTTGCGCTTCGCAGACTACTGGGAACTCTTTAGCCAGCGAACGGTCCAATGTGGTCCAGTGACTCGACGCCCACCCTAACTCAGTCGGGGGGGAAAACTTGGTCTCTGCAGCTGGCGACCCTGGGACCCCCGGAACGACGTGGTGCAGTTTGAGCGTGGCGGCGTGATTCAGAGCAAGACGCGTCACCAGACCCCCATTGTGCCGTCCGGCGGCAGCCTGGTGAGCGTCGAAGGCAGCCCCCCCGAGCCGCCAGGCGGCCTGAGGAGGAGGGTGCTGCACTCGAGCCCCCACCACCCGCATCGTCATCACCACCACCACCACCACTCGACCGCGGTAGGGTGTGCCAAGAAGGAGCGCAAGAAGAAGGGCAGCAAGACCGGGGCCCCCTGCCTGCCCCACAGCGAGAGCTCCTCGGCCGAGCACGGGGCGCGCTTCTCGTGCGACTCTACCGACAGCGAGGGTGGGTTGCTTCGATGGGTCTGTCGGTCGTACAGCTACGACTGCGTATGGCTTTGAAATGGTGGCCCACTGCATTTGAATTGGATCGGGGTGGGCAAGACCGGCTGAGCATACTCACCGGCTAGAAAACTGGATGGCCTAGATAACGGGGTAGCCGGTACGGGAAGCCTCGATGAAATCCGACACACCCATAGCCGTCTGACCAGCTGTAATTTGCTGGCCGTTAAAAGCTCCCACGTTAAACTTGCGTTCGGAAAGCTCGCGCCTTCGAGCATACTTTTTGATTTGAGGCCATCTGGAGCTTTGCATATGAAAGCTTGGTTCTCCGATTCTCGCCGTGCGATGCGATACTCTGGGAAGGTTTTGTGATCACTTAAAAGCGGTTGGTAGAAGTGGTCGGTTAAAAGGAACGTGGAACGATTTCCCAACATTGACACGGGGAAATGGGCGTTGTTGCAGTAACTACCCTGCTGCAACTAGGGATTAAGATGAAAAAAGAGGAAACCTACAAATGCAGAAAGACTAAATATACTGGGAAGTTAACTAGTTTTTTTTGTGAGTTTATTCATTGTCGCAAGGTCTGGCTTTTGTTTTCTGTGAAATATTGTTCCCCTCAGTTTTCAGTCTAGTTTAATTATCCATAAATTAGTGCTATTGCAGGGCTATAATCTACACAAACAGTGCCAGTTTATGGTACCCCCTTCAGAAGGTTCCCATGTTGATTTCTGTCTAGGGAAGGTCGCTAGGGACATTTCAGGATCGTGCCAGGGAAGTTTGGCTCCAAGGCCAGTAGCACTGCTGGTTATCAGTGTGCGGCCATTGCAAAGGGCTCATTAAAGGGATACTGAATCAAAGACTGAAATATATGCAAAACATTAAGAAATAAGTCGGATAGGATGAATAGCACCTGTTCATGATAATCGCACACTTGTATATTGAGCGGATAGCTATATTTTTCGTTCTTGATGCTGAATTTAAAGTTGGGTCCAGCCAAAGACTGGTGTTTCTGAGGTGTTTGTATTCAATAGTTTATATTTAGGCAAATAAATAAGTGTAAACATTTTGTTTCCGTACCCCCTTAACATACCAACTGGTTCACCCAAATTTAAATCTTTGGATCTAAAGTGATGTGTTCAAAGAGCAGAGATGGACAGATGTCTATGAGCAACATTGTCTCTGCTGAAGAAGAAAAATAGTTCTGGTGATGGTAGACTTTCACCATGTGATAATTTTGTCAGTCTCAACTTCCTCTTTTGTCCGAGCTCGTAGCCATAACGCCTCAAATACTTCGCCGCCTAATTCTTTATATGTAATTTTTTTTTTGTCAACCTCAGTGGTAATGAGCCCACAACTGTGACATTCACAATGCCTGCCTTTGCTGCACCTGCATCTAAACTGCAAGCTGACTGGAACTAGGCACCAAACACCGCTTGGCTGACTCGGCCACGCCTCGAGCTTTCGGACGATCTTTAATCTACCTGGTTCTCTCGCTTTGCCCTTGCCACTGACAATGAGCCTTTCAACGTTCATACTGATTGCGATTTCCATCTTTATTTCCGTCCACTCAGTCCATGCCGTGGAACCCGGCAAGACGGTCCCCCAGCGCCTGGGGCTGCACCAGCACCGCCTCATCTCGGGAGCCATGTCCCAGGTGCTGGGACCTGCGCTGGGGCCCCTCCACAAGTCCCTGGAGGACGCCACATCGATGCTGACCACTCTTCAGCGCCACCTGGAAGCGGCCCTAGCCCAGCAGCGCCGCATCGAACAGCAGCTGGCACAGCGCAGTGACCTGACGACGGTGGCAGCGGTGGTGCTCGTTCAGCTGGTCCTTCACTGGATCATCTGGGCATGGTCCTCCTCTTGATCACGCTCCGAGCGTCGGAGCCTACGAGGGGAAGAACTGGGTCGTCTGCTTCTAGAAGTTCAAGACGGGTGGCGGGTCATCGGGGTGCTTTGCTCTTGCGTGGCACAAGCGCCGTATGGAGCGATCCGTCGAAAGGCCAGGGGATACGACGTATTTGGGAATATTGAGAAGGTTTGTGAGCCACATCTCTTAGGTAACAAGGGCCGTAGTGCTGAATTTTCAGCATCGCCTAAAGGAGGCCAACGCGGGGTACAGCTTGGACACGAGAGCTGCGTCAGCGTTCTTGTGTCCAATCTGTTGGTGTGGATACCCTTATGCCTCGCGTTCGGCTGAAACTAGTGTTGGACCGGTAAGAATGAGTCCCAGGCGAACGCCGATGCAGCGGTCACATCCAGTCCATACCCCGCATATGCCTCCTTCGGTTTATATAGAAAATTCAGCGCTGCAGCCTTGTTATGTAGGAAACATTAGCCCCCATACTGAAGCCGACCTCTACACTCTCCCCTCTACCTAATTCTGCTTGTGGTGGATGCCAACCACCGCCTTTGAAGAACTTGCTCGTTGGTAGTTGAGGGACATGTAGTCGTATTACTTTCTGCACGACCGCAGATGTCCCATTCATGTCAACGGGCTGACGTTCTACGGATGTCCGGTAGCGTCTCAAGGGGTGTCCTGGGAGACGTGCTCGATGTCCGGTAGGTGTGGGTGTGTAGGTTTCCTTACGAGCATTGGGGGCGAGAACAAATCGAGACTGCCCATCGTCGAACCGTGTACCGCTCTGTTGAGGCGGCCCGTTGCATGGTGGCTTTTCTCTCTTGTCGACGGGAACAATTTTCGGATGGGGTGACGTGCAATCTTGCAAGGTGTTTGCAGTCTGCAGTCTCTAGCTGTGATGCGGTTCCCGTTTTTACAGCACCCTGCACAAGCGCTTCTCCTTGCTTTTTTTTTATATAGCGGCTAGGTTTGGGGGTTTCTTATCCCTAGCTGGGTTAGGCGAATAGCTTTCGGGTAGTATTTTGCGGCAGCACCGAGTATGGTGGGACGCCAACGATCGTGCCTGCTTCGATCGGGTATATGCAACCGCACTCGGTGTTATTGCGGCGTTCAGGCTTTTGCAGCCGGACATATCTAATTCAACTTTCCAACTTTGCCAGGGTATTGTGCGCTCCACGTCGGTGCCACTTTGCGAGACCTAGGAAGCCAAGTAACCTGTGGAGCAGGTCTGAGTGGTATATATATAGAACGGTGACAAGCAACTTTTTCTGGGGTTCAACTAGCTTCGCTTTCCTCGCAGTAAAGATGCTTCAGAGAAGTGAGGCTCTGCTGTCTTTCAAGTGTTTCCTATAGAAACCTGCACAAAACTAGTCCGACATGGTGGCAACTGTTTGGAACCACAGCTGTTTTTTTCTTTTTCATTATTTTTGTTACATACTTTTTCCTCATCCATGCTTTCCCGGTGTGAGTGGCACGATGGAAATGTTATTGTTTGTTTGTTTTGGAGTTATATCACCCTGATTTTTTAAATGTTTGTCGTTGTGCGTAAATAGAATTATGGACGTTTTTCAGAAAAACAAAGATGCCTGTTGCGCATTGAATCATATTGCTTTTTTGGTGTGGATACTCATATCCCAAGGCAGCTTTTTCTGTCGATCATAAATTTGAGCAGTATTTTTTTTCGCCTGTTTATGGTTTCTTTTTTTTTGTTTGCTATTGTTACCTGATTCTCAGTGTGGGGTGAAGTGTCCAAAATATGGCATTTATTTTCTAATCGCTGTTGAATTTCTTTGTTCATGCTGGAGTGAATAACTTTTGCCATGTGAACTGTGAGCGTATAAGAAAGATTTATTAAGCGCGTTCCAAGTGTCTGCTGAGACATCTCGTAGCGGCGTTTGTTTGGCATTGTTTCGCAGTTGTTTTATAGGAAAGAATGTAAGGTGTAAATAAAATGTATATGTATACACACAACAATTCTTTTTCTTTCTTTTTTTACTAGTTCAAGCAGACCATGATGTAATACACAGTGTGTCCCCGAAAGCAAAAAATAGTGCATTTCTTCATTATAAAAAATAAAGTATGCATCTCGGAGCTCCAGTCTCTATCCAAATGTAGCAATAGCGGCCTGGCCCAGAAGGTTACTTTACGTGTGATTTTATGGAGCCTTCAATAAGAAAATGAGGCCCGTCACGTTTCCCATTGAAAATTTCCGGAAATTGTTTAACTTTTAAATAAGATGCTGGTTTGTTCGGAAACATTGTCATCTGGTCTGGACTGCCACACCTACATTTGGCCGAAGGCCAAGCATTTATCCATGCATGGTCAATTTTTGCAATAAAAAAACTACTTTTTTTTTTTTTTCTTTTTTCTTTGGGGGGGGGGGGACCTTGTAGATTTTGGCACATTGCGCTGGTCATAGCTTACTGCAACAAAACCGAAGATAAAAAGAATTGTAGCGCATTGCTAGGCAATTGCTTTGCATACCTGAAACATCGCAAACGTTTAGCAATACTCGAGTTTCCAGACGCCTATGTTCATGGCGCTCTTCATCAAGTAGTTCAATGCGTACCATGTGTACATTTGATAGTTTTTCCTAAAATGAAGCGGCTAATCGGGCTGATAAGCCTGGTGATCTTCCAGAGCCTTTCACATTCTCAAGCTCCTCTCCCTCGGTGCGCACAGGTGGTCGATCTCCTACCCCTCTGGTCGCAGGACCTCCCACTTAACCAATCGGCATCGAGCACCTCACTGCTCCTTTCCCACCCATCAACCAATCGGTGTCAAGACTCGCTGCCAGGCTTTTGTCTGGGCTTCACGAAATCCGAACACCTAGCCAATGAATGTTTCCAATTAAAGAGGTAAGCGGAGAGAACAAGGGCATTCAGTGAAGTTTGGTGCTAGCACCAGGTAAATATGCAAATGAAAATATAAAACTTTTTTTTACTTACTCTATTATTCGTAGTAAACCTGAGAAACAATAAAAAAATTGACAGAACACTGAAGTCTGAAAGTTGAAACTTCATTGTTCTGTCCGTTTTTTTTTTATCATTTTTTTTTTTTACTTAAAATGAATGTCATTCACCAGCTCGCCTGCGTTTCTTTTTTTTTTTTTTTTTCTACTATTTGTATTTACTATTATTGTTTTCTTTCGTGGTTCATTGGGTGCCGCTGCGTGAGAAGGCGCGTGTGTGCTTGAGCACCCGGTGTTGTTCCGCTGAAAAAAGTAATTCCTACGCCAACGGGTTTCAAATTTGAGTTTTCTTACAGCCCTTATTCTACCTTAATCTCACGTTCTCGGGAAGAAAAAACAGCAGAAGGGGTCGAATTTGATTTGTTTTCGATCGCATCGGTCTACGGGCATAGGTCTGCGAACAACGTTTGGGGTTTCAAAGTTCCCTAGGCCTAGCGGGCATTGACAGAGAGCCGATTCGCGACCACCGCCGTAGCCTTTCTAGCGAAGTATGTTTTGTTTTTAACCGTGGGAACGAGCCCATATTTTTGGTCAACTAACTTGGTTTAAGCATGAAGAAACGTTTGAATCGCGCGAACCTCGCCGTGGTTGCTCTGTCGCGCTCAACACGGCGATCGTGCGTGCACGCGATTGTTCTAGCTGCTTATGATTGCTGATCGCCCCAAGTATTTGCTTGCCCCAACTGTGGTCGTTCTGACAGTCTCATGCCCTGGAAGTGCTATTTAGCAATGCGTGGAAAACCCAAAGGCGTCTTCATCTAGCATCTCTACAACCAAGGCAAGTTCCAGTTTTCTTCTCGGTGATTCGTTTACGGGTATTAGCCCTGTTGAGCACGGTCATGATTTCGTTCGGGACGAATCTTTGCTCCAAGATTGTCGGCTGTTTCTTTTTTTTTCCTTTTGTCCGTTGTAATCTGAAGAGAATTCGTCGTCGCAACATTTCCCATACCTACGATCTCGGCAGGCAGTTCAAACGATGAGATACAGGAAAAGACTACATGTCGTTGTATGCGCACAATCGTCGGCGATCACGCTGAGGTGTCGGTTCTCCCAAATTTATTCCAGCCGTTCAACGCTCGCATCCCAGTGTCACTATTTCGGGTGGCTTTGTCCTGCGCGTTGCTGCGCTGACGGCTCGGTTTGCAGAAAACCACACTCATTTCCCGGCCGTTTCCGTCCCAAACACGTATGCATGTTGGGCGTTTTGGTCGCGTTTTGTTTTATGTCCAATGAACTCGCAAGGCTAGCATCTCGTTCGGGCGGAGGGAAAGCTCTCTCGGTGTATGCCTCGACTGCTCGGAATACGCGGTGTTTGACATGAAGGTGTTCAAGACCTTCGCGAACCACTGCTAGATCGACCGTCTACATATTCTAAAGATGAAGACGAATGACTTTTGGCCGTGAACAAGTCGAAACAGCGTCGGATCACAGCCGAGCTCGGCAAGCCTACCGCTTCGTGCCTTTTAAACTGCGCACGCCGCCCTCTGTTCCGTAACCGCGATCTTGTAAGTAGTACGTTTGGTGTACAACACGCTAATGAAGCTTTTTCAACTTTGCTTGGGTCGTGCCTGCTCGTGTTCGCACCTCGACACATTTGAGACATGTTTTAAGGCGTCCCGAGGTGCCGCATACCTCGGCAAGCCCCCATTTATACGCGGTTCGCCGATCAGCGACGCTCTTGCGAACAGCGGTTGTCTTGTTTCCGTGAATTGATATAAATCAGCTAATTCGAGGTTCGTTACCTCGATCTCTTACGTTCATAATCCGTTTGCTCGGAGGTGTCAGTTACATAGCGGATCGATGTCAGGTGTTGGCTTCACTTTATGTACTACCGTCGTGCTGATTGCTTTAGGTCATTGGAGGAATACCAACCGTTGTGGTGGTATTCCCCGGTGTCATCATGTTACTGTCTGCTTTATGTTGCCATTTCGGTGTTTACTTTAGGTCATGGGGGAAACACCATTTCTTGTGGGTTTCCCTTATGCTGTCATGTTGCTGTGACCTAATGCAAGCAGCCCATAGGGGCTGCTTGCATTAGGTCACTGGAGAAACACCGACCGTTGCAGTGTTCTTTAACATTGTTACGTTGCTGTTTGCTTCATGTTGCCATCTTGCTGTTTGCTTTAGGTCATAGGGGGAGCACCGGCCATGGTGGTGGAGGGACCACGTAGCGGGGGCTCCCGTTATGCCCCTTCGACTGGCATGACAGCCCGCGAACTTTGCGAAAGCGACGACCAGGCCACAAGCCTCATCCTAGACCCGTATCTGGGCTTTGCCACGCACAAAATGAACCTCAGGTAACCTTTGAGACTGTACTCTTATGTCCCTTGTTACCGTAGGGTTTAGGCTGTAAGCAGTCAGTGATTAAGTTACACGTTGATGCTATGAGCCTATGAAGAGCAGTGCGGGTAAAACCTGTGCGATATGTGCCCCAGGTTTCGACCCTACAAGTCACAGAAACACGAGCTGCAGCAGCTGATACTGGACTTCAAGACTCACAACCAGTACGAAAAGGTGTACTCCAAGTTGACGGAGTTTGTTCCGGCCTCCTGCTTGACCAAGGCCAGACAGGGTCCGTTCAAGGATCACGTGAGTCTACCCTATTGTATTTTTGCTTGTGTCGGCTGCTAGTCAGCGTGACTGGTGGCCAAAAGGGGCAGCTTTGGACAAGCCTAACCACTAAACGATTGGATATGAGCACTGCGCCGGAGTTTGCCAGGGCATTCAAAGATGCAAACACGAGATCGGGTCTAGTGATTGCAGCCGCGGGGCTGTCTCAGAGTCCTGTGAAGCCATACTTCATTGTCTGGTCAATGTAGAAGGTTTTGGTAATCCCTTCGCCTAATTGCCACTAGGAAGTTGTCTGTTCACTGTATTTGGTTGAGTCAATTATTTCCAAACAATTCCACTATCTTTTTAGTAAGCACTTCCAAGTGCAATATATTTGAAACATGGGACGGCATTATGTATGATTAGCGTGGTTAGGTGAGTAAGCCCTTCAATGTACAGTTGCTAACATATTAGGGAACGCTTCTGCAAAGTGCTGCCTTCATAGAAGTGCGTAGCAAGAGAGAGTTTCTGTTGTTATCTTGCAGTGAAAATGAAGTGCTTGCTTTTGGGATGCCTTAACATTGTTCACTAAATTTGTGCTGTAAATGGATGGGAGTGTAATGGTGACGCGCATTGGTATTCTCATTTTCAGATCTTCCGCTACCTGCGCATGTTTGACAAGGAAGCTGGCTTCGAAGTGCTGCGGTGTGACCGCTACTCCATGGAGGGCAACGTTGGGGCCAAGTTATGTGCTACCAAAAAATGGTGATTGCCTGACGTTGTTTTGAACTCGACGGTACAAATCAACGAGACCCCTTTTCAAATACTAGGTCAGAGCTTATTTGCAGTGGCATCAATCTGATCTCTCCCATCTAGCAGTCGGATTAGGCTTCCTAGCGGACCCCGGAGGGGGCACCTACATCTCAGGTGTTAGGTGCATGGCGTCACCACGGACCTCAGCCACGTGGGCTGCCACAGCCATACGCAGGGCGTACCTGCTTTACAAGGCTGCTTTAGTAGGTGCTTCACCACAAACCCCGAGCCATGTGGGCGCACCCACCCACACCTGGCTGTGTGTGGCTTAACCCGTGTCCGGGGAAAAGAGGATCCTGGTAGTCAAGTTGAGCCCGGGGTATGTTTGGACCCTTTGGGGCCCCCCCGGGCGAGGGAATACACCGCTTCGGTCCCTGCTTCTCATAAACTGGTGACCTGGCTTGTCCCTGCCAGGATGATTCAGTCAGTCGCCTCTTCTACCCTCTTCTTTTATTTTTTTGCTTCCACCTCTTTCTCTTTTCTTCTACACTCGCTTCCTTGCTTTTTCAACTTCTTAGGTGGCAAGGGCCAACCTGGGGTGGAAACAGGTCCTGTCCCCGCAGCCACACTCTGGTATAGTGCCCGGGCAGCACTGGTAAAGTAATTAAGTCAGCCAAGCCTTTCTTGCTATGGCACATTACCCAATTCCTTTTTGGTCTCTGTGGTGGGCGGTGCACCTGGTCACTGAATTTCTTTCCCATCTATGGGTCCTAAGCAAAAAACCACTGATCACGACCCCGAAAAGGGTCCGCACCAAAGTAAACGACCATCCCACAAAGCGTCTTGAATTCTTAAAATTCCCAAAGTTCCTAGTACTACGCTCGGAGGGCGAAAAACACTTGGAAAGTTATCCCCTTTTTCTCGTGTCAAAAGTATTTGAAAGTACTATTGAAACTAATTTCAATGCCAAAAAATGGCGTCGGGTGACCTTGTTCTAATGAATACAAAACAACAAAGTGAAGCTCTGCTAGTCTTGAGCTCCGTCGCAGATTTCAAAATGCGATGAGGTGTTACACCTCATCGCAGGCTAAATATTGTACAGGGAGTCATCTCTGAGGATGACTTGCTTCAAACATCTGAGGCAGAGATCGTTGAGGGCCTTTCTGGTCAAGGGGTTGTGGCTGCGCGCTGCATCACTATCCGCCGAGACAGTGTTGAACGGCAAACCAAACACGTCGTTCTGACTTTTGATTCCACCACACTACCAGAAACTCTGAAAGCAGGCTACCTACACTGCCGTGTATGGCCCTGTGTGCCAAACCCTGGGAGGTGCTTCAAGTGCCAACGGTTCGGCCATGGGTCACGAAGCTGTCGGGGAGCCGGCACTTGCGCCAAGTGCTCCAGCAGAGAGCATGTTGCTGGCACATGTGACAACAATCTGAAATGTGCCAACTACGACGGCCCTCACCCGACATACTCTCGCACCTTTCCGTTGTTGAAGTAAGAGAGGGAAGTACTCTAAAGGCCAACGAAAATATGTCCTAACATGAGGTTAAAAACATTTTCCTTGGCAAAAGGCGGATATGCCAGGTTGTGCGTAAAGGACCTACACGGCCAGTAATGGCATCAGCGGGAAGCCAGACATTTCCAAACGATCTGCAGGTCTCGTCGGAGTCCCCACCTAAACCCTTGGTGTCCCAAGCACAGGGAGGATGCTGGCCCACCAGCATCCACCCAAGAGCAGGAAATGCACCCCACCCGCTCCCTGCCTCTGTGCTCTTTTGGTGCCGGGGCCAGCCACCCCGAACCTCTGCCCCGAGGAAGCCCAGTGAGGCAGTTTGCTCCTAAGGGTCAGCTGACGGCATCACCGGAGAGCGGGCTCAGATCCGACGATGAGGCTATCCTCTTGGGATCGAAATCCTCCCTTTGCTGCCCCCACGAGCTCTAGTGGGAAGCAGAATGATTGCACTAAGAAGAAAAATGCCCGCATCACAAAAATGGATTTTAAACCATAGTTACCTGTTCTTACTGATTTGTGCAGTTTATAATTTAAAGTTTATCTTAATTTTAGCACTGCTATGAGTAAACAGTTAGGTATCGTGCAGTGGAACTGTCGCCGCCTTAGTTGTAATATTGATGTCCTTAATTTTTTTTTTCTTGATGAGCTTTGTCCTGTGGCACTCTGTTTACAAAAGACCTATCTGAATGACAAACACACACAGGTCTTACATCGTCACCAGGCTTTTAGGAAGGACGGCCTTCCTCCTAACCCTTTCGGTGAAGTCGCAGTAGTAGTGCAGAGCGGGGTTGTGTGTGCTCAGGTTCCTCTACAAATGCCGCTTGAAGCAGTGGCAGTTTGCATTCTCTTTGACCGCCTCATCGCCCTCGGTTCGCTCTACCTGCCACCCAAAGTTCCGTTGCAGCTCCATGAGGTGCAAAGACTCGTAAATCAGCTGCCTAAGCCTTTTATAATTCTAGGTGATTTTAAAGCTCACCACTCTTTGTGGGGAATTATTTGTCAGGATTCCTGTGGTGGAGTTGGAGAACGACTTTTATTATCCTCCGGGCTCTGTCTTTTGACTAAAAAGGAGCCAACATTTTTTAGTTCTGCTCATAACACCTTTACATCAATAAACCTTTCCATATCCTTGCCAGCTTTACTTCCGTGCTTTTCATGGAAAGTTTTAGATAATCCATTTGGCAGCGATCATTTCCCCACAATTTTAGAAAACGCAATACTGCTTCCTTCTTTTTCGACCAGCCTTCCGAAGTGGAAGTTAGAGGAGGCTGACTGGGCTCTTTTTGGTTTAAGTGGTGTACTGGATCCGTCTGTCTTTTGTAGTATGTCCCCCGAGGAGGCGACAACGTTTGCCACCGAATGTCTAATTAATGCTCTGCATCTTATCTTCCGCAAACATCTTGCCTTGTCCCCCTGAGATGCAAGCCCTGGTGGAATGAGGAATGCACAGGAATTTGCAGAAAAAGGAACATGGCATTGGATATTATTCGCCCTTATCCCACGCTTTTTAACCTGACTGAATTTAAGAATTGTATGGCCAAGGCACAATGGACACAAAAAAAAAAAAAAAAAATTAGAAAGCCGTTTACAATTCCCTGTAACGCCGAATTAGAGCGCAGCTCTTGAGGAGGAGGAGGGAAGGGTATTGACAGTCACGTGTTGGGGGGTGGGGTTCACATGACCCCCCCCTCCCTGAGGTCACCGAAGGTACCCGAGGTCCTCCCGAAGGAACCCGAGGTCCTCCCGAAGGTACCCGAGGTCCTCCCGAAGGTACCCGAGGTCCTCCCGAAGGTACTCGAGGTCCTCCCGAAGGTACCCGAGGTCCTCCCGAAGGTACCCGAGGTCCTCCCGAAGGTACTCGAGGTCCTCCCGAAGGTACCCGAGGTCCTCCCGAAGGTACCCGAGGTCCTCCCGAAGGTACTCGAGGTCCTCCCGAAGGTACCCGAGGTCCTCCCGAAGGTACTCGAGGTCCTCCCGAAGGTACCCGAGGTCCTCCCGAAGGTACTCGAGGTCCTCCCGAAGGTACCCGAGGTCCTCCCGAAGGTACTCGAGGTCCTCCCGAAGGTACCCGAGGTCCTCCCGAAGGTACCCGAGGTCCTCCCGAAGGTACTCGAGGTCCTCCCGAAGGTACCCGAGGTCCTCCCGAAGGTACTCGAGGTCCTCCCGAAGGTACCCGAGGTCCTCCCGAAGGTACTCGAGGACCTCCCGAAGGTACCCGAGGTCCTCCCGAAGGTACCCGAGGTCCTCCCGAAGGTACTCGAGGTCCTCCCGAAGGTACCCGAGGTCCTCCCGAAGGTACTCGAGGTCCTCCCGAAGGTACCCGAGGTCCTCCCGAAGGTACCCGAGGTCCTCCCGAAGGTACTCGAGGTCCTCCCGAAGGTACCCGAGGTCCTCCCGAAGGTACTCGAGGACCTCCCGAAGGTACCCGAGGTCCTCCCGAAGGTACCCGAGGTCCTCCCGAAGGTACTCGAGGTCCTCCCGAAGGTACCCGAGGTCCTCCCGAAGGTACTCGAGGTCCTCCCGAAGGTACCCGAGGTCCTCCCGAAGGTACCCGAGGTCCTCCCGAAGGTACTCGAGGTCCTCCCGAAGGTACCCGAGGTCCTCCCGAAGGTACTCGAGGACCTCCCGAAGGTACCCGAGGTCCTCCCGAAGGTACTCGAGGTCCTCCCAAAGGAACCCGAGGTCTTTCAGGAGGACCTCGGGTTCCTTTGGGAAAATTTACCCATAATGCACTGCGCGGTTACACTGACGGCGACGCCGACGCCGCTCAAGCCGGAAACGGGTGCTTAAGAGCTGCGCTCTTAAAACAAAGAGGACATCACGGAAAAAAAGAATATATCTAAATAGCTTTGTTTCAGCAAAAGAAGTGTAGGATCACCTGTGGAAAGTCCGAGGAGATTACCAATCTTTCCGAACCCCTCTGTATTGCTCAAGGATCGTGCAAATGTTCTCGGGGAGCATTTCCAGCTTATTAGTAGCTCCTCTAATTTAAGCGAAAAATTCAAGAAGTTCCAGTCAACTACTGAAGAGCAGCGCATCTTGATGTCCGGGGGATGGTTCATATTTTTATGATACCATTCACAATGTGTGAACTCAAGGTAGCTCTTGAGCAAAGAAGCAGTCTGCAGGACCAGACAGGACCCCACTATGAAATGCTGAGAAAACTGTCTCCTGAATCTATGAACGGTCTGCTAACTTTTTTTAAAATATCAATGGCAAGCTGCTGCCTTTCCTCGTTACTGGATTCATGCCCACATAATCCCTTTTCTGAAAAGTGGGAAAGGCCCCTCCATTCCTAGGAGTTATCGTTTCATCGCACTCACGAGCTGCTTAGGGAAGACATACGAGAGGCTTGTCTATTTCTTAGAGACAGAACTTTTTTTCATGAAAAGTAGTGTGGCTTTTGGGAGGGACGAGCGACCACAGATCATTTGGTCCACTTGGAAGCTTTTATACATGAGGCATTTGTACACCGGCAGCATTGTGTCTCAGT